CGTGAAAAAGATGGAACTGCTCAACTTCTTCACCGTTTCCCTCCACAGCCACGAATCCGCTCCGCGAGGGGGCATCTGAGACAAGATACGTTCGTTCACAATTGTTCGAATCTGCCTCAGATCGGATGGAGTATGGCAGTATTTTTGAAAAAATTGCCATCTCTCCAATAGCTGCTCCTTTAAACGCTGCGAATGCTCTCGTTCGGCAATAGACGAAGACGTACTTTTTTCTTTACTTATCTTTTTTTTGAGTCTAGAAAGCTCTTTTTGTAACATGGCACGTATGGAAGTGCAAGACTCAGCGTCGGTAGACGTAGAAGCGACGGTAGACGTAGAAGCGTCGGTAGACGTAGAAGCGACAGGTTCCTGATCCCGATCCTCCTCTGACAGTGTGGTCATTACGGCATCATCTTTACCTTCTCCTGCGGCTTTGTACAACTCCTCGACAATCATAGCGTCATCTTCATCTCCTGTTCTACTATGCCTTCCAACTTCATCTTCCACATCTACTTCCTTCTCCTTGTCCCCAAGATTCAACCCTTTAGTTTTCGCAACGAGATCATCTTCATCAATCTCACCCGCGGACTCGTCTACAGCACGAGCATCTTGTGGAAGAGGATGAGAGTGTGGAGGTTCTGCTTGATCTTCTTGATGAGTTGTAGGAGGAACCGTGGTTTTACCTTCTTCATTTTGAACTTCTTCAGCTTGGGCTTCCGTTTGGGCTTTAAAACCTGGCTGTTCTACCACACGTTGCACGACCCCACTATTTGCCATTGCCGCAACCCGTTTTTGCTCCTGATCCGCTCTTAGAAACTCACCTAATTCCCTTGCAAGCGTTCTGTTGATATCTGCAGCTGTTGGCTTCTGCCTTCCTTTTTCATCCTTTGGCGAAGAAAGCAGTCTCGCAAATGCTCTTCGTGATAAAGATTCTACTTTTTGCTCAGCATCGGGGGTCGGTTTCTCAGCCTGTTCCTCAGGATGAAGCTCGTTGTCTACATGATGTTCTTTTTTAGCTCCTTTTTTGCCTTTACTTTTACGCTTCGTATGCTTTTCTAAACCTTCATCTTCTTGCTGAGGTGGAACAACAAAGTTTAATGCTTGTTCTTCCGCAGGCTTCTCCTGAGGATTCATCTCTATAAGCTTTTCGTCCTCCTGCTTTTCTCCAGCCGCATCCTTCTCCGCCTGACCACCAGTACCAGTAGCGCCTTCTTCTGAGTCCTCATCCTTAGAGGCATCTAGCCGCGACGCCGCCATATTCAGATCATTCTCGGCATTTTTCCGCTGTCGAGCCCGGCGTTGACGAGACTTGTTCTTCTTACTCGGCTTTCGCGCCTCTTCATCTGGCGTTTCAGGTACCACAGCAGGTCCTTCAGGCACTTCTGCGTGTGAATCGTCATCAAGCGGCTCCTGCGCAGGAGGAGGAACGACAGGGTGCTCCTCATCGCGAGGCACGGGAGCTAGACCATCGTCGTCCTCAACCTCATGCTCATCTTGAAGAACTAGACTAGTACCATCTTCATGATCTTCACTCTCAGCTGCCGCTGTTGCTCTTTTAGCTGCTCTTAGCTTTTTCTTGCGAATAGCACTTTTCGAGATCTTCTTGGCTTCCGGGACTTCCCCCTGTGGGAGTGGGTCACGGTCACCAATCACAACTTGCGGAGGAGGAGCGCCTTGCGCGTCACCGTCTTCATGGCTTAACTCTTCCTCTCCCTGTGCCTCTTGTCTCATCATCTGACCATGAAGACCACCAGCACTAGGATCATGATGACTAGATCCTGATCCATGTCCCTGCCCTGAATACCCTTCCTGGCCTCCATCATCGGATGAAGCAAGCGCCTCCCCAGGTGGTGTCGCAGCAACAGGTGGCGTCGGTGTGTCATTGTAATGCTGGTCGTCAGCGGATGTGGTTTCCACTTCAGCTGCAGAGGCACTAGCACTGTCTGCTTGCTCACTTCCTTCTCGCCTCACCCTTTCCAGCGGCCGCAATGCTTCTAGTGTTTCTTCTTGTGCAGCTTTAGTTTTGGTCTCTTCTTCTTCTGCTGAACCATGCCGCCCCTCATTCGTGGATGTGCGCGATCCTGCACTATGCGCTCCCTGACTGGAGCCAGGAAATCCAAGAACTAGTCCGAGACCTTGAGATACCTGAGACCTAGGCAACGCTGCAGCCGCGTCATCATCTCCTTTCATGATGCTTTTGCTTCCCGACAAAGTGTTTATCGTAGTTTGTTCTCCTTCTCCAGTACTTCCAGTGCTCAAATTTTCCAGACGCGCGGTCAAATGGGCCACGTCATCTTCAGGGTTAGGAACACGACTCGCACCAGTGGCATCACAAGGCTCACACTGGTCGTTCTCACCGTTGTACTCCTCAATATGTGACACCCACAATTTCCGTAGAACTCTGCCACTTGCAGGATCAATGCAGACAAAACACTTCAAAAATGTCGACGCATCCTCTTGGAGGTTACTGTCTCCCATGTTTGTCAGAGTAGAAGAAGATGTTGGCGTAGGTTCCTCTTTGACAAGTAAGAGTTCTCCAGGATCGCCTGCGCCAGACCACCCTGTAGTTGATGGACCTCCATGAGAAGAGCTATCGTGAGCTTGACCAGACAACGAATGAGGAGTATTAAAAGCAGTGGGCGGCACACCACTTTCTTGTAGTCCCTGAAAACGTAGTTCTTGGTAAGGGAAAGGCGGGACAGGCATAGTAGTTGCACCAGGAGGGCCATGATATTGGTTGTCGTAAGGCACAGGAAATGTAGACCCGGATTGAGGTAGAAACATAGAAAAGGACGAGCCGTTTGCTGTTCCCATCTGCTGTTGATGCCGCACACCAAGCGGTCCTCCCATTTGCCAGGAGGACAACATGTGTTCTCGTCCCTGATGTTCTCGTCCCTGTTGTTCTGGTGCGGACATCCAAATTGCATGAGGTCTTAACGGAGGAGACTGAAAATTGAATGTTGGAGCATAGGTGGAGGTCGAGACCCCTCCTCCTCCTTGTGAATTTGATGTGACAGGAGGATTATTTCGTTCGAATGAAGAAGAAGCTTGTCCCTGTTGCTGCTGATCTGCTACAACTTGTTCCGGATACATATTGTTGCTCCAACCACCTCGTTCTCCGAATCCGATAGGGTATCTAGCACCAATATCTCCAAAGGGATTTAGAGGTTGAAACATTTCATTTTTCGATACGAGCACTTCTGAGAGAGGGTGAACGTAAAAAGCAAAAGCATTTTAGTAGAAATAAAATATATAGCATTGCGATTGCTTATGGGGAGGAGCATGTAGAAATGAAATGCAAAAGCTTCAAAACTTAAGTTGTAGTATCTCTCCTCTGGCGTTCTTGTCCCATCGTCGTCCAGAAAATACTCGCGTGCTGAACACCCGACTCTCATGTGACTCCCCTCGTCGTTCAAAATGGTGCCATCTCTTTCGTAGGGCAAGACAACATCTTCAACTACGTCAGGAAGAACGCCTTCGTCTGCGCGGGCGTCTTCAGGATCGTCAGCTAGAGTTTGAGGATCTTGATCCTCGTCGCGAACTTGACCTCCCTTAGCGGGAATAGGATGAAAACGAAGATGATGATGGTGATGTTCTTTAGAACGTCGATCTTCATGTAGTTCGCCTCGACGTAGGTCTTCAGGATCTTTACGATCTCCAAGTTCTGCAGCTGGGACCACTAGCACATCTTGTTCCGGTTGCACTCGAGGTTGTGGCTCCCGTAGAAACGATGAACCAGGAGGTACAGGTTCCTCGCCATCTTGATTTTCAACCTGATCTTCTTCGTTCTCAACACTGGTGATGTATCCTCGAACAATAGCGAATGGGTCATAGCCCCTGCGCTTAGCCACAGGGTTAGCACTGCGACTACGTCCGCTTCCGTGACCGCGTCCACCCGGAAACGCTGCATCGACTCCGATCCCTGGACCAAGTCCAAAGAAGAGAAAAGTGAAAATGAAGTTGCCCATCTTGTTGTCAAGTCGTGATTTCGATGGATTATGATTTGCAGATTGATGTGGTGTTCACCCGATCTACTTGTGGACAAAGTTATAATCTGATAGATCGACTTAACGATGAACTGCTCCAATGTATTTCATCAGTACAAAACGATGCCATGATCATCTGCATGATCTCAGAAACAAAGTGCTTGTACAACAAATTTTGAAAACCAATACTGAATTTACATAGAACAAGACCTGCTTTAATACCTAGTATAAAAGGTTGCATCAGGTCCACAATAACTTTATTACTTTTGAAAATGGCCTTTTTTTGCACTTCCCTGGTGAGCGTACCTAAGTAGTACCCACAGCCCTGACGATGATGTTAGTCGGTTCGGGTTGGACCTACGACTTCCGTGAGTCTCTTTGGAGTTCTACGTATTTCGCTGATGTTGAAGCTGTGAGGGTGCTTCGCTGTTTCTACAGTGGCGCTACCCACAGCCCTATTAAGAAACATTTAGGAGCAGCCAGTAAAATGCCAAAAGTCCTCGTTTTCCTAACTACACTAATTCTTTGTTCGTCTAGACCAAACTACAGCAATAATGTGATGATCTATTAAGCAAATCACCCAGTTAACCGTAGTTAAAAGAAACAGATTTGATGTTTTTTCGCAATAGTCGACGCGAGGTCGTGGTGTCTTGAGGTTGAGGATGAGGCTGTTTTGCTCTTGTGGGGTAATAAGCCTATTCGCCGAAGACAGGGCATTGGAGAGGACACCAGAGGCAGATTAATGAGGACCAAGTGGGAATGGGATACTTGTTTCTGCAAACAGACAGGTCTGGAAGCGCAACGAACTTCTTCGGAGATCCTCTTCTAATATGGTGCCATAGATTTCACCGCAACGAGGACGGATGATGAGAACATGGATCAGGATTATCACGCACGCTAGTGCTAGCATCAGGCATGGGCCACAGAACTGCGCAGACGGATTGGCTCTATCTTCTAGAAGCACAAGCAAGAGGACATAGATCAGCAGGATATCACATCATGATTGCCTTTTGTGTAGTTCAAGATGCTGAGGACATCGCTTTTTTTTTTGTTTCACTTTTGACCGGCAGAACTATAATAAGGTTGAAGATATCAGGTTGCGTCCAGTGACTCCTCATGCAGATCGACACACGTCAACAAGTGGCCACGATGATGGATGGATCTTCGATGACATGTCTATCTCTGAAACTCGTCCAGATGATAAAATGAACGAGCACCAAGTACTTCTTCGCTTACATTGACTCATGTTTGTTTGAAAAAAGTGTTTCTTGATATGCTTGTCACAAGTGCACATTTGAGCATAGGAGCTACAGCGGTACTGAATTCGCTGACTATTATGTTGAATTATTTGGACCTCCAAGCACGTGATTGCTTTCAATCTGAAAATGGTGCATAAATTTTTGACCTGAATAAAAGGGCATGTTGCTTCATTTATCTTGTTTCATTTTCCAGTATTGATGACAGTGATGGATTACTGCTACCTTTCGAAGTGCGTTATTGTTATTTCTTGAGATGCATTATTGTTGTATAATATATCGAGATGCTTTAGTGTTGACTACCGAGATGCTTCTTTGTTGAATATCGAGATGCTCTACCTGTATTATTGTTGTTGAATATCATCGTGGAATATCGAGATAGTAAATAAAAAGCGAGCCAGCGCATTTTCAATCGTTTTATATTAAATCGTCTTGAATATCAATATAATCGACATGGTTCATTGTTTATGAATAACGAAGGTAATCCCTCCATGCTTCATTTTGAATATCGAAACGTTTAATTTCCCTGTTGATGTTGTACGAAACTAACTACGCAAACTACAATCCATCAACTACTTAGTATCACTAAGCCTAACAACAAAATTTACTGACCTGGTATTCACAAGCTAACCCAGGCTAAATCTTCAGTACAGCAAGTCGTCGAAACGATCGTCCAAATCGGCTTTTCTATCGAGGACATTCTGCAGTTGCTGACGCAGTATCTCGGCTCTCGAAGTCTGCCGCGAGAGCATCTCACGCCTCGCATCTGCTACACGATCTGCACCCTTATTCGTCGTATCGAAAAAGTCTACAGCTTCGTCGTAACCATGATGACTGGAACTAACTTTGGCTGAGGAATTTAGAACTTTACTAGAACCCACATTCTTGTTCTTGTTCTGATCGAGTTCGAGTTCGAGAGGACCAATACTATTACTAGTACTTGGAACAGAGTTCTTACTCTTGTTCTTGCTGCTCCTCATAGTTGTTCTGCTCTCTCGCCCACCAAGAGCTTGTTCCCAAGATGGAGCCGACTCTTTACTGTTGTGCTTCGAGGACAAGGTGTCGCCTCTACCTGCGCCAGCCTTAGTGCCACTTCTGCTTTTCAGGTCCTCTTCTAGCTCGTGAGATTGTGAAGATTTTGACCTTCTTGAAGGAGACACCTTCACGGATACGACCGAGTCACCTTCACGTTCTTGTAGGCGAAGTTGACTTGTGTTCTCCCTAGAAGATGAAGCAGCACTTTCTTGTTGAAAAACCTTCGCCACGACTCCTCCTGTTGCTCTACTTGACTTTTTTGTCCTCGAAGTGGCACACTTTTTTTTTTGAGGACTCCGACTACTACTCCCACTACTCCTTTTCGTACTGGATGAGCGGTTCGACATCATATCGAAAGATGTACTATCAAAACTACCGTGAAGTAAATCTACATCATTTTGACCCGCGCTACCTCCACGCTCAATGCTCCTGATGCTTTTTAGACGCTCATCGATCAGTCTCTGCTGCGACAAGAGTGATACGGTCTCGGACCTTCGAGGCTTTTGTTCCCCAGTTGTATTGCTAGCACTTATATTTGACAAAGAGGACCAACCATCTGTGAGCGGTATCGAGTTCGAAGCAACAGATTTGCGGTCGTCGTTGTCGGTGGCAGTAGCTGTAGGTGGGTCCTTGGCAGGAGGTGAAGTAGGATCGCCAAAAAGACCATCGGCATGAAAAAGAGGATCGGGTGCGCGTGCAGATGACGATCTGAGGGTTGTCTTTTTGACCGGTGAGCTACTCTTACTATTTCGCATCGACATTGAGTCGCTAGTGCGAGAATAGTTGCTAGCTTTGCTACTCTCGGCAAAGCCAGGGTCTCCTCTTTGCATTCCTGCTATCCTCTTCGTTGTACAACTACTGTGGCTTGATGTAAAAATATGGCTCTTTTTCGTGGCATTCAGACTGGAAGAACTGGCATTTTTCGTGCCTATCCTACTCTGTGGTCTACTGCTACTAGTAGCCACACTACTTCTCGTCTGTGATGTACTTCCCACTTTTTCATTTTCCACGCTGCTGTTGTAAAACAAACCCCTACAACTAGTTCCTCCTACACCTACTTGGTCTCTACTACTTCTATAACTCTGAAAATTGCTACTTCCACCATCGTCAACCTCTGCTCCCTTCGAATGCGCTTTCGATGGTATGCCCTTTGAACTGGTTGAAGGCATCGGATCCCGAAAAAAGTCCTCAAAACTTGCTCCGTCTTGTCCAGTACGTTCGAACAAGGACTCCGTACCCTCGTCAAACGGAGACGCTGGGGTTGCATATTAGAGCAGCTAGTATTGACACTAACCGATCAAGATGAACCTTTATTACGAACAAGTGGATATTAAATCAATTATAAGTCAATGAATGAAAAAAGAAAACGAGACCGCAGACTAGGTACTATGGCATTTGTTCCTCCATAAGCCTGCGAACTTCCGCGTTTCTCTGGAGTAGCTCGTTCGTCGTTGGGCGTATTTCCTCGTGACACAATTTCATCTCGCAGAGTCTCCGCCATTAGCCTAAACGTATCAATAATACTCGCGGTAGTGTTTGGATCTTCACCTTCCCCAAGAGTAGAAGTAGGGCCTGGTTGTGTACTAGTAGGACCTGCTGCCTGCTCTCGATCATTGCTGGGATTGGTATCCTCGTCAGACACGTCAAAACACAACTCCTCACCCGATAGATCTCCACTGTCGCCTTCATCTTTACCTTTACCGTGTACACGACCACTACTTTGCAGCCCCGCTCTTCTGCTTGTGCTTTCCGCATAAAAATCTTTTCCCCCGCCTGTGCTTGGCATACTTCTACTTTCTGGATAAAAGTCATACGATCCAAGACTTTCGCTAGATTAGAACAGCTAACTACCCTAATCGTATCCACCATCCTGAGAAGCAGCATTATATTCCTACGCCCCATATCCCCTTGCGAAGTCTCTATCCTGGGATGACTCCTTCTACTAGGGTGACTCCTTGCTCCTATTGGAGCTCACAACATTTCATTTCTTCCCTTCATTTCTTCAGAATCCCAAGGGGGAAACTGCGAGAAATGAGTCGTGGAAATGAACAATATTGAGCCTTAATTCTAGAGAGATTTCCCCTACAAGAACTAGGATGCAAAGAATTAAGTCTCTCTCCCAGCTAGGATGACTCGGACTCCCCTGCAATTTGAAATTTGTATGAAAAAGCCTTAATTGTAGAACAGCTGTGGACTTTGCTGAGGCGCCGGTGGAGATTTCCTCAAAACTCCCACAGAATGATCTTCCGACGCTGAAGAACCGCCAGCGGGAGGCAAAGAAACAGAACCGGATTATTAGCGAAGTTCTCTTCGATTATTTGCGAATTCAAAAAAAATTCGTTCCCAACGATAACGTACAACAAGCGACTTGTTCCTGCTGAACATGATATTCTATTCCACTAGGTACTCCTTTTACGATTATCGTGTCGACGGCGGGATTACACTTACTCCTTCTTCAGCCATAAGATGAGCTAGACCCTCCAGGATTCTGAATTTCTTGCTGCTGCTCTGACATCGAACTATGGACTTGGAGACTATGTGACGTCTCTGATGTGTCCTCATCTTCGTTCCTCATTAGAGCGCGAAGTAAGGGGTTCTTCAAGAAACTTCTTGGCACAGGTCCAAATAATGCAAGAAGTGTTGTAGGGGGAGGAGCAATGGCAAGAGCAAGAACATTACTCTCTCTAAAAAAAGTGATACTATCCTCCATACCACACTTAATTCCTGCAGCAAAATATCGAGGTCATGCTCAAGCTCCTTCTCGAGTAGGTCCACGACATCCGTGAGTTGTTGTATTTCGCTCTTCAATCGGATTCGGTGTAAATCATCGGCATGTGAATGGAGAATGTCCTGTAGTTCTCCGGCTTCGCTCTTCACGGCTAATAGAGATTCGAAGTGCTCCTGTTCAGATGCCGGGTCATGCCGCGAACTGGTCTGATATCTCGATGCGCCTTCTTGTTCCATGCTGAGAAGTGATGAGCCTACAACTACTTCGTGTGTCGAAGAAGAGCTCGCGGTTGCGCCTCGATGAGTAGTACTATGACCAGTAGTATAATGCCCACGTCCTGGATAAACAGTTTCACCTTCTGCTTGCAGCAACCTTCCAATGGGATCGACGTCAGGACTCTCACCGCCACCAGCATTCGAGGTTGCGCTATTATAAGTGCACTCATCAGAAGCTGAACATCCTTGACTTCCTTTCGTTGTATATTACTTGATTGGCTGGAGGGATAACAAAACTAGTATAATAGGTTGTTGGAAGGGCTAAGTCTCTAGAGGTAAAACTAACCGGCTGTTTTAATTAGTGCTTTGAGCGCCGCAGGTAGGGAAATCAAAAAGGCCAAGGATGGTTGTGAAGAATGCAATATGGGAGCCCTTAACAGCAACATCATCGCCTTCGCCAGGATGACCAGCGTCTCCTTGCTCCTTTTGGGAGACAGCACGATCGGGTAGGCGAGTAAATTCTTCTTCCATGACCCCAAGCTTTTCCTTCGCTGCATCCAGTAACTGTCGGCGAGCCTCTATTGCTTCCACTACCGTCAAGTCCTTCCCAGCACCTTCCGAATTACCGACTAGACTTAGACCCCTTCTAGTATAACCTAGAACGACCCATGAGTATTCAAAAATAATCTTGAAGAAGAATAAGCGGACTACCCACGACGAGGACTAGCTGAGAATTATGACGATCTGCCCAAAAATCAAAAGGCAATTCGTAAATACAATTTCTCGTTCTTGACTATCGATGAGGCGTGTCGCCTCTGGCTCAAAGCCGGATGCTCCCATTTCTTATTTGCAAACTTTGCGAGTTTATTTGCCACAAACCCTTCCGCCGGGGATATTAGATGGCACCGTGGTGGGATAAACATAGGAAAATATGATCGGTGATATTCGAATGAATAAGAGAACGAGAAGTACGGAGGCAAAAATCTTACAACTCAACCTCAAAAAACAATGTTTTTCAAAAACCGAATCTATTTTCACCTTTTGGCCACATTCTGCCGCTATCCAAATGACCCCAACAGTCGAGCCCTTGGGCCGCGCGCTCTGGGAGCTGGCTAAAGCCAAGCCCAGGCGAAGGCATGTGGGACAGAGGGCTCGAAACGGGTCAGCTTGGTGCAGGTGGACCTCGGGGATTAGCTCTCTGGGTCTGGCGGTTTTGCCAAAGGCTTCCCACACTAGGAAAATATGATCGGTGATATTCGAATATATAAGAGAACGAGAAGATTAAGATAATAAGCGGTATAGAAGAGAGACGTCCTGGTTATCCCGGATTGATGTAGTACTCAGATGTAAACTGTTCAAATTCATCTTCAGACGGAAATAGTAGAAGAACAAGAATAGGAGATGCACCCACTTTCATCTATTCATTGGTAAAAATATTAGTACATGAAGTATACTAGTCATAATGCAGTACACTTGTCACCGCCAGGTCACCCACTCGTTATATCTCTACTAACCCACATCAAATAAGTGTCCCATGTAGTACTAGTGGCCTTGTCAAGTGTTCGCTCCGTGCCGTGGTCCTTACTCGATCATCTTCGCCTATATTTATAAGAGTAGTAGTAGTAGTAGGAGCAGTAGTAGTAGTAAGAGTAGTAGAGTGCCTAGTCTAGAGGTATAGAGTGTGCCCCGTTCTCGAAAACTAGCGTCTACGTATACGTCTAGTCCTCATATTTTTCATATTCATGATATACTAGTACAACTACTAGCCTTAGCAGCGTAGCCTTCTTCAACGCGGCTTTAGCTCGAAAAGCGTCAAGAACTTGACTGGCTTTCTTGCCCGGCCCGTCGTTGTTGAGGAGGCCACCGGCTAGTAGCTGCTGAGGAGTTAGAGCAGAACCAGTTTCAGTTTCTGTTCTGTGATCTTCAGCTTATTGTTCTGGGAACAAGTCCTACATCTTATTTGCGTACTTGTTTCAAAGAATGATGATCATTCTCAATCAATGAGTCCCACATCTTTGCTCACTTTCAATTTCATCAGCTATTCCTTTCTCCTGTGAGGCAATGCCGCGTTAAAAAACGGAAATGGTATAGCTATGAACAACTAGACGGAAATGACCTATTATTCTATGAACAAGAAGATGAACTACAAATGCCTTAATTGTTGCTCGCTATCCATCGTTTTCTTCAACTCTTTGATACTACCAAGGTGGGTAAGAGGTCTGTGATCCACCTCAAAAGAGCGCGCTTGGACCGGCGGTGACTTCGTTGAGGCAGCCGTTTTTTTGAGCTTGCCAAGAGCTCCAAACAAGGCTGCAATATTACCCACTCCTGTTGGTGTCACCGGTTCGCTCTCGTCTCCTGGCGGTACTCCCGTGGGCTCGTCGTTTTTGGATTTTCTAACTTGTTAGACAGTGCCAGTGTCGTCGTCGTAGTCTAATTATTGCATAGCTGTAGTAGTAGTTCTGGTTGCTCCTTAGTTCATTATTTCTGTGGAATTATAGTAGACTTGACGATGTCTTTGTTGATTCCCTTGTAAAGAATATACCCGGGGTATTCATCGCGAACATCATAAAGATCAAGCCCTTCAACAACGCCGCGGCCTCCAAACTTTGCCGTTTGTACCATTTCCTGTGCCGGTTGTAGCATTTCGTTCTTCATGTCTGCCGATGGCTCGCCCTTTGGTCCAGGGATCTGACTCGGTCCTTGGCCTGTCGCCTTTAGATGCTCGCCGACCAGTCGACCTCTCGGAGATGGAACCTGTAACATTTCGTTCTTCATGTCTGCCGATGGCTCGACCTTTGGTCCAGGGATCTGACTCGGTCCTTGGCCTGTCGCCTTTAGATGCTCGCCGACCAGTCGACCTCTCGGAGATGGAACCTGTAACATTTCGTTCTTCATGTCTGCCGATGGCTTGATCTTTGTTCCAGGGATGTGACTCGGTCCTTGGCCTGTCGCCTTTAGATGCTCGCCGACCAGTCGACCTCTCGTAGATGGAACCCCTATACTTACAGTTACATCGTTGCCTTTGATGACGTTGCCAGCATCACTTCCTATTCGTGCGGAGGAGTCCTTTCCTCCCTTTCCAACTACAGCTACATCTGCACATAGTATGAAAAAGGTCTACTCGAAAAACGGAAATAAGCGAGTAACAGACGAAAATAACCGAGATGCAATTTATGAGAAGGAAGAGTAGCCCTGATGTTAAGCTATAACCTCCCTCATTTCAGTCAGTAACTCGGTTATTTTGAGTTTTCGAATAGCTTATTCTATCTGGCCATCTTCGAGGCTTCGCCATCACAGCCAGTTAAACTTAAAATCAAAGTCTGCTTAGGCACAGAACACTTGGTTGACGGGTGGATTAAAACGAAGGAAAAGTTCAGCGGGTATCTACGGGTGGATTAAAACGAAGGAAAAGTTCACTGCTTAATTTTCTTTCAGTGCAAAATAAAGGATCCCCGACGCAGTCCCTCACTAATACCTGACAAGTCTAAAAAACATAATAGGCTTATGCTTTCCTTTATTTATTCTTCAATAGACCATCAAAACAGAGAAGCCACCAGGATGGTCGTGGGCATGGAGGTCATCTTTATTAAGGATAGAAAAATCTTTAAGGACCCTCAAGGCCATATTACGAAGGTCATTCTGAACTGTCTCGCGTTCAGGGTCGTCACTAAAGTCGTTCAGGGTCGGGTCGTCCACTGGGACCGCCGGGTATTTCTCAGCGGCTGACGGTCGATTACTGATGTAGATGTTGTCCTCGAATTAGCGCATTTTTTTGAAATGGCATTTTGAAGTTCGTTGTAAACCAGAAGTAGAGGTAAGTGATTCTGTGATGTTCTTGTTAGGCATAGGCATAAGTCGAGTAAGTAGTCTTCAGTCATGCACATACAACTACAAATAAATATGGAGACAAAGCTGATGCCTTAACCAAATCGAACATGCTGGCCGTCTTCCTGTTCATCATTCGGGTTCGGACCAACCCCGTCAGCCACAACATATCCGCCAACCCCATCTACGTCAAGATATGGAGCCTCCTCTTTTTAGAGGTCACAGAGTTACATTCCTCAGAACATCCCTGACTTATTAATTTCCTACTGCAAAAAAATCAGGGATGCTCATGAAAGATGTAATGTCGGAATCCTTAATCTTTGCTAGGATGCTTACGACTTTCACCTGGCTGGACCTGGAGAGCTTTGCTGTTCTTCTTACTCTTAGCGCTGCCAGAGTAGGTCATCTTCCATGCTTGTGGGGATGATTCACTGAAACAAGAGTTGGCATCCTCAACAACTGCGAGGATGCTCAGCAAGAGTATCCTCAACAACTGCGGGGATGATTGTCAAAACGAGTTGTATCCTCAACGCATCTGCGGGGATGAATATCAACGAGAGTTAGAAGTTCTACACGACTACGTATCACGACTATACTTCTAGTTGAAGACGAGGGGAAATTCTTCGGTAGCCTTAATACTGCTGTGGGCTGTTGCAGGGTGTGGCGGTTGGGGAAAATACCCGCGACGCTGAGCTGCAAAATCTGGAAGAGTAGTAGGGAAGCGACCTTCTTCAGTACCCTTCTATTAGACGCTAGATGGATCATCTTGCCTCCACCATATCTCCGAATTTCTAGAGCAGGTTAGTCTTCAAAAAACGGCTCCGTCTGTAACTCTAACTGTACAACTGCAGCAACATCAAGCTTCTACTTAGTTACTAGTACAACTAGGAGATTTGTCCACACAGCCCTTAAACATTAGCCGATCTTCATGTATCAACGACCATAAACAAGATAGCCCGTCTGCCTCGTCATCGGCTGATCCTCTCCACGCTTACACCTCTCCAGCAACTCGTCAAATGCTGCTAACTGCTTTTTCCGGTCATCTAAACTCCTTGTTGCGGCACCAACAACTCGTAGAGTCAATGTCCCAGCTGACTTGCTTGTTCCGTCCACCTGTGCGTGCGGTGATCGAATCTGTACGGTTGGATCCGCGTGTGAATTGTGCATCATATACCCCGTTGGATCCAGGTGAAATCCCTCGTCTTCCGAACTAGAGTCATCCGAACAACGAGAGTCGTCTACCGGTAACGGTATCTGTGCCACATTCGACTCATGCGGTTTGTAGGAAGAATTTAGCGGTACCAGTGGTAGTGGTACTAGCACTCGGTTTGTAGGAAGAATTTAGCGGTACTAGTGGTAGTGGTAGCTAGAAGGGGTCGTCTATCTTTACCAAGAACATGATCTTCATCAAATCAGATGAGGTTTACCAAGAGCTAGTACACTTCATCGAATCAGATGAGGTGAAAAACTAAGTCCTTAAGAAAGAAGTCGTATGATGTTCGACCACGCTTTTCTTCCTCAAACCGTCAATCCAATTCTTCAGCTTTTCTTCAGAATTGTCATCCCCAGGAAGCACTCTTTGAACCTGCGGCTTGTCCTTGTGGCGCTTTAGAGCCAGCCTTATTACTCATAATATGATCGCCTAATCTCGGCCCCTTTTCCAGTGTAATATTCTTGTTCTATGGGGTGAAGAAAAGGGTAGTAGCGAAGAGATGCTAAGAAAAATGCATGAGAATAAAGATATTGACCATAATCGTTTCGCGAGTTTATCCCGCTCACCTTGCGTCAGTCCTCTCTTCTTATTCCGAAAATGTTTGTCAACTGAAGAAGTTTCATGTTGTATTCGGTGATGAAGATGTAGTTACGCTCTCTGTTTGATACCTGAAAAGTTTCTAGTGCAATTTCGATCACACACAACCAAGTTTCTAGTGCGGTTTCGACCACAACCATGGTGAGAGGTGAAGGCTTGTAACCACAGATCATGAGAGTAATCCAAATCATATACCTAGCCCCCTTTTTACAAAAACGTACTAGACGTACCAGTATTTTTTTTCCAGTATCTATAAGTACAATAATACCCCATGCTTTCCTCGTTGCCACGTCCATATTTCGATACGCTGCGATGACGCTGCGAATCCATTTCTTGCCGCCTTTTTCTTTGCCGTAAACCACTTCCAACCTCGCGTTCTCCGCGTCGATCACTGGATCCTCATGCTTCACACGGTAAGGACTCGCCGGATCCCTCTTGAATGATCCTCTCAGAAGGTTAGAAAAGGAAGATCTGAAGGTTGATCTGAAGGGGTGAGCGGTTCATCATACATTGGCTTTCTTGACCTTGATCATTTCGGAACAGATGAAGAGGCATGATAAGAGGTTAAAAATTTATTACAAAAATTCCAATTTTTGGTTCAAATCCTCTGACTCATCATAACCTTGCGACTCGCAGCATAGGGTGGTGGGGGTCGCTCTCGCGTTCCAGAGGTATATTCCTGCCGGTTATTCTCCCACCCGACATGATTTTCTGAAGGTCGTGGTGGAAAAATTTGATTTTTTTCGTGAGGGTAGAATCCTTCAGATTCAGAGCGACATAAAATATGTACAAATAGTACTGGATAGAACCCGAATCCAACTAGCTACACGCGCTCCAACTAAACCCGGAAGCAGACAACATCAACCAGATAACAACAGCTTTCTAGCTTTTAAAAAAATCCTCGACTTCTTCCCAAACAAAAACAATAAATGGAAGCAGCAGCACCACCCTAGAAGTAAGTTGTACTCAATCCCGGATCTCCCAGAGTGAAAGCGCTGCTTTTCTCGAGATCGAAGAAAAACGGTCTTTTCCAACTCTGTTTCCTCACCTCCGATTGCTTCTCCGTAAACATCTTGCCTTTACAGGACAGCTTGTGCCCGTCAACGAATTCCAATTTCCGGGATCCGATCACCTGTGTGTAGTTGCATTGGGATTAGGACTAGGATGTGATCCGCCGTCCGCAGGGTTTAGCTGCATTCTCAACCGCATGGGTGCTTCAAATTGTTTAAAAGGTTACAGAAGAATGAACTTTTAGAAACTAAGTATATTAAATAATTGGGAAGTCGAAAGAGGTTATTTTCTTCATTAGGTTGTTTTTTGGATTTGATAAAAGTCTTCCACGACAACCAAAAGAGGAGCAACCCCTAGAGGGACAAGAATGTCATGTGGTCATGGATCCTCTTTTATGTGTCATACTGACACCGCACTCGAGGCCTTTCAACTATCCTCTTCTTGTACCTCCTGTTGAAGAGCTGTTGTTGTTCTTCACAAAACAATAAGATGCCACAATAGGAAGTACGTTCGCAATCTCCAGCCAGTATTTTTTGTCTCTGTTTGCCACTACCGGATTTCCTTTGAGGAGGAGCACAGTAAGCTGTGCGTTGTATGCCAGAGACTTTATCTATGACAGGCTTAAAGCGGTATTTCAGCAACGCGTTATAGATGCATGCTGCCTGGATTCTACTAGTACTGCTCTATTACAATTCTGTTCTATAACGTGTTGCTAAAATAACGCATTAAGGCTGCCATATTATCCCGTCAAGGGTTTCGATTTTGTTCTCGGACAGGTCCAAAAAATGCAAGTCCTCCAACGTCTCCATCTGCGCTACGCGTGTGATCTGGTTGTGCTGAAAATGAGCCTCAGCTAACAATTGGCAGAGCGGTATTAGCAGTTTCATATAACGATTCAACTATGGCAGAGGGAGAGGGCGGGGTATTAGAAATTCTAATTGACATGAGGGGGTGCGGCAGCAGCCCATGCCCACCTGTATGAGTAGACTAAAAGACTTTGATTTCGTGGGATTCAATTTCTTGAAAGAGACAACTAGTGCTCTCTCACGAAAATTCTCATCTACAGAAAAACTTTTTTTGAGTACTGCTATTTTGAGTACTGCTTCTAATCGACCACAGTCTAATTAAACCTCAGACACTTCATAAAAAGAGCCCCTTCGTCGTCGTTAGGAGATTGTGAGACACATCAACGTGTGTCAGCATCGGCAAGTCTAAAAGCGGCAGCTTTTCTAATCTCTTTTTAGAGCTACCGTGTTCGCATCCCTGAGTCCATCGTTCGTTCGCTTCTTTTCCTCACAGATAGAAAAGGAGCCAGGGACGGGGCTGAGGGTGCTTCAACGGTAGCCTTAATGTTGTGGGAGACGTCTAAATGTCGGCAGTTTCGGAATTCAAAGCGATTGAGATCACTAAGACCCATCTTCTTCAGGTCCACTTTCTCCAGCATAATTACTCGCCGTTCCGGGGAGCCAGATGAACCTGCGCTACCAGGGGAGCCAGGTGATGGAGAAGCCCTGAGTTGTCATGATGGAGAAGCCCAGAGAATCAGATCGATCATGATGGGTAGCTAATTTGAAAGGAAAATGACAGAGAAGAGAACCGAACGCAGCGCTAGATGTTGTCGAGAAGATAGAGACATAGTTATAAGAAGCCCATAATATGATGTTCCTCGTCCTCGAGCTACTACTCATTAAGAAGTTCTTGTATAATCTGTATGTGTATTATTCAAATATTTTTATAGTTAAAAATTCAAAATATTCCTCATTACCCAGGAGTCCCTCCCACCGCTGTTAAGATCTTGTTTCTGTTAATGCGGTTTTGGTGCAGTGCAGCAAGCGCTTCTAGGTCATCATCTGCCTCCTCTACGATCTTTTGTTTCTCTTAGAGCGCTGAGTGAAGAATGGTATTATCCCAAACCTTCACCAGCCAAGATAATTAACATTGATCTTTCTCACGCCTCTCACTTGGTGAACACTCCGCTGGCAGATCTGCTACGTGTTCACGCATTCCTTAATTGGTTGAACTTATAGGACCACCGTAGTGTCCTCGGTACAAAGAGCCAAACAGGGATCTTAAAACATCCTTCAATGCCTGGGGATCCCAAACACGTTAGTACCACAAATTATGTGGCCTTAATGTAAGAAGATAGGATCAGACAGGTCCACTTATTTATAAATTTTCACGATAAAGTAGGATTTTTCTTGGATGTTCTAATGTGGCTGGGGGAGCCATTAGGACCCCTGCGAGGAGGCTCCGTTTTCGTCATTCGCAACGCTATGACTCGGAAGTCCTATAGGTGTGGATAAGTGTAAAGCAATATTTTTCCTAAAGTGAATCATAGAGAGATGCCCCATAGGTGGGGGTTGTTGGTGATAAAATTTTCATCAAGTATTTCTTCGCTAGCTTGGCCGAAAAATGCTTTGAATGCTCGAAAACGTTCTTCCCTCGTAAGTGGGTCACTTACGTTTCTGGCCGAGCAGATCCAAGTAAAGTAAATATCGAGATTGTAGTCTTGTATCTTCTGATGGATACTAGCGCTAATCTTCTGCGTGCGCGAGCATCTGGTGCTGTTCGCGCATAACGCGAAAACGTCGCCTAAATTGTCGACATGCTGGATGAGGAAGAAGTCTTGAAGAAGGTGGGCCCAGATAAACGTGGACACGTTCACCGCTAACGCTTCCAAAATGCCAATGTGCACATATTCGCCGGCGAGGAAGCGTGGAAGGGAAGTCAGTTTCAACCGGAAAAATCGAGCGCCTTGTGGGAGGTTAATATAGGCGCCAATAGCCATTTGATGTTCATGAAGATTATCGAATTGGCCGCTTTTAAGTTTGTCATTGAGGCCTTGCACATCTTCTAATGCGGCGTCTGAATAAGCGTGACCCACTGGTTTATCAACTCGCGCCGGGTTGATACGTAGTGGTTTGACACGATGAAGAGCCCAGACCATCAATTTGATGGCGGCTAAGGCTCTGCTTCTTTCGGCAGCTTGACTTAAGCATCTCGCGAAGTTGTCGGCGAGGAAGTCGATGCCTTTTGCAAGGAAGATCTTGAGCCGGTCCAGCGACGCACAATGGCGAAATAGCCCTCGAAAGGTTAGTACCAGAGCTAGTTCGACACGATTTTCAGCAAATTGACGCAAGAGCGTTTTTCCCATTTCCACACATCGATTGATCTTTTCTGGGCTAACCGAGATTTTCAGCCCGAAATGGCGCAAGTTGACGGGGTTTATTTCGTAAGCAAGCCCTAGAACCGTAATAGATTTTTGGAAACGGTGATGACGGTCGTCTTTCTCCGGGCTGCGCCACCAGCCCGTAAGGCCGAGGTAAAGGTTGATGAGTTCCAGTTGTTTTGTAATGCACTCTGGTCGACATTGCGGGTGGAAGTCGTCGATGTAAGCCGTAGTCAGGACTTGGAGCAAAACTACTATGATAATTTGATGAATCTCACTAGTGTGTACGCACTCGTGTACGCTAGAAAGTGCCCCAAACAGTGCTACAGTGGATGGGGTCACTTGCCATCTGCGAAAACGCCCTTGTTTATCTGGTTTCGAAGCGACATGAACGGAATTTGGCTGGAGATGTGAATCGGGCACCTTGTGGGGAACTGGGTAGAACATCACGTTTTTAAGGGGGTCTTCGGTCCCATGCTGGAAGTAGTAGCCTTCCATGTCTGCCTTTGCCATTGCTGGCACGAAGCTGTACTTGAGGTCGGGCTTGTGCACGGGATTGCGGTAAATCTTCTTGTTCTCCGGTTGAGATTTATCGAACAATTGCTGATGTTCTTGGATAAGTTGGTCTCGTATCACCTTTTCCGTAATGACGTCATCTTTCACGTCTTGCTTGTTCTGCAAAAGCAGATGTCGTTTCTTCCAGTCGGTGTGTTCTGACATAAGAGCGCACGATAACTCAATAGACGCGCGCGAACCTAGTAATCGCATGCGTTCCTTCACCACTTGAAGCTTGTTCTGACCTCTCAGGTCGACACAGGTTCGGATCTTGTTCGGGTTCTCCGGAGTCGGTTGGTGCACCGGAAAAGGAACAGCCCCGCCAACAGGCGTGATCGAGGAGATTGGAGCTGGCTGCCAAAAGCCTTTCTTGTTCATTTTCAAGTATTGTTCCCAAAGCACCTCGATCTCCGTCTCGGACGCCCAGTGGTTGTGGTCTGGTGGCATCCTTGCTCTTCTAGATGCTTCTTCTGCAATTGCTCGTTTGGCATCAACCTCGTCTGAGTCAAGGAGCCTCCAGAAACCACATGGTTCTACTTCCTTATCCATGGAGATGCCACTGATCATCTTATGTTTCCAAGAGAGGATGGAGTCAGCATTTCTGTCCACCAGTGCATCGCAGCCTCTGGCAATAGAAACCGCCAGTTCCAACAGGCGGTGAGCAAACGCGAAGTTCTTACCATCGTACACGACCTTAAGGTGGGGTGGCATCTTGCTAAAGATTTCTCGATTTTTTTGTCCTGAGGCTGTGCTCTTCGGCGATGAGCCAAGATGCCAAACGCGTTGCCTCCGCATTAATCTCGTCAGGTAATGAGACCTTGCTCTTCGTAATGGTGGGCGTAAAGTAGTCCGGTAGTGTTGGACCGGCACCATAATCGCGCGCTTCGTCCTTCTCCAACACTGGTTTCCAACTATCGACTGCTTCTTGAACCAACTTCTGTTCGGACTCCGTTGATGACATGAAGAATTGTGAACTGACCTCAGACAGTGATGAGGGGGAAGTCGGTTTGTCTTCGTGCTGGACTAGTGTCGGTCTCCCGATCGTAGTTTCGACAGTTTGTAGGATTTCTGGTTTTGTAAAAAGTTGATAAGAGGCCGCTTTGCATTGGGTAAATTTCTGCGGTACAGCTTTAGATGAAGATGAACTACTGGCGACTAATGACCGAGCATTTTCTGCTTGTTGTTTGAGTTTCTTGAAAAACGGGTTCGTGAAGAGTGAATAGTCGACCTTGTTGATATCCACCTTGCTTGCCTCCGGGCTAGGATAGGTGTCAGACGATGCTCTTCCACGTTTTGCATTGCTCGCACGAGTAGGCGGCTGATGGCTTTCGATTGGCAGCAGCAGCTCCGGTTGACTACTCCTGGCTGCGGATTGGTGACTGAGTAGCCCGCGCAGGGCTGGAGGCAAGTCGCAGTTACTTGATGCTGTCAGGTCCAAGTCGTTTTGCAAGCGCAGTTCGACAAGAAGGCCGTCAAAATCTCCGCGCTCTTTCTTCTCTAAGTATGCACGCCTTTGTAAACGCAGTAGTTCAAGATGGGACTGTCGCAAGAAATGCCCCCATTGTTGTTGTTTGAGCTCATGCAGGATCTTCTCTTGCTGCAATCTAGTAAAGGAGTCCGGGTTGTCATAGTCATACTGCGGTCGCCCTTCGTCGTCCACTGGGGCGTAGTACAACGGTGGTTCATCTTCTTGATCGGATAAATTCATTTTGATGCTAAGCCGGTATGCACAGGGGGGAAGGGGGAATCAAAGTAGGGTCTCGGCAGCGGTGAAACTGGCTGTGAACGTTAGTCTTCACGAACAGCGATGCTCTTTCCTGCATTCGTGGTTGTATGCCTCCACTCGTTACCTACGAAAGATACGATGTGGACTTTCACGCGTAGGCTTCTCCACCCTCGTTTCTTCTGTAAGCTCCTCAGGGCGGCCACTGTCCGATTGTTCGCCGTGAACAGTGTATCGCCGATGAAATAGCCTCGAATTTTTAGGTCTTTTGTGAGGTCTATGTCTCTACGATGAGTGAATTCATTTAACGCGGTGAAGATGCTTTGGCCCGCATAAGGTCCTTTGTTGAAAAACTTAGATATATTATTTTGGGAGAAACGAAGATTTGAAATATCGGTTTCAATTATGTTCATTTTGTGGCTGTAATCGCTACCATGAGGTAAGATTAACAAAGGACTTTTATTTTCTTTTCCTGTCGTGGAGTTTATTGTGGATTCTTTTTGGGATAGAGTCGAGCCGAGCAAGGTCATCCGAAATGAAACCACTCTTTTCAACTATCACAACGCTGCAGGATCAAGTGACACGCACAATCTTGGAACAGCAGAACCATAATTACTCGCTATAGTCCGACAAGGCAGCTCGCCGTCGCTACTACAGCTCGAAGAATTTTATGGGGGTTTCACAAAAACTGGGCAAAAGTTGCATTGTATAACATCAAAGGAGGATCATTTGCTTCTTACTTCAAGGGAAGGCAAAGTAACGCGCAGAGGGCTGTGTATATACGGGATCTCAAGAATGTCTATTGGTAACGAGAGAAGATCTTTATTTAACTGATAAAACTCAAGCTTCGATACGATTATGATGGTGGGGGGGAGGGGGAAAAGGATGAGACTTTCAATATCTGATCTCGGGGGAAGGTTGGTAGTCAGTTTGAAGCAAGTTTCTTCAACTGATCGGGGTTCAACTTTCCTTGGAGGAAGGCTTTATTGAGATACTCCAATAATTTGAGATCTCCCCCATGCTTGTTTTTATTGGGGCAGTGCTTGCCATTGCATTTTCCTTCCATCCATGAAAGGCAGGTTTTTTCATCTTCAGTCTTCTTCTTCTTCGTTGGTCTATCCTCCTTTTGCGATGGAGAGGGTTTCCTCGACTTAAGTGCTCTTATTTCTGCTTCTAAGGATCTCGTCCGTTGATTGACCTGTTCACGGACTAGTCTATCAATCTCGCTTTTCATTTTCTTCAGAGCCTCTGCTTCAACACTTTCCCTTCGCTTTTCGACTGCGATCTGGGACACAAGGTCCGGGAAAACGTTCCCTACTAGTGTGGCTTGCAGCTGACGTTGCTGGAAGTTCGGGCCGTCTGCTACCGGTGTAGGATGTGCAAAATTGACCTTGAGTATCGAATAGAACAGCTCGTAAACAGCATCCAAAGACAATTTTTGTTCGTCTGATTTCGGGTCAAATGATCCGGCCACAGCCTTCATCATTGTATCTTGCAGCGCGTTTGTGTCTGCGTCGTTGATAATCTGGGTACACCGGAACGTAGCTAGTAGTGATAGGGGGAAAAGGTTCAGATTTGCTGGAGGTTTAATAAGGCGGTCGTAGTTTCTGGCCTGGAGCTGCCTAAGCACAAACAAGTATTGAGCTGGTGTGCATTTATGCCGAAGGTTGGCACACCGTTCCACCACTAACAAAACTTGCGCATCCGTCGGCACGCCGAGACCTTCATTTTCTTGAACTGCTTGTTGTCGCAAGATGTTATCGTTCATTTGCTGCATCACTACGGCTGGGGCGGCCGGTGGAAAAGCTACCGCTGCAATCGGTTGCGGTTGACCAATATCTTGTGGGAGGGCTCCAACCAAGCCTCCTTGCGCTACCCCTTCTGGTGCAGCTACACCTCCAAGAACTTGGCCTGGTATTAACGGTCCTGCTGCACCTTCTGCAATCGCAGCACCGTCTACCTGAGCTGCTGCTCCTCCTGGAGGCAGCCCCACATTCAGTGCTTGTTGTTGGTCCATCTTGTTGGTAAGAATATGTAAACAAAGATTCGTAGAAACGTGAAAGAGAAAAAAATAAAATACAAGAGAAGAAGTTTAAGAAAAGAAACGGCTATTAGAAAGAGACCTGCAGCAGCCATAGGCAAAATTATAAATTAAAGCCAACTGTTGGTTATATAGGGGGTCAGTAGGGGGCCTGAGAAGGTCGAACACGCCAAGCTTCTTTCTGGGCACCGTACACACTACTAGAAGGAAGGAGAGAGGTCGGCTCGGCTGTACTATGAGAGCAGGATGCTCCAACCGTCATTGTCCCGATGGAGTAGTCTTTTGGGGCAAATAGTATTGGTTTCTTCAAGGGCCATCGCACCCCAACGTCATCTGGTAGTGCTCTGGCATTTCCCAAGTATCTATACATGCTATCGATAGATTGCCAACGACCTACTTGCTGAATCTCAGAGTCCGTTAGGCCACCGTCTGCCGCGGATCGTGCTCCTCCAATCCGCAGCGAGTGCAACATGATGGACTTCTTGTAGTCGTTCTCGCCCACTTGTACTATAGGATTCGAAATATGGGCTAGTTGGAGCAAACCTTCCATCAGTTTCAGGAGGATCCTGGGTGGTGTATTAGCGAAAAAGAGAAAGTCTTTTTCTGGACAGCAGCACTTGGGACAAATCTGTATAAAATCCATCCCCAGCGAGGGGGAATGGCCACACGCGCATCCCAATTCGACTACTTGTTTATTAACACCAAACTGGTTATTTTTGGCCGAATCGACTGTAAGGATGATCGAATTGTTTCCTTTTGTCCTCTCGCAGGTTGACGTCTCATCGAGTCTCATCATGAAGAACCAGCAAAAGATCGCGAAACGCAGGAAGGACACCGCTTGGTATTTCTGCGATCCAACTTGAATCGTGGCCAAAGGGGTGCTGGTAAAATGGAGCACGAGGGTCATTATGTGCCTGAGTCGAATCCCGTGTTGTTGGAACTGGTTAGGCGCAGACCGCAAGAACATCCTAGCAATCTGCAAAAAGGATTTCCTTACCGGGCCGGTAACGGTCTTAATCAGGTCAGCGAAGCACTTGACATACTCCATATTCTGGGCTTTGGAACGTCGGAAGTCTTTACATTTCTGGAAGGCTTGGGCTAGAAGTTGGACTCCTTTCACTTCCATGTATCTCGGGTGCGGGTCTCGACCTAGTATCAGCATAAGTTCCACATACTTCTTGTACCCGGACTTGTAAGCTCTGATCGTGGTAGCTGATAACCGGGACTGCAAGTCGAACTCCGCTATTTCGTTGGTCAGATCGTCTACATATCTTATCGGCGAGCTCACTATGGACGTCATAGGTGGAATGGTTTCCGGGAGCCTATGCGGGTGACTTTCAACATCTACTCGGATCGTGTCCAACGCACTCTTCCAGTCTAATAGTTCCCCTGGGCCAGTTCGTCTGGCTGTGGAAGCAAAAGCGCCTCCTGGCTTGTGGACAATCCCGCGAGAGAAATGGCGTCCATGGCCGTTTGGATTAACCACGTCTAGCTTTGATGAGCCACTATGACTACTCGTCTCACCACCATTTTGCTCTGCTTCAACTGCCTCCTTCTCGTCTTTATTTAGGATGGCCGCCATTGCTTCCATTGATCTTCTGTGTAAATCTTGGTCAGCAATCACCGGGGGAGGTGCTATTGCTGATAGTTCAAGTTCTTCGGCTGCAAGAGGAAGAGAAGCGGGTGGAGAACAAGGCTGCTTCTTGCTCGTATCTGCGTCTCTTCCGTGATGGAATTTTTCTAGTACTTGATCGCTAAGTTTAAAGTCGGCGCTAAGTCCAAGACTCTCAGCAACGGCTCTCTTATGACTAGTGTCCAGCCCTCCAAGTGCAAAGGCTCGGAAAGGGGGGTCACCGAGCGAGGGGCCACTACTAGTCACTTTTTTGGACGTTCCTGAAGCCTCTCGCAATTGTTCTGAAAAAGGTGTAAAGGCATGCGCAGTCGTCTGCCGGTCAGCAACCAAGGCTTGGACGCGCGCCGACCTTCCAGGCATTATGGGTGGGTTAGTGGGTTTTTAAACGTAAGTTGCTTCTGCAACACGTAAGTGACTAAGTACTCCTTGCCCTATCGTTTCAGATCTTTAGTTTATTTAATTCAAGTTCCAGAGCGCAACAAGATCAATCTGTAATTATCCCAAACCTTCACCAGCCAAGATAATTAACATTGATCTTTCTCACGCCTCTCACTTGGTGAACACTCCGCTGGCAGATCTGCTACGTGTTCACGCATTCCTTAATTGGTTGAACTTATAGGACCACCGTAGTGTCCTCGGTACAAAGAGCCAAACAGGGATCTTAAAACATCCTTCAATGCCTGGGGATCCCAAACACGTTAGTACCACAAATTATGTGGCCTTAATGTAAGAAGATAGGATCAGACAGGTCCACTTATTTATAAATTTTCACTTTGCCGTTCTAAATATCGAGATCCTTCTTCCCGAGCGACGTTGTTATGTCCCATGGCAACAGATCGAAGATTTTAGGAACGGAGCTTAAATTATACGGGGATGGCACGGTCGTTAACCCGTTCGTACAGTCACACGTAAGTTGCTTCTGCAACACGTAAGTGACTAAGTACTCCTTGCCCTATCGTTTCAGATCTTTAGTTTATTTAATTCAAGTTCCAGAGCGCAACAAGATCAATCTGTAATTAAAGTGAAGAAATAAAGGAACAACCATTAGTTTGTTAGCAGTTATAATGAAATAAGAGAAGAAATAAACTGTAGTGGTCTGATGTATCTGTCAGTTTGTTCTTAACTAAGTTTCATATGCTTGTGATATCCTCGATGGGCTTCCCGAGTCGCCTCTCGGTGCCTCTCCTTTTGAGATATCACATTAGGGTCCCCGATGCTGCGGCGCAGGATGTTGGCCTTGATGCCTCCTATGCTGCGGCTCCGCGTAGAGGACTTCTTCTTCCCATCATTGTTATTATTCTGCTTTGCTGCACTGCGACTCTGCGTTTTTGCAATTCTGGCTAAAGCCTTCTCTCTACTGATCTTCTTTCTGGCTAGGCATTAGCGTGTGGCAGGGAGATCGAACAAATGTAGTTGTTCTTAGTGTAGTTCTTAGTGTAGTTCTTAGTGTAGTTCTTAGTGTAGTTCTTAGTGTAGTTCTTAGTGTAGTTCTTAGTGTAGTTCTTAGTGTAGTCTGTGTTGTTCGTAGTGTAGTCAGTGTACCAGTGCATCTTAGTGTTTTAGTTATAGGCAATGTTGTGCTTGATGTGTTTGCTTTCGATATTGATTGTTTTCTTGTTGGATGTACTATCCAGGATAGTACATTCAAAAAGATACTACTACAGAGTAACCCAGAAGTAAGTCGTGCAGATGATGAAGTAAGTGTAGTCCATAATCTCCACCTGGCCCTCCATCTTCAAGTTTCATCACTTCAAGAGACAACATTAGAAGAAGCGCGCATTCTCCCGGAAGGTGGTGAAAGGTGGTGGGCTATCCAACATGTTCTTCACAAAGAATAAGCTTCGAAGCCGATAGAACAGTGCAAAAGTAAAAGGACAAGAAGTTGTGCCAGTACTTCGTACTACTACGTACGAAGTATAAAAAGACACTGCGATCATGGATTACCATTATAGATGCAGCACTAGGCCCTTACTAATCCCTCTCCTTCTCCCTGTATTAATCTTAGAGATAGATTTTTGGTGTTCGTTTATGCCGTTTGTTATGCCCGTCTCCCTTAGGAGAGCTATAGCTCAAACGGTAACAAGACCACCTTTAGCCAACCCTTAATAATCCCTCTTCTCCTCGAGCATGACGCGGTTTCTCCATCGGCGGGGTGCTTGGTGCGGAGGATGCGGGTGCTAGCTCTTCTAGAAGCATGCTTGCCGTGTCTGACCGCATACTAAACTTCCGACTCAATGACGGAGAGGCGGATCGACTGCTGGACGCCAACATCTTGCTTCGTTAGCCAGCGTTAGGGACGTTCAAGTTGTTGTGGTTTCACTCGGAGGACATGGTCATGGTCATGTTCAGTACAACCAATGCTTCAAGGGAACAAAGGTCGTGGTGTCGGGTTCTGCTACGTGTTGTTCTTCGGAGGTCCTGTGTCGTACACGCCCTATCAATCTGAATCCATGAAGTATGCTATCAAAACGATGAACCACTGGTCTCCGAGGTCGGCAGTGCAAAACAATCATGGCAAATCGAAACACAATTCTTTAAACAATGTCGTGTGAGCATCAGCAAAAATGGAGGTCAAGGTATCGAAATCAAAATGCGCCAATTTGGAAAACAACTCCGAAAACCAAACGATTTCCGCAATATAGGTGAGGGAGAAACATCTTCACTCAAAACTTCAAGGAGCACAGATTAAATACAACAGAAATACAACTACTCACTTCTACAAGAATACGACGTTCGCTATTTAGTCACAGAGAGGTGGTTTTCAGGTGGCCCGATGAAACCGATGCAGTACCTCTAATGCTTCCTCTCTTTAGTGCGAGCTACCGAAAATGTTCGTGGGCACGATTTTCACATCTTAATCACTCCCGTTCTCCTGTGTTGTGTCCTGCCTGAGATTTTTTTATACTCGACATTTGTGCCTGCAGGAAATGAAAAAGGCGTCCAACAGGTAGCACGCTAGGCTGAGATAACTGGTTCTTAATTTTGAAAATTTTTTTCTTTTGGAATCAATCTGTATGTTCATTTTTTGACAGTTTTCATCCTTTAAAGAAATGACATCAACAAGGGTTCATGTTTATACAAGGTCGACCAAGAAGATACCAAGAATATGCTTCAACTGTATGTGTATGTGGCGTATTTCTCTCAATCCAGTACTGTATGTCTCTGAGTCAATGGCTGAATCAATACGGCGTTTTTCTTTGAATCAATATGGCGTATTTTTCTCTACTAGATCAAAGTGGCGTGTTTCTCTGGTGAATCAATATGGCGTAGCATGCCCTAATGGTGTAGTAAGTATTTGCTCTAAATGGAATCGCTTTTCTGGCAAATATGGAATCGTTTTTCTGTAGATATGGAATAGTTTCTCGTCTAAATGGAATCGTTTGTCTCGTCTAAATGGAATCGTTTGTCTCGTCTAAATGGAATCGTTTGTCTCGTCTAAATGGAATCGTTTGTCTCGTCTAAATGGAATCCGTATAAATGGAATTGCTTGCAGCCTAACTATAATATGGAATCACTGGAATTGGTTGTATGCTGAAATTTTCACTGGAAAAATGGTCGCAGTCCTATACAAGCTGTGTATGCTCCCTCCTTCTCCTACTTACTTTACTACTTAAATCACTCTATGGAATCAATCACACCGACTGCTCCACAGGACTCTTCATCTTACTAGGACTTCCACACAATTTTGTGGGGCTCCTCCTTGTCTTACGCGACTTGCTCTCAGGGCTTTTCAGAGTCAATCCAGCTCCAGGTCCTTGCCCTTTGCCGGGACTATGAAGCCCACCTCCCCTGTTGGGACTATCAAGACTAGCCTTGTTGAGCCTATCAAGTTTACCTTCCTTGTAGTTGTGACTATTCGAGCTGCCTCTATTCGGACTATTCAAAGCTCCTTGTTTTCCCGGACTCTTCCCTGGGCTTCGTAGTCTTTGAAAAAACTTTGCTAAAGGCCAAGCTTCCAACATTCTCCATTTTATGCGTGGAGCAGGCACTACAGAAGAAGTTGTAGTAAGTGGTAGTGCACAACTTGTAGTAAGTGCTGTACAACTAGGGGGTGGTACAACAGTAAAACTACGTGTTTTGGATGTACCCGAACTCGAAGAGTTGTATCCGTCATCCCCACTTTCTGGTGGTCCGCTTTGCTGATGTTCGGCCTCTCCGTAGTCGATTGTTTGCTCAGATTCAGATCCTAGCACGGCTTCTCCTTACCTTAGAGGATGAGTCATAGAAGAAGAAGTCAAGACTAGATTATTGTTGCACGGGGTAAGCCTAAAATTGTAGAGGTGAAAACTAACCGGTTATCATTATAAGAGTAGCCTTGAATAGCTACGTCCCTTAAAAATATTTCACCTAGTAACTCGGTTATTTCCAGTTTTCGACTACACTGAGAGTGAGAGAGAGATGAGACATCACAATCACAAAGTGTATGACAGAGTATTTACTCCCTCACGAATATATGCTGGATATGATAACAACTTCTAATATGGACAAACCGCTAAGTCCTCGACTACGTGTAGGATAACAGCTATGTATGACATAACTCCCGTCTTTTCGGATCGGGAGCGCGATTGGCAGCTACAGCCTGTCGATCCCGCTCTTCTTCCGCCTCTAACTGGGCCTCCAACTTCTGCCGTCTAGCCTCCATTGCTGATCGAATTGTCAACTTCTTACCAGGCTTATCATTGGGGATTAGACACGGAAACGAGGTACTCAAGTTCTTGTGCTGGAAGGAACCATCATGGAAGTTAGTAGAAAGTGGAAGTCAAAGAAGAGAGATTTTTAGGATCTGGGTTCCGATTTAGACAAACGAGGGTAGAAGTGAAGAAAGAAGTATTTTCAGTTTCAATACAGCTACTGTAGAATCGTATTTTTACATTTGTTTCCAGCAAGAATAATCATTGACTTAAAGTTATCAGACCGTCAGGCCGCTCTATGCGATCCTGCATGTCCTTGTTTACGACGCCGTCTTTCCTCTCCGCACGCGGTGTCATTTCGCTCAGATTCGAAGTCGACCGCCCAGTGAATTAGAAGACAGATCATAAGGGAATGAGCACTCGGAAGTGAAATATAGTTAGTTATAGTTGTAAGTAACAAGTCTAAGTAAGCCTTGAAGCAAAGAGAACAGTGCTGGAAGAAGTGAAGATCTTCTAACAAGTCTAAGTAAGTAATGTAAATGCTTGTTTCTACTTTAGGCGTGAGGTGATACGGCTTGAGTCTACGACTTCCCTGGCTGCCCTCTTTATAACCTCAGTCACATCCATGGCGCACTTTAAGCAAAACGCACTCAAGAAAGTAACACTCAAGAAAGTAACACTCAAGAAAGTAACACTCAAGAAAGTAACACTCAAGAAAGTAACACTCGGTACCAGCAATACATATGCCTTAAGATTCATCGAGAGTGTTTAATAACCGACCTTCTTGTGGTACTCCTTCTTGTGCTTGTTCCGAAAAAGTCTTACCAGTCTCAGCGTCACCCCCATCCTGCATGGGATGAAACGTCCTCAAATACTCCAGGTGCAACTGAATTGAGGGATCGATAATGTGATTAGAGGACTGGATTGTGAATTAAGGATCGGGGATTAATGTCATAGTGATTGTTAGAACAAGTGAATCGAGAAGTATCACTATACACAAGTAGCATCTTGAACAAGCGGGAAACCAGGACCGATTTATGCGTTTAGAATGTTTCTTCTCTCCACTCAGTGCTGTGAACGAAGTATTTTTCAGAAGATCTTAAAAAAATTGGTAACACTATGAATACGCATATTCTACTTCTTTACATCGATCAAGAAGTTCTTATTTATCATTATCTTCATCTTCGCCCCCATAAATTTCCCGCCCCCTCTCCTCAAAGCACCGCGGTCGTCGGCCTCATTGGTAAGGACGTCTAAAGCGTCGATTTGTTTTTTGCGAGCGTCAGTCGTTCGACTTGCGTCTGCTACGATACGCAAAGTAATAGGACTCGCGATCTTCGTTTCGTCTTTCCTCTTTTATTAGAGGTTTCCCAGATGTAAGTATGAGTAGTTTATTTATTAGTATTTTCCTTCCTCAGCCTTAATTTCTAAACTCGGACTCCAATTCTGTACCTTTTTTTCTCGTTGGCGGGAAAAAAGTTTGAAGGCGAACCGTCGGATCCGCGTGGGACCGGTAGAGCAAATAGGAATGAGCATCGATGTCTTCATCTGCGTGGCTACTGCGTGTGTGCATCGCATGTTCACTAGTATTGCGACGCGCTTTACTAGAAGCACGTAGTTCGTTGGCGCCGACGCTTGCACTTTCTGGCTGTCCAGTAGCTGAAACGTCGCCACCTGCTTCTTTTTGCCCAGTATCGTTAGAACTGTAAGAGAAACCGATCTCCAGGAACCCATCTTGAGTCCCGTTTGTAAAGGGACGAAAAGGGGACCCAAGATGCTGCTGAAGATGGATTTCTCCTAGTCTTAACAGTAGCCTCTCTTCCAGCCACAGTAGCCTCTTCCTCTGTGTCCGACACTCTTCTAACAAATTCCAAATCATGATATTCTACCAAGCTCTTCTTCCCCAGGTGGAATTAGAAGTAGAAGTCAGTACTTCTATAATATAGAGTAAAAGCTGTGTACTGTAGAGGACTCTCTGGTGTCAAGTGTCGTTCAATATAAAAATAAAGGGCAACAACTGGCACAACTTCAGTTAGAAGATGATTGAGCAACGGGCGTAGTTGTTTAAGAACATAAATTGAAATACAATACAGGTTAGGATAGAGCTCCTTCCATAAACTTGATCCTCTTCTAATTCATCCGTTCCAGGTGAGGAGCGTCTTGGCTTGTCTGCATATCGGTCCTTCATCCGCTGGTAATGACTACGAGGCAATCCACGTTCTTTATTTCGAAAGAGACGGCGCACTGGTGTAAATTGTGGATGTCATTTCATTTTAGGGTTCGTTCTATATTTCGAAAGAGACAAGACCCTCACTGGTAAGTGGGACGATTGTGGAGACCATGGAAGTTTAACTTTTTGTTTCTGGAGACTCAATCCTCGAGAATCTGGAACTCATTAACTTTCTTGCTGGTTGAAAAAAGCAAATCACCCTATCATGATAGATAAAGTACCGAAATTCATCCTTTCGACGCTATCCATCTGGCGATATTTTCGGATCGACGACTGCAGGAAAGCCTTCTGATTTTTTTGATTCTTGCCATAGAGTGCTTCCAACCTTGCGTTTTCAGCATCAATGATAGGATCTGGATGCCGCAATCGATAAGGAGTCCGCATATCTACTTGTCTTAGAAGAAGCTGATGGATTTTCCCATGTATAATGAGGACGTTTCAACAGATAAGTCAGTGTCGAGAACTTAGAGACATCGGCATGAAGCAAGCTACCCAACTACATAAGTACTTCTGCTAAGTTTCTTCAGATATAAAAAGTGCCAGAAATACAACTAAGGAGCCAGCTAATAAAACAAAATTCTATGTTTCTACTGTGTCTCGTGTCCTATTAACGGTCGAGCCAGCCTAACTAGGAAAAACCAAAAACCGAAAAAAGAACCGTATCATATTCATAATTTAGGTCTCCACAAACATATGTCGTCTTCTCTTTTCATTAGCTGCAGGGAGCCTGATCCTCTTCCAGAAGAAGTGTATGCCTCTCTTTTGTTACCCCAATTTTTGTTCTGGTTAGAGGAAGAAAAGAACATTATAAGGCACGAACAACTATTTTTAGGATCTTTAGTAGTTGTGAACTCTTACAGCAAGAGTCAAAGATGGTTCTTTTTTGATCATATTAAAGAACATTATACTATATAGTACAAGAACTTCTTCGCATGAGAAGTTGTTCTTCTACTTAAATGGCGACAATGACAAAGAGACCTTCCTGCAGCCCGTGAGCCCCTTCACGACCGTGTCTTTTTGATGCACCATGATGTTCATGTTCTTTCTAATAGTTATAAGTTGTTCCCCTTGATGACGTCGTACGAGTATAATTGACTATTAAGATAGTTCCAAAGTTATTATAAATCAGAATCAACATGAGCACCATATTTTAAGTGGCAGCTCTACTTACCGACAATGACAAAGAGACCTTCCTGTTGCTCGTAAGATAATGGATGCCGTGCATGGTTTTCGAGGCTAATCCAGGTCCAGCACGAGCGGCCGCCTCCAGCTCACAAAACATCGGTCGATACCAAAAATTAGAGGGGAGTCTAGGGAATTCATCTTGGACCTACTCTTTCCGTCTTGGTGGGGTTCAACTTCCGCTTGAGACGTCTAGGAAATTCATCTCGGGGACTCATCTACTTGGAACTCTTTAACCCTCACGGAGAAGGCCTAGAAGAAATCCATCTCGGGGATTCACCTTGGTGTCCGTTTTTTGTTTCGGAAACAGGCACGAGATGCTGCGCGGATACATCTGGGAACTCTGTCCTCCCCCATTGAGATTCATCTTGGAACTCTCTCCTCCTCATGGAGCAGAGTCTGCTGATGGATTCAGCTGGATCCAGAAGGTTCCTCTTTATTGCACACTGTTGTTCGTTCTTAATTTTACAGCAGAAGATGATTGTGAATTTATTAGGGTACTAAGCGTGAGCCTTAAAATAATGTTTTTCGGATTCTGACTGGGAAAACTTGAAACTCACTGGCCGCATTAGCTTTTTATCATCAATATACTGCAACCGCGAACCGCAGTACTGGAAGTGAAGAGTGGGCTTGGTTTGATCGTCCGAAATAGAGATTATAATCCTACTTACTTCAGTAGTGGAGGACGTGAAGATGATCTTTCATCGCACTACTTCTCATCAGGGTTCAAACCTATCTCACAGACAAAGATGCAACTTCAGTCCACCCATCAGAACGTTTAATATTCACGTGCAAATATACTTCAGCCCACGAAATTCATTTTTCGAGTGCAGGAGGAGGGAACAAAATATGATAACAAGGCATACAACCGAGGGCTTTTCAAAGTCAGTATTTCCATATCGAGGAAAAGCTGCGTAGACTGACATAATTTTCTTCAAAGTCCGCTCATACTACCGCCCACAGGCCGGGGCAAGGCGGAAGGGTCTTGCAAATTCTACGAGCTACATTAAATAGACTTACGGCCTACCGGCGTGCTACGAATTTATTACATGAGGAAAGGGTAACGGGGTCCGGCGTAAGTAAATCAGTCACGTGCTACAAGCTGCTACGTTTTACATAAGCGGAAGCACTGGCAAAGTGCTACGCTCTTTTTAGCCTTTGGACCAGTTTCAGCTCGCTGCCCAAATTGGAAGGCTTTCCCCTTTGAACTAGCTCAGGACCCCTACCCAAATAGCGCCACTCTAAGAGGCTGGCGCCTGCTATTTTTGAGCTGCTTGAAAGGTTCTACCCTTTGGCAAGCTGACCCAGGTCCCCTACCCAAATGGCGCAACTTGATGCGGATGCCGTCTACTTTTGACCCGCTTGGAAGGTTCGCCCTTTTCTTTGAGGAGCTGAATCAAGCCGAGCCCCCCATCCAAATGGCGCCGCTTATTTTAAGAGGTTGACTGCTGCCCACTTTTAGCCCGTTTGGATGGCCTTACGCTTACCCTTTGAGGCGGTTCAGATCTCCTATCCAAATCATGGCACAGCGTTGCGAAGTTGCTGCCTACGTTTGAGCAGCTTGGAAGGCCTTGCCCTTTGGGCTGAGTGACCCGACTCAGGTCACCCATCCAAACAGGCCTTCTCTAGGGGGTTGCTGCCTGCTTTTGAGCTGCTTGCGAGGCCTTACCCTTTGGGCTGACTCAGGTCCCCTATCCAAATGGCGCAGCTCTATGAGATAGCTGCCCAGGTTTGACTTGTTTGGAGGCTCTTACCCTTCGAGCTGGCGCAGATGAGATCCCCTACCCAAATGGCACACCTTTGGCGGGCTGTTGGCTACTCTTGGATGGCCAAGCCCCTTGGGGTGGCTTAGAGGGGGCCGATCTCTTACCCAAGCGCGCAGCCCTAGGGGGTTGCTGTGTACTTTTGACCTGCTTGGAAAGTCTTACCCTTTGAGCTGACTCAGGTCACCTACCCAAATGGCACAACTCTACGAAACTGCTGCCCACTTTTGACCTGCTAGCTTGCCCTTTGAGCTGGCTCAGGTCTCCTATCCAAAGAAATGGCGCAAATTGGTGCGGCTGCTGTTCACTTTTGAACCGTTTGGAAGGTCTTACCCTTTGGGGAGCTAGCCCAGCCTCCCGGTGGCCGGTGGCCCAAGTGGCGCAGCTTCATGAGATTGCTGCCCACTTTTGACCCGCTTGGAAGGCTCTGCCCTGTGAACTGCCTCAGATCTCCCACCCAAAGAAATGGCGCAGTTTTATGCGGTTGCGGCCTACGCGTGACCCGTTTGGAAGGCCTTAGTTACCATTTGAGCCGGAGCACACAGGCCTCCTACCCAGATGGCACAAATAAAGGCGAGGCAGTTGCTTACGTGCCATATGCGGGCGCGTTCTACATATAGACTGGAAGCGCCTTAGCATAAAGGCCTACGCCTAGTAGGGGCAAGCAAGTTAAGCCCAACACGCTCAGAGAGCAAGCTACGCCTAGCACGTGCCCAACCACTTGCGGCCTATGTCTAGCAAGCAAGAGAAGGCGCGGACCCTTATCGGGTCAGCGAGGCGCAGCAAGCCAGCTAAGCTGAATGAGAACTCAACGCAAGCGCGTGAGGTTTAGCAACGCAAGCAAGCCACGCTTGGCAAGTAAGCCACGCCAGGCAAACAAGCTGCGCCAAGCAAGCAAGACACGCCTACCCTAACCAGCGGGCTAGGCTTCGCCGGCGCGCTATGCTTAAGGCGCGAGCAGTGCCCAGCGCAAAAGCTACGCCTAGCGCGCAAGCTGAGCGTATAGCAAGGAAGCTACAGCCATTAGCGCGCAGGATATGCTAAGTGAGCAGCCTATGCCGCTCAGGCGCGCTATGCTCAGCAAGCACGCTACTCCCCGCAAGCCCGCCACGCTTAGCAAGCCCGCCAAGCCTTGCAAGCAGGCTGCTCTCAGGCTCAGCAGGCAGGTTATGCTAAGCCGGCAGACGAATGAAGCGCAGCAAGCAAGATGGGACGAGGCTTAGCAGGCAAGCGAGCAAGCTATGCCAAGCAGGCAAGCTATGCGCAGCAGGCACCGCCCAGACGCAGCACCTACCGCCCAAGCGCTTAGCAGGGGCGGGATCATGCAAAAGACGCACGCAAAGCCATGGCACCTTTACGGCGTGAGGTGTATACCTCTCGCCCGTACATCTTTCCTATGATTTCCGTACATCTCAAAAATAAGGAACCCCGCTAACCGACTACGAACCGCCCCGGTGTAAGTACATCCTGAAAGTACATCTTTCCCATGATTTCCGTACAGGATATACGTCGCGGCATACGTCTAGCCCGTACATCTTTGCCGTGGTTTCCGTACATCTAAAACCGTAAAACTCCTCCGCTTTAGGTCTCAAGTTTAGTTTTGGTTTATAACGTAGATAGTCATAGTATTAGTACATTGGAAATAGTTGCCCAATAGCTCCCGTATTGCTCCTTCCACGGATTACCGGACAACAAGAGGACGAGCAGGTTGACACAAAACGACACCGACCGAACGCATTCGGGCTCAGTAAATTTATTTTGTCGCAAATCGAGATACTTTAACGCCCCCATAGTCTTTAGAGCTCACCCAGTAAATCTTCCATTTTGAAGTTCATCTTGGGGTCGTTATTTCTCGAGGCTCATCTTGGAGCTGTTTTCCTTCATTTAATGATTAAATGGAGCAAAAAGAGCTCCAAGATTGATGTGTTCACCCCATTATGGGACAACAGTTCCAAGATGCTTCAAAAGATGACGACGATGATGATGATGATGATGATGATGATGATGATGTAGATGTAGATGTAGATGTACCTAGCAAGGGATATAAGAATAAGAAGTCACTACTGATGCTTTCGTCCCCTTGTTGTGGGGCAACAGCTCCAAGATTGATGCTAGCTTCGGAAGGTGAAAAAATTACAGTGTAAGAAGTAAACAGCCTTAAAGCCTCCAAACCTTCCAAGACCTGCATATTGTTCCATCCCATTTCCAACTCCTCTACTGCAGTAAGCAAAGACAAACTCTGTCCCGTGGTCAGCCGGTTGTAGCTGAGCGACATTTTTAGAGCTAGCAGTAACTTTGTCACCTAGAATAATAAAGTGATGTTTGAAGAACCAAGAAAGCATCGATGATACCGAAAAGATGATGCTGAAAATTATACATTTGACTTTCTTTTGATTTTGTTCTTCTGCTCTTGTAGTCAGTCTTAACATTTTTTTCAGATGCGGCAGGTCCAACAATGGCAAATCTGTGAGCCGGTTAAACGAGAGGTTCAGCACTCGTACTTTTCCACGGAATTCGACATGCCGGATGCTCTCCAGACCCAATTTCGACAAATCCACTTCCTCTTACGTTAGAAAAAAAGTGAACGTCAAATAACCTTTGAAGCAGAGAAGAAGCCCAGTGCGTGAATATGTTCTAGATCAAATAAGTTGTTCCATTTAAGTACTAAATAGTTCATTGATTGGTTGCCATCTTCCCGGGCAAAAGCCCTAGTCTACCGGCGCAGCGATACAGTTCCAGCAGTGGACTAATTCATCTTCTAAGTCGTAACAGTAGAATAACGCGAGGCGTATATTTTTCGTCTCTTGGAGTTCCCGTGGCTGGCTGTAATCCCTCTCTTTCACGTTGCCGTCTTTTTAGTTGTTCTGTAGCACTGTGGGGATGAGAAATTTGGAAAAGGAAATAAGTTAGGTTATAATATATACGAAGACCATAGGTCACCATACTGAAAGTCTTCACTATATATAATACACTTCAATGAATGAAATCACTTCGTTCTTCTACACTTTACTTCTAGTACCCTAGTCTTCTTGACCAAAAAAATAATAATCTTGTTTGGATAAGCGTCTCTGCGAGACAAAATCAGGAGATGATCTAGGACAAAATTGATTATACCGATGAAAAGTCTACTTGACAAAATCAGTAGTCACAAAAGTACTTGTTTCGATAGGCGTCTCTTGGACTGGTGGCCGCGTCTATCGGCGAACCGTTCTCGTTCATGCCTGTGTTTATAGAACGAGGTGGGGAAAATAGCAAAGCAGACACTTATGCATCTGGTCGAAATTCTCGTATTGTCTCAGAAAACCGAAAAGGATCGAAATGAAACTGGCGCTCCAAGACCAGCTGTGGGGGAGAAATGGCAAAGCACCGCCCCGACTAAGGGGAGAAATGGCAACGCACACAGGCGGGAAATAAACCGACCCCCCAAGCGGGGCTGGAAGCGCAAAAGAGAGAGACAACAAGAATCTCCACCAGCAACAAGAAAAACACGAATCTCAGACAACATTAAGAGAAAGGGTTCGCTAACGGACCCGAAAAGAGAGAAGGTCCAAAAGACCGAACCCCAAGTGGGAGTAAGAGAGAGAGAAGCTGCTAAGGCCTACGAACGAAATACGACCACGAACAACCGGGTCGCAGCAAGAAGAGATAGAAGAAAAGAAGAAGAAAAAGAAAAGAAACAGAATGAGAGAATACGGGTCTTTACACTCCAAGCCCAAGTTTCTAAGAGTGATAAAGTATGAATTTACCTCGCGAGTCAGCTATTTAAAGCTGGAAAAGGGATGAATTGCAAAGAAACACGATTCCAAGAAAGACAGATACGTTTCAGCATCCTCTTTTTTGCCATGAACGCCTTGTTCCTCGCGATGAAAAGGCCAAGCTTCGACAGACCGTTATCCTGTTGTGGAATTTAGTGAGGGAAAAATAAGCGTAATACACGTGGTAAGCGTGAGATAAGCGCCTGAGAGAACGGAGAGATAGAAGAGAAGAAAAGCGACGATACATAAAAGTCATAGGTGATCCTGACCTGTTGTGGTGGAAGTTACGGGTAAAAGTTAGGGGTAAAAGTTAGGGGTGGAAGTTAGGAGAGGAGAGGATAGGCTAGGACAGGATAAGACAGGGCAGCATAGAATTGGATGCATCAGAAAAAAGATGCGGAACGAACAAGGCCAATGAACTTATTCGAAAAACTGAAATAAGCAAGTAGCTACTGAAAATAAGGGAGATACTGATGAGAAGGAAGAGTAGCCTTGATGCTACAAGCTAGTGCCTTCCTTATTTCAGTCAGTAACTCGCTTATTTTGAGTTTTCGAGTAAATAGAATAAGACAAATTTCAAGTTTTCTATAGTTGAAAATACCACTCGCGATGCAACAGTACTCCGTCTGGGTGAGCGTTTCCTCTCGTTGCCCTGGGTCAATGTGTTGAATATATTCATTGCTGTCTCTGTGTATTGCCTTCACCACTATGACTTATCATTGCTTGTAAGTAGGTTTAGACAATCTTCAACACTGATCAACAAGATGAATCGATATCGGTTTAGTCTAAGCGTCGGTAACTCTGTTTATTACCTTCACCGCTTTGGAAAGCTCCGAACTGCTTAAAAAAAAACTACTTAATACCAATATAATCATCGAAGAAGAGAAGCACAAGATGAACTTCATCCTTGTTTTTAAAAAAGTGAACTTAAGAGTTGTATTTGACTATTCTACTATGCCTTGCATTGTGTAGGATAGGATAGGAGCTGCCTCACCTATGAGGGGATGAGCGTTCGAGGCCATTGTGTACCTACGTAGACCTCAGGAGATGCTTATCAAGACAGCCTTGGATACCTTTTCGCTGTTCGGACCGGTACCGCGTCCTTCCGACGACAGCCATGAGCTAATAGGGGGAATTTCGAACAACTTAGAGGGTGATCGGTTCGATCTGGGAACAAGTACAAGAACATGAGGTTAATACTAGTAAGTATTCACAAGGAACAGTATTTCATTTACCAAGAAACTGTATTTCATTTACCACTTGCTTCGTCTAGGAAGAACAAGAGCTCCTCCTATAGCAGACAGCGAGTGCTGTAAGTACTCGTCGAAGCCTAAATGACACTGACGCTGACGAGCTCCAAATAATCTTCTACCAGACAGAAGTACTACTCTGTCTAAAACAGCACATTGTCACTGTGCTAAAAAGTAAAAAGAGTTGTATACATGCTGTTGTCCCTGTTGCCATCGTTCATGATGACCGTTGTTCTTCTTGATCTCTCATACAATGAAACGCGATGAAGAGCAACTACAACTAACCCCTATTGCTCATGAGGAAATCCTTCTAGTAAGTAGAACACTTTCATCCACCATAAGATTTTTCACCGCAGAAGAGTCAGGAGAGGTCTCTCTTTCTTGTCTTGATATCGCCGGTTGAGCGTCAGAATCCTTAGACCACGAATCGACTCTAGTTGAGAATCAAGTTGAGAATCTTCAACTTGCAAGAAAGAGTGCAGGAAGCTGAATTTCAAGTCTTTCTGCACAAACTCGAGAGTGCAGAAAGCTGAATTTCAAGTCGTGGTTGAATCTTCCATTCTGTACCGGTAGAAAACTCTGCTCAATAAATGAAAGTATATTGTGAGCCTCAAGCATAAGGACATGGAATGTTGAGTAGTTGTAATCTTCCTGTGCTCTTGCGCTGGCTTTACTTAGAGCTCAAAACAATTCAATTCCTTAGCTCATTGTGTCCTCATCTGTGTCGACATTTTCGTTTTTGTGTTCTCATCTGTGTCGACATTGGATGAATCCCAAGAACAAGGGAACACACAGAGGGAAATGAACTGCGGATATGAAGAATATTGAGCCTTAATGCACTATCGTGTCCTCTTGTAGTTGCGCTGGCTTTACTATCCTGTCCTCTTGCGCTCGGTCTACTATCCACCTGTCCTGTTGCGCTGGCTTTACTATCTTGTCCTCTTGATGTTGTACTGGCTTCACTTGATGATGTTGTACTGGCTTTACTATCTTGTCCGCGTGCGCTCGTTCTTCTACTATCCTGCCCTCTTGCGCTCGTTCTACTATCCTCTCTTCTTGCGCTCGTTCTACTATCCTGCCCGCCTTTAGAGTCGGTTTTGATTCATCTCGGCCCCCTATTTCGGTCCCTTTCGCCTGGTATTTCGTTGATATACAGGGCAAAAGGGTACCAAATTTAAATGCTGAGAAGGATGGACACTAAGTGTTGACCATAACTCTTGCGCTGGCTCTAGTATTCTGCTCCCCCGTGGCTTCTGTTGGTCTGGCTGGCTCAAAATCATTACCGTCATTAGCATCTGCAGGTGCTGCTCTAACAGCACGAGCTCTTAAACGAGCTCTCCCCCCTGCAGAGGCTGATGGCAACTTCTGTCCCATCATTGTTCTTAGAGAGAAGGACGAGAACAAAACAATTCATTTCTTGCCTCGTCCTACGACATTTCTATTCCCGATTCCAAGAAGGAAATAGGGAGAAAGGGCGTGTAGAAATGAACTAGAATTGTGTTGATGTGAGTCTTAGCATTCGATTGTCCACCACCATCACCCTTTCGCCTTCAGGCTTGACTACACTCGGGTTCTTCATTGAAAATCTCCTAGAACCGCTTCTTACGGAGGGGAGCGAACCAGTGTCGCCAGGAGACGATCCCGGACTATGAGCAGGAGGCTTCTCATCCCCAGCCGACCTCCCATCCCCAGGTGAGGCTAAGTCAGCGGCCTGCTCAGGGTCACGGGGTGTCTGGCTCCTTGAATCTGTAATTGAGTGAGACGACGACCCTAGGTCAGGTATCTTCTCGACGGGCGATGAATGATCACCAGGAGACGACATCTTTAGCTCTTTGGCACGAAGTTGCTGAGACTCTTAGCACTTAGGAATGAATGAATGAATGAATGTCCCCACTCCAGGGGTTAAGAGGAGCTTAGATAGAAGCTGCTAGAGGATGAAAAGCAGCAAGAACATCTTCAAACTGAAACTAGCCTATATGGTTCGCGTAGACCAAGGAGGAGATATTGGAACCACCAATACCAGCTACTTAGAAGATTCACAATAATCTTCGATCCGCTCCTTCTAGTAGCGAAAGAACAAGGACGACTGGGTGGATTCTCGAAAACTATGATCTACTGGTCGTCCAGCTTGTTCTTAGGTACCTACTATCGCAAGAGGAGGGAACAAGAGGTCGAGGGAAGCAATAGGTCAACAAGGAAGGGACATCATCTTCAAGGGCAGGACGCTCTTGTAACAGAGGACGCGTTGTAATATTTGCAGTAGTTACCGACGCTTAGACTAAACCGATATCGATTCATCTTGTTGCTCAGTGTTGAAGATTGTCTGAACCTAAGCAAGGATCTTGACGAGGAGCAACACACGAAGACAGTAGAATTTGCACTGCCTTTTGGGTGCGCATCTTTCCTGCTCGTTTCCTCGATCAACGAGGCACGACACGAAGTCCTTTGTTCTGCTACAGTCTTAATGAATTTTCTTATGCAAATTTCTCAAGAGCCTAGGTAAATGTAACAGGTAACAAACCCTCTTGTGAGGAGGTGGGTGCGTCAAGAAAAACTCCTCCATCATAATTCATGATTGACTCCCTTATATATAATCCATTTACATTTCCATAGCTTGTGGTTCGTCATTTTTCATCGAAGCCACTAGTTTTTTCACTGCAGCAGAAGTCTTCTTTTTCTTCCTAACCGTTTTCATACTCACCTCCTCTGTCGCCATGGCTTCCGTTGTCGCTGATGCTGTTGAGATAAGTTTTTTTGATGAGAATGTTGATGATATTCTATAAAGGACGTAAGTGGAGCAAATTGAAATTTCAATTTGGTGTAAAAAAAGGTATAGCACTCAGATCCAGTAATAGGCAAATTTCAAAAATATAGTTCAAATTGATTTTTCTAAATTGCTACCACTATTCTCCTTCAAAGCTGATGCTTTTTCTGCCCCCTTCGCTCTCCTCGCTGCTTTCTTCTCTGCGCGATAGTTCACCCTCTTCTGCTGTTTCTTCGCTTTCCTGATGGCATTCACTAGTTTCTCGCTGTTGTCCAACGTTCGCGTTGTGGTTAGGTCAACACTGCAGTTTTGGACGTTTTTGGGTGAGTTTGCCGCTAGACTTCGTCCGTTTCTAGACATCTTACGAACCAATTTAGGTTGCTTGGTGCGATGCGCCTTGACCTTGAGATTCCGCGAGCGCGATTTCACGACTGAGTTCGCCATTTTTGGGGCTGTTAAGGGTGGGTCGATCCGATGCGATGTAATCAGAAGTAACCTCGAAAGTACAAAAAATCTACTACTTTAATTTAGTACTCAACCTTATATATAACACGACTGACTCAGTGAGTAGAAGTAAGAAGCAACTTGAAGTTACAAAGAATAATTGTCCTGAACCGAAGCTTTTTTTTTGCCGAAGGATCGTCAAGACTCTTTGTCTGATCAGATGAAAGATCGCCGTCAATAAAAGGAACAACGATTAGTATTTTTCTTATTTAGGAGCTCAACATGAACCACTAACTTGTGATTATAAAAGACTAAATATTAAAGACTAAAAGATTATAAGATCTTTATCTCTTTGATCTTTGCATTGATCTTCAAGTGCTGCATTATCCACAATGGCATCCAGGTATAATCGGTTGATCATATTCTTTCCTGAAGGATTCCATGAATGATCCTTGGGAGCCTGTGCAACAAAGCCTTGGATCTATTTGTGGCAGAACAAGATGCAGGATGATCACGCAAGAAGGGATCGCATGAACCACTCGTTAAACTGCTCGCAACGGCAAGTAGAGGACAACTGTGAAGTGTCTTAGGTTCTTCACTCAGTTAGAAAAATTTCTGTTCAGATCCATCCGTGTGCACGTACTCCCGCCTTGCGTAAGGAGTGCAGATAACGATAAGGCGTTTGAAAATCTCCTATCCGAGCTGTACTTACAGTTCTTGTATGTTTAGCAAATGAAGGCAGATGTCCTCCTAGTAGTACTTCTCGATCCCTTCTGTTCAAAACAAGCTGTTCAAGATGCATAGACATCAAATTGGGATTAAAAAGAACATGAGTGTGCGGTTCCCAGAAGAGTTCGAGTATATTCAGGCTCGTCGCAGTGCCTTCGTTCTCCACTGCACCCAGTATAGCATCCAGTAAAGCATGCTCCACCTCCGGGTCATCGATGTCCAGCTTCAAGACGCAAACACCATTAGGTGCCCTGCAGAGTTGCCAGATTACCATGCCGTCCGCTGCTTCATCAGAGCGCGTTTCATCTTGTTCCACGGGCAAGCTAGGCATCGTAAACGCGGAAAGCACTGTTATTCGTGAATAAGGCAAACGTGCAAGGCTGCTCAAGTCGAGGATAAACTGCGTACCCTCCTCGTTCCTGCTCCGGAGTGTTGTAATCATGGAAAGAAGTTCTTCATCTTCCCCACTTTCTGGGACGAGTACTTCTTTCACATGCTCCACCACCTGCTCACGATATCTTTCCGGGTCCAACCTTCTCTTTTCGAAGACGAAGACTTCGTCAAATTGAACCCCTAAACGTCGATACTTCTCCAACAACCACTTCGTACTGGAACCGCCGTCACCAGTGTCGTAGTAGCCTCCTCCGATGTCAATAAGGTAGAGAGGAGGTCGACGACCTTTCTCTTCCTCCAATTCTTCTTGTTGCCCAACTTCCAACATCATCATGTTAAAGTTGTTGATTGCATAATCATGGACATATTCCTCATCGGCCAAGCGAAGGTAGCTTCGATCAGTCGCTAGAGTATACAAGGCACGGAGATGGCGAGCTAATGGAGGTACTAACAGGTCTACTTGGTGGTCATCTTCCTCTCCTGCTAGCACGCGTCCAGCATACGAGACCACATGAAAAGCTGTAGTTTCATCATCGTAATCGGCTATGCCGGAATCGATGCTTTGACTTTTTGCATTCTTATTTTCGACCCTCTGTCCGAGCCATCCCTGCCAGCGTCTCACCGTTGCACTTTCTTCATCTAGTGTATTTTGGATTTTCTTTCTGTATCGGTCTAAAAGCACACCCTCTTCCGATGCACAAGGCCACAGCGGGTGTCGCAGTAGGAAGGCTAGAGGCTCGATCTGAAACTTTCTACTACTCGTCAAAGCTGCACTGCCATTCAGAGGCTTGAATTCGAAATAACTGAGATATCCAGGACCATTGTCTTCTTCGACCAATAGTTCGCCTAATGGTTCGAACCGAATTCTGTTCCACGCGGACGACGCGCAAGGTCGCTCTGCCCAATCAGGGTTCCCTAGCCAAGACTTCTCCAAAGAACTCGAGGTATAATTTGCCCATGCAGTGGCTGCTGAAAGAACCAACAGAAAAGGTAAAAGCGAACAAGACATGGATCGATTATTATCCCTCGGACACTATCCAACAAACTCCCTAAAAAGAAAGTGCACGTGGTATTTTATCGCAAGTTGAATCTCGTGTTTGACTGTGATGTCGGCAGCTAGCGCAGAGGCCCATCGCAGAGGCGAACAGTTTCGACGAACACACATTCATTCTCAATTTTGAGCCCCTACCCAATGACAAGAATTTAGATATACCTCCCACTATAGTACAATTTTCATGCGCGTTATTAATCATGTGAACCAGTTGTAGGTGTAAAAGTCACTTCGAAGGATTGAGTGCAGATGTTATTTTCTCTTTGAAGATTGCGATCCCCAAGAGCACTCCAAGAAGCAGAAACAGTATCCCCACAATAAAACTTCCATCTGACTTGTTCGCCACTACAATCAGCAGCCCCACCACGCAGAGAACCATAGGAATTAGAACTCGGGATCATGGCTTTTTGTGCATCCTTCTTCTTCTTGTACTTGTTGTGTGAGTGTGTGCCAAGTATCTATAATATACTGGCTAGTACAGTACAACTACGGTACAACAACACAACAAGCATTCTACTGAGGACCCACAAAAACCAGCAATAACATCAATCTGCCATAAAGTGACCCCTTTTCCTATGTAGGATAGGTTGAAGTTGAGACTCATTTTCAACTGTCCATCGTCATCTCGGTCGAATGATACTCGTTTTCTTCTCTGCTGAGGTTCTTCCTGCTGAGGTTCTCCTTGTTCTTGATCTCCACCATTGCCTTGATTTGCAGATCCGCCTGCTACAGCAGCTGTAGTGCCTCCGCCTCCTCTTGTTGTGTTCCCGTTGTTCGTCTGCGACTGTCGAGCACCGGACCCAGCACTAGCAGGAGTACGACCTGTACTTGCCGCTCCGCCAGTTGAAGATGATGAATTGCCTCTCGTCGTAGAAGAAGCAGCTGCACCAGCGCCTGCTCCGGTTCCCTTTTTAGCACCCGATCCGGAACCACTCCCCGTTGAATTGCCTCTAGTCGTAGCACCCGCATTGTTCTTTGCCGCACCTCCACCCCCACGCTCCTCGAGTTCGACTTGCTCGACCCCTACAGGAGCAGCACTCGTTCCATTTGCTTGTTTGAAAATTGGAGCTGTCGAAATACGACGTGGCAACTGTCTCAAACATGCAAGAATCTTAATTTCTTCATCCAAGTCTGTTGTTTACGAGACGAGTGGCGAAAGACGTCGCAATTTTCCTTTCAAGTTCTAGATCTAGCTCGACCCTTAACTTTCCCGTACTAGAACTCGACCCACCTCCTCCGCCAGAACCTATCGATGAGGTCCGCTGTACATTCTTTTTCTGTGTCGGAATTTCCTTGTAGCCACGACCTGCACAGGCCTCGCAAACGAAGTAGCCGCCACGACCAGCGCCTGACCGTAGGCGGCCATCACCCGCACAGCGGGTGCAATCGATACGTTTCATCTCCATTTTGATGTGGGGTTTTTTGTGATAGAACGATTTTACTACTTATTTTCGCATCAATAATGTATTTACTCTTCCGTCGACTTCAGAGACGGTTTTCTTTCCACGAAGAAAATCACTTCTCCTCACCATTTTTGTGCTGCTCTCCTTACTACTTAACATGACATCTTCAAATGGTCATATTTATTTCCAGCTGTTGTCTCTGACATTTTTTAAGGGTGTGCACATGTTCATAGCTACTTTCGCTTCATAGCTACTTCCGTGCTAAGCCTTGTCTTCTCATCATCTCTCGGAAAAATTCCGTTTCCGAGTCGCATGGTAAAAACGTTATATTTTTTTGGCTACAGGTACAGAAGAATTTTTCTTGGGAATAAGGCGGCAAAAATTGGTGTCTACTTTCCTGTCGTGTTATAAAAGGGACAAGTCTTGTTGTCGTGGTGGGGGACGAGTCGTCTCTTTGATACATATGTATCTGGGTGATCTCTTCAGTCCCAAACAAGAAGACTTCTACAATCACGTCTCCTCGTCGTAGACTTGTGAACTTATAATGTTTGTCTTCGTTCATCGGGATCTAAAAAAAATACTCCTAAAACTGTTTCATTTATACGATAACCGTTGAGGCCTTTTTGCCTCCCTGCGCAGCTTTGAGAAGTCAGTTACTGAGAAATCATTCCAATAGCAGTCGTGGCTTGAGATGTAACTTGTTTGTACTTGTAGTGAACAATGTATTCAATTGAGCAGTCATAAAAGGAATTAGTAGGCGAAAGGAACTACAACATGCCTTTCTACTGAACAACTGTTTAGATTTTTCAGACGTAGATCTTACTTGCTCCTTCTGTCGTGACCCTTCTTGTTCTACTGAGCTGTTTAGAAGTAGATCATCTTGAATCAACCGCAACGCCAGCGATAACTCAATTCCAGATTTAGCTTCCAGCTCTCTTCACAGTGGCATGAAAATTGTCAGCGATGTCGTAGAGGATTTTGTGAAATCGCTTCTGATCCACCTTGCCAATAGCCATGGTCTCTACCAGTTTGGATGCCTCAGCAGGCGTTTTCTGCAATGGCGGTGGTAACTTCTGGAAGCCCTCACGGAGACACCTTGAAGATGCAATGGAAGGTGCGTGGAGTAGTAGCATGTATGAGATCTGCATGGATTGCTAGGTTTACTAGTCGGTGCTTAGTGACTGAAGACTAGGATCATGATGAGATCAGAATCGCAGTGTAAAGTTGCAGGTTGAATTGAACAAACAGAAACAGGCAAACTCTCTACCAAGTTTTGTAAATGAAAGTACTGTTTCGCTTCAAACTCCATGGGCCCCATGAGCATTGGTCTTATCACTTCTGCTACACCGCCAACTGTTGTTGCTTTCGGATTGTCTGCGCATCTAGCCAAGAGCGTCAGAAGGGCAGAGGTCAACGAGGCGATCCTTTGCTCGCCTTCCCATAGGGGCTTGGCATATTTGACGACTTCTGGTCCCTCACTAGCCCAGCGCAAGAAAGAGCAGAAAAACCGCAGTGCCGCTGTCAGCGCTTGTTCATGAGTGGCGATTTCGAGCCCCGAATTCAAAAAGTCTAAAGCAGCGTCAAAGACAGAAGAAAGCCAGGAAGATTGGAGGGCACCTGAATGAGCAGAGTTTGAAAAAGTAGTGGTAGGTTGGTGAGATAAAGTTTCTTCGTTTTTCTCTCATACATGATTTCCTTTGGTGCTTCAGGCCACAAGCCATCACCACCAACACCAGCGCCGCCTTCCCTCTCACTGGGCCATCACGTCACGAAGCAATGCAAGTGAGTGGGAAAATAAAGCACACAAGCAAACCAGAACAAGCGCACCCCCCACGAGCCGCGGCCCTCTTCTTTATGCGTGGCGCTGTCCCCCGTTTGGATTGCCCCAGCCTCACACCAAGAAGCCGCCGACAGTGCACCGGACTATTTCCCCAAACAAATGGACAGACGCGACAGGAGACGCAGAAGCCAGTGGCCACCCCCGCTGCCGACCACGATCACCGCCAACAGACACACGCCGGCAACCCGGTCAAGGCGCGGGGGCCCTGGGTCAACAACAAACAAGACCGCCAACGAGGAGCGCGAGCGGCAACAAGGCCCCACTCGCCCAGCTGGCGCGCTTCGTCGGCGCTCCCGCCGCCGTTCCGGTGGAAAGCGTGACGCCGTAACTAAGCAGCACAGCGCGACGATGCACGCAAGCGTAGCAACAAAGCCCTTCCCCAGCTCGCAAGCCATTCGACATAATCAATAACTTCAAAGCCCGAGGACAAGTATCTACCTACAAGAAAGTCTTACCATTCGCCAAGTTCGACCACCTCAACGCATCACCAAGCATTTCGAAACATGCTGCTGAGATCTCCGGAGGACACTTTTTCTGCTGAGATAATCGCGCTACAGGCTGCGCAAATACACCCAAGAACATTACTAACTGCTCATCCATCTCCCTCTGGCCGTGAGGTGCGAAGAGACCCATCACTTGTCTCGCGAGTAAATAGTAATGCACGCTAGGTTTGTGCTCTGCGGCACGGCCCAATAAGCTCAAACGAAGAATGAAAGGGGTCTGTACTACGCTAGGAACAAGAAGCTGCTTGCTTTTTTTAATCAGTGGGAGGTCTGTTCATCAGTACTAAAGATTAAGATGATTATACTTGAATCCAGTACTAGACTACAAACTAGCAGAGAGATAAGCATCAATATCTTTTGGAAACAGTATCCGCCTACGCTACTTTCTCACAAATCCATTCGTAATCTTGATCAACAGCGGCGAGTTGACTGCGTGTTGCTGCGCTGACGTGAAGATAAAGGTCAGAGACAAGCAGAATTGTTCTACGTAATCCTCCCAGTCCCGCTCTACAGCCAGTTCAGTCAATTTCTCTATCCTCTCCCATTGTGATTCCCAGAAGCTCAACACTGGATGCCTCTGCAAGGGTCCCATTGTGCCGTCTGGTAAAGGCTGGGGATCGGGTATCTGAGAGACGTTGGTGGAGGAATCAAAATTCTATTCTCTACGTACTTGCTGAAAAATCATTATCACGATCAGCTTGTTCCTCGATCTTTACCTGTGTGAGGTGACGTGACGAATTCAAAAGCCCTATCAATGCCAACACAACAACCGCGAAAAAAAAGTAGAAAAACTACCTTGATATCGTAGCAGCAACTCAATCCTGCCAGATACAGCTTCAATTCTGGCGGGCCTTTGCCTTCTCTCGACACGTAGGTCGTTATGTCGTATTGTGGCTCTAGTTTTGAGACAAACTGTCCTAGATTAGACCTTATCCGTATTCATCTTAAACAAGTGCATCTTTGAAGTGAATTCCCCTTTAAATCGTGCCCAAAGATGCCTCTTAAGATGAATTACGGCAAGCCTTAACTAGAGTTTGCTCCAGCAGAGCGTGATCCTTCATTGCTCCAATGATGTGTCCGACTGGAAAGACCATCTGTGGCCTCACGTCAGCGTGAAAGCCTCCGTTGACAACCAGTTCTACGATTTGGTTGATCACTATTGGCCAGAATTTGCCGTTATCAATTTCAAGGAGTTTCTCTTTGGCGGCTTGGGTCGTGCTGCGCAAGGCGTCTGTGCAAATTGCTTGACTATACTGTTTCAAGTCTTTGTCACTGCACTCGATCTTCGGGAGGGATGGGAGGAGAGAACCTGGGGCAGGTAGTTTCAGTGAGGGATCCCGGATGCATAGTAGACAATAATTGTGGTGGAGCCGACCTAACTAGAAAAAAGACAGACCAGAGGAAGATATAAAAGAGACAATAATGATAATTCAACTCAATTGACTTGTGTCAAGTAGTTCGCATAATTGATTACCACTGTGCGCAAGCAAGAAAATTCAGAGTCTAGAGAATGTAATCAATACCAAGCAAGAAGTTGAGCGTGGGCACTAGCGCTTGCTCCTTAAAGGCTAAATAGCCGGCAGTGTAAAGAATGAGCCGGCCTGCTGATATCCGCAGTATGAGTGCTGGAAGTCCAGAAGTGGGGTAGTTGAAATTCGGTATTTGATCTATCAACTTCGGGATTACGTTGTCTTGGCCCGCTCGTGCTCCTGAGAGGGATTTGCAATGAGGTGGAAAACGAAAATGTGAATGACCAAGCAGGAACTTTAGACGCAAACTCATCGATTCACTTCGTAGTTCCAAAAAACTAGGACAAAACAACGAAAAAGTGGTATTCGAAAAACTGAAATAAGCGAGTAACTACTTAAAATAAGCGAGATGCTCACTGAACAAGGAAGGGTAGCCCTGTCAAAGCTACCTCCCTTATTTCAGTCAGTAACTCGGTTATTTTCAGTTTTCGAGTACTTGGAGCCACTCCCGTCAGGATGAACAGCGCTGCGTCAAGATCGTTCCACTCGTGCAGTGTCGATATGTGGTCGCCAACTACGTGAATGACCCAACTTACTGGTAATATCGACACCACAGCATCGGTCAGACACTGGTTACACTGCTCTCGGAATCGGACGAAGTGGTCTGTTTCAAAGCCCTCGTGTGCTTCTGGAACAGCTGGGTACCTAGTGCACTTGAGGCACGCAAAGGTAAACCGTTCGAAAAAGGGATGTAGGATCTCCTTGTTTTCTGAACCAGCTTCGTTTTGCTGTGCGACTATGGTTCCGTACCAAAACTCTAGGCCGCCGCGGGCGATGTCGACCTGGAGGTGATTAATATCGTGCAGGTACTGATATCCACGTAGAATTCTTCTTGAAACTTCAATACTCAAGTAGAATTCTTCTTTAGACTGATATCCACGTAGAATTCTTCTCTAAACTGATTGTAGAAATTCTAACGTGAGTAGAATTCAACTTCAATGCGCAAGCATTGAAGTTGAAAACTACGTATTAATATAGATACTCAAGTAGATTTCTATTTCAATACGCACGTAGAATTTCAGTAGTTTAATAAACTGATATCCACGGTCGACGTGGTACTAGAAAAGAAGGACTTAATATTCTTGGTGAATAGTTAACCAATGCATTACCTGTCGAATAGTTAACCAATGCAACGCCACATCCGCCAATGCGTCTGTCCAGGGTCGTTCTCCGGTGGCTGGCGGTGTCTTCCCCGACGTCGAGTTTGCCACTAGAGCTCGAAAAAAGTGGGGACCTAGTTCCGTCAAAATCCTTGCGACGAAGTTCATACGCACTACTGTCGCATCCACATTCGGAGAAGTTGGGCCGTAAGTTAAAGCTCAGCATTCATTGGTCACTGACTCCTTCAAAGCTCTCCCCTTTTCCTTCGTTTTCCCCTGTTCTCTCAAGGGGTCGCCTCTTCGATCTCAGTGACCAACCCCAATGACCATTGAAAGTTGAGCCTTAAGTAAGGGAGCCAACCATTGCCGTCGACTGCGGGACTGAGGATGTTGGCTAGATTGATGCAACTGCGAGCGACTAGCTCAACTGCAGGTGCCGTCATGTCGTTGTATTCGTTTGTGAGGCCAATTAAGGCAATCAGCGTCCCGCAAGCCGCCTCTCCGACTTCGACACTGTCGCTGGCTAAGCTTTGTGCTGCGAGCTTCAAAAGCGGATGCTCGTAACACTGTGTTGTTTTTGTTGGCGAAAAACGCAATTTTTCTAGAGATATGCGTGGAGTGATTCTTGTATTTAAGGCAATAATGTTCCTAGCACGATAAGTCTATACAAAGTGAACACATATTCATCAGGTCCTCGACAGGTCTAAGAAGGTACTAAAGCACCTTCCTCTTGATGATCTCCGCTGTAAACCTCGCCCCAGCCTCCTTTGAGGCTATGACTTGTGGCGTAGGCAGAGAGAGCCATTGTTCTGCGGCTTGTAGTTTGAGGAAATTGTCGCTTTCACTAGACGCCAAGGCATCAAAGACTTGTTCCTGCGACATCAGCAGGTTATTTATCAATCGCATCCGCTGCTCTTGATCGACGCTGACCTGAGGGAAAAAAAGAGGTTAAATGGTGAATGGTGAAAAGGGAGACGAGGATCATTCATGTCGCGTTTGTAAGAGTTTATAAGAGATTATAATATTAAAGAAGTGCAGCTGAAATGGCATCCATTGAAGATCATGTCGTGTAACTGTGTGTGTCAAGTAGTACTTTCGAGCTCCGCACTTCCTCTGGAAAAATCTTGAGCATCTCCAACAACCCCTGCATCGAGCTTTGCTGCAAAGCTTGTACGGCTTTCTCCAGACTAGCATGGCCGTAGAGTGCTAAGTCGGCATATGCGACACAGAGTTGTCGACGAACTACTTTTTGGTCGTCGCCTAGCTTTGTTATTATTTCCAGTATCTGGTCTGCGATAGCGGACGTTGCTGATTTCCCCTGCTGGGCTTTTTGGGCCAACAGATTTGCCGCAAAAAAAAAGCTCAGAACGTCTTTGTTATTTCCTGCATGGCTCAACAACTGCAGTAACGATTCCCAAGGACAATGATGACTCCATGCTAGGAGCCACTGCGTTGCTTGCTGCGCGCCGCTTGGCCCACTTGGCGCATGCATTCGGTGGATTTGGTTCACTACATCTTGTAAGCTGGTGGTTTGGTGGTTCACGTGCAGTTCCTGCTGGTCGCCACCTAGAGCAAGCGTTGCGGTGGAACTGGAGGATCCGCCTGCGCCAGATCCGAATACTGATTGACCTTGCGCCGGCATCATCTCGACTAGTACTGATTTCAGTCTAAAAAAGGTGCTGGTGTTGAATTACGTGGTAGATGACGTAACAGAAGTGGATGAACGTGAACGAGAACGAAAACGGCAGCAGAAGCAAAACGTGCCTTGTGCTGCCGTGACAGCTTGTGCTGTGAAGCTTGATGGTATCTCTTTCTTCAGGAGGCGGTCGATCTGTAGTAGATTCTTGTATGTCGTCGTAAAGGTCTTCCCCTCGTCAATGTGATAATGATGAGGTCTTACTTGGTGATGTCGCTGGTATGTCGCTTATGGCGTCGCCTTGAGTTCGAAATTCTTGACTGCATAGTTCACCGTTGATTTTACAACTGCTGACTCCGCACAAAAAAACTTGTAAACGAAACTAGAACGAAACACAAACAGGAGCAGATTGAAGAAAGTGAAGAAAGCCGAAGAGTAAGCAGTAGCAGAAAAACGAAGTATATCAAGAAGAGAGTTGAAGATTAGGAGAAACAGAATTCAAGACAGGCCTCTGAAAGTCAGACAGTGTTCGAAAGAAGGCTGAGGCAAGATCCTTCGAAAATCAGAAAGGAGGATTTGAGAGGGAGAGAGTGAAATTGAAAGAGAAGACGAAACGGTGAAAACGAAACGAAACAAAACTTAGCCGGTATCTATGAAGGGTCGCCGCATCCTACTGCTCCACTTCCATCACTACTTTCGTTTGCTGTTGCGAGAAGCGCATCTCTTCAGCATATTGGAGCGCGCAACAATGTAGTTGTGGTGCTGATTTTTCATCGTACCTTCCACCAGCATCGTCTTGTTGTTCGTAAGCCATTTTCTGCTTCTCTACTATTTCAGAGGTTACGCAGACATTTTAAGAGAAGAAAATTTGCCGAAATCACAAAAAAGACAAGGACTTCCTCTACTTCGTAAAACTCGGAAAAGACTAAAATTTTTGAAAGTAGGTACATAGGATCCAAAACTGCGTGTGGGAAACCAAATTGATACTTAGACATGCGTTCCTTGTTGTTGCTCAGAAAAGTTCATTGCACAAAGAATGTAAATCGATGAAGTTCATGAGGAGCAGCTACAGTAACTCACATTCTGATTTGGCCGTTTTTCCGTTAGATAATAAAAGCCTTTATCGTACTTCACACAGAGATTGTTCTTCACGGCGTGAGAAGAGATCCATGTGCGTCAGATCCAGGCTCGTTGCAGAGTTAGTGTGCTGGTCCAAATACTTGGACAAAGAATTACCATTCCTTGCTGTATAACCCACTGGTCTACAACAGCACAATTGTGAATGCATGCGCTTGACGCTTCGCTGAAATTCGCTGCTCATGTTGCTCATGTCACAGTATCGACCAGAAAAAATTTGCAAGAATTCTCAGCAAAGAGGGATGACATCCTATGACAAAAGTCATTGGAGCAGAGGCGTCTCTGGGTGCTCTCGAGTGGTCCTACCACTTTATGTGAGGATCATGATTTTTTTTTTTGGCATCAACAACGTCGTTCATTCACTCTGCTGTATATTGAAATTACTCAAATCCCACTGCAAAACTTTTCCATCTAGACTACAAGTCGCAAACCGACATGGGAGTTCTGTAACTCTTGCGTCCATAATCCGTCTGGTATGTCTCAGCAATTTTGCTGCTGCTTGCATCTCGTCTTGTGCCTCTCTACGCCATGATTTGTTACTCACAGCTTGTCTTCGGAGCCAAGGTAGTCGCTCGCTGAGTTTGTTCTTCAGATTGTTCCTCCTCGTGGTCGGAGGAGGTGGAGGAACCTGTTGTACTTGAGCCCGTACCTCCTGTTGAACCTGCTGCTCATTTTTCCCCACGTACCCGACGCCTGTGCCTGATCCATCGACAACTAGAGCAGGCGAAACAGCATCCGCAGACAGACGCCGCCTTCTGCCAGCAATTTGCATTTCCACATCTTTATTTTCGCCTGCGTCTTCTGTACTAGCGTGTATTTCGTCTGGGGCTGGGAGTTCGGAAGAACCTCCTGTATTTTTCGAATCACTACCGCGTTTACGTGACGCTGCATTGGAGTCGCACTGGTTCGTGTTCACATTTGCGTCTCCGGATGCTAGTACACCAGCTACACCACCCCGCCCAACAACATCTGCATCTTTGTTCATCCCATCTTCCTCTTTCACCGTTCCGAGAGATTGACGTCCCCCAGCAGTTCCAGGATCAGCCGGCAACCCCAATTCCGCTACTAAAAACCCACCACATATCCAATGTCCTTCTTCCACGCCGATCTGAGCGTCTTCATAGTAGAAAAAGACAGGTACACAGTCGAAACCGCAAGCGATTAGGATTTTCGAGTCTAGGATTAAAGCTCAGCACTCGGCGGCCACTGACTCGGAACGGAAGCGACCCCCTTTAAAGCTCTCCCCTTTCGTCCCTTCGTTTATTTCCCCTGTTGGTTCTCTCAAGAAGGGGTCGCCTCTTCGACCTCAGTGACTCCAACCTAAATGGTGACCATTGAAAGTTGAGCCTTACTAGAAAGAGCATTAATGATGACCATTGAAAGTTGAGCCTTAATAGAAAGAGCAAGTTTGTGAAAGGATAGCCAGTCCATCGGATCATTTCTTCCTCTTTGGTGACCATGTTGCAGACCGTAATCGTCGAGTCCATCTGACTCACGGCAAGGAGCATCCCGGATTGGTTGAAGGCGAGCGCGGTGACCCAGGCATCTGCCTTTTGTAGGGTGAGGACGTTTTGCCCAAAAGTGGGTATACCAGGTGCGGAAGGAGTTTCGCCGCCGTCCGACAGATGAAAGGTGGAGATGGGAGGTTGACAGAGCGGTGGAGGGAGAGAGAAGGAGGTTGACAGAGAGATGGGAGGTTGACAGAGCGGTGGAGGGAGAGAGAAGGAGGTTGACAGAGAGATGGGAGGTTGACAGAGCGGTGGAGGAGAGAGAAGGAGGTTGACAGAGAGATGGGAGGTTGACAGAGCGGTGGAGGAGAGAGAAGGAGGTTGACAGAGAGATGGGAGGTTGACAGAGCGGTGGAGGAGAGAGAAGGAGGTTGACAGAGAGATGGGAGGTTGACAGAGCGGTGGAGGGAGAGAGAAGGAGGTTGACAGAGAGATGGGAGGTTGACAGAGCGGTGGAGGGAGAGAGAAGGAGGTTGACAGAGAGATGGGAGGTTGACAGAGCGGTGGAGGGAGAGAGAAGGAGGTTGACAGAGAGATGGGAGGTTGACAGAGCGGTGGAGGAGAGAGAAGGAGGTTGACAGAGAGATGGGAGGTTGACAAAGAGTGGAGATGGAGAGGGAGAGAGAAGGAGAACACCTATTCGAAACACTGAAATAAGCGAGTAACTACTGAAAATAACCGAGATACTGAACAAGGAAGAGTAGCCCTGTCAAAGCTACCTCCCTTATTTCAGTCAGTTGTAACTCGGTTACTTTCAGTTTTCGAGTATTTTGACTTCCTGTTTCTAAGTCAAGAATCCCACAACTCGGATTCATCTCTTATAATCCGCAGGGAGAATAGAAGTGCATCTACATCAACATGCAAGAAAGGTGGCCAGAAACTTTTTCTCAAATCTCCAAATCCAAATCCCAAATGAGAAGTTGTACGTCAACAACATGTGAAAAATTGTTGTTGTCCAGTCTGTCATAAATTTCAGCTCCTCCCGCATTTTTCCTGTTTCGTTGTGATCGCACGTTCTCCTGGATGACCGTTGAGTACACGCGCACCTTTTGATCAGTCGATCCCAATGCTAGAAAGATGTTTCCACACCAGGAGATCGCTGTGATAGAACCAGAAAAGTCGTCCACGAAACGCATCTTCCAGGCCGCCCAGTTAAATTAGAGGCGTACGTACGGTACAAAGAGTAGTAGGTTACCTCTAAAGGTTACCTCCCTAAAAATTCTAAGTACATATAAATTTGTTGTGCCATAACATTGATCCTGGTCTTTAAAGCATATAATGCATTCCCCAGCAGACGTCGCGACACAAAACTTTTTACCATCCGGTGAAAATCTCGCAATCAAGCAAGGAAAACTCACGTCCGTTTCCACTAGTTCCGGTAGGAAGGCACGCGTTTCATCTTCAGGTTGCGGTCTGTCTCCTTGCTGCTCAGTCGCACACAAGGTACCCCCGCCTGGTCCTGTTCCTGTTCCTTCTGTAGCGACTAGCATGTGATCCAGCTCTATCACGCCTCCAGCACCACTAACGCGTCGGTCCTCGGTCTCGCAAGGTGACTCCACTAAGCCGTCACGATTATAGCTAAAAATGTAGAAACTCCATTGCCATTCAGTGAACAGAAAGTACTTTTTTATGTCAAGCAAAAGCAATTCATCCTATCAAAAGTACTAGCCGGAAAAATGTGATAAAGCCATTTTTTAAGATCATGTATGAGATAAGTACATATCAGCAGATCCATACCCGTTGTATCCATAGCGCAGCCCATATCCAGGCTGTTTCCTCGGAGCAGGCGCCGGTTTGCTATAACATCTCTGCAGGCAGTTCCGTCTCCAGACATAGACACAGCGATCATACCCACATGACAGCAACGAGCCATCTGAAGCAAAATCGAGGTCGGAAACTACATCTGAGTGCTCCTTGAGGACGCCGATCTGAGTGGAGCAGTGGGGTCCAAAGGAAAATGGTAGGATTGGAGAGGGCAGGTCAAGCCTTTTTCCCAATTGGTGTGGCTTCTCAGATCTAAGTATGTACAAACACCATTGAATGACGCAAAAAACAAAAGAGTAAATGCTTAGGTATAGATACGAATACCCTCCTCCACCCCGCAAGCTCCATCCGTTTAAATACCCACACCTCTTGTGTTGCTGGTGACGTGAGGGCCATAGTTTGTTGATCATGAGACATCGCTAGCCGGGTGAGGGGAACTGTGCTGTCTCCCTGAAAGAGCCTCACCGGGTCCACGGCACAAGCAAGGTCCTCCACTAAGGGAGGTAAGGACGAAGAAGACATGGGATTCTGAGACGTCATTTTGTCTTTTCGTTTGCGTGTGAACTACCTCAGCATGCGAAACTACACGATACAACTCAAATATAAGTACTTCTCTGTTGCTGTTCTAGAATGGGTCGTATCGATCATCCATTCGCTGGTGATTTAAACATCAGAAGAATTTGACATGAATAGAGTTAGAGAGTTCGGTATGTTGTAGGTGTTGATCCCTGATGACACTGTTAGTAGTGCCCGTAGAGATTAGTTCTGATACTAGGGTCCAGACACTACTACCACTCTTATTTCAATAAACGATCCGCCGCGCGAGCACGCCCTTGTCCTTAGAGTACTACTTCATCCACATGACATAGCCTTTCATATCAATAGCTCCTCAAATCTTCCACCACTACTTTCCGATATCCACCTTCATAACCAGGTAGACTTACATACTGTTTCGCATGCTGCGACAACGAATCTACGCGATGTATGTGTTCGTGTCCTGACAGAATTGCAACTAATGATCCTCTCGGACTAGCATATTGATTCAGCAAGTCTCTGACGAAAGCTTCAGTACTTGCCAAATTGCCACTACGCGGCCATCGTTCACGTTTTTCTACCTGCCAACCCGTATCTGCGTCCCAGCCGTAGCGTCGATCGCCGCACAAAACGAACTTGGAAGATTGATGTGACTGCAAGTGTATGCCATAGTGCATCACGAGGACAGTGGGAATATTGCGCTCCAAATGATGGAGAACGAAACTGCGCTGGGAAGGCTGTACCTGCAAGTCCGAGTTGTCCAGGGTGATCACAGAAATTAGAGAAGACCAGTTTCTTGGGTTTCCTTCTAGGGTGATCACGGAAATTAGAGAAGACCAGTTTCTTGCATTTCCTTCTTAAGGTTCAAGATATTTTCACGTTAGACTTACTCTGATGATCATGATCGGGTCAAGCTTGTTGATGTTCGTTTTGTTCAAGCTCTCCTTTTATTCTTGTTTTTCTAGAACACAGCTCCCAGTTAGTCACGAGCACCATTATAGACAGGGTTCTTAGCGCCTAGGTTACTGCTTCCTCGTTGCGGATGTACCTTGAGCCACACATTGCGTCACAATCTAAAAAACCATAACAATAGCTCCGCGTCTTCTCCCGACCCTCCCAGCTCTACTAGCTCCACTGGCCTCTGGAACGGTTCATGACTTTGCCGATTTGCCATGTGCAGCATCGGCTTCAATACCCCCTCCCATGATGTCCTTATCTGCAATTCCCTAGGTTCTTGTGGCTTGCCCTCTGTCATCCAGTCATGGTTTCCTGCAGTGAAAAGAAACCGAACTTGTCTCCTTTCCAATTGCTCTAAGACCCACTGTACCGCTGAGTCCTGCGGAAAATTGAACAAATCGCCACCTAGAAGTAGTAGATCTGCTTTCTCGCGTTCGTAGAGGTCTAGTAGGGCTTCAAAAGTCTCTCGAGGATTGGAAGTGGAGACTTTGGGCTGTACTTGATGCTCGCTGTTCACCTGTTGCTGTTGTACTCCACTATAATCCGCGTTAATACCTAGTACATCGTCTGGAGCCCTTTTTCTCAAATGAACATTCCTCGCATTTCTAAAGGCATTGTCCATCCTCACGTTAAATGGTCGATCCCTGTCGGTCAACGGCATGTTCAAATGCACATCAGGTACGTGTAGGAGACTCCAACGACGTCGCTTTCTTGAAGCAGTTGGGCTTTCTGAATTAGTTGTAGTAGGATCTAGTGGTTCTTTGTTTGCGGGTGGAAGAAGTTCGGCGCTAGCACCTGTTGAGTAAAGCTGTTCTCCGTCTGCGATCTTAACAGGTTCTATCGGCGAAGCAGCATCAGCCGACTGGTGTTGTACTTCTCTCTGCTGTGAAAATAGACCCGTGATCCCTCCCAGCAACGTACGAACGAGTAACACTTTGTCATCGTACCCCACCCGTGAATAGCTGTTCGAGGCAAGCAACCTCTGCAAGGTTCCGGAGACCAATTGTTGCTGCTTTTTTAGTCGAGAGGAACTACCACTTCTTGCACTTAGTAGTTCCTCTCCGCTTTCGTTTTGATTCTCACTTGATCTGACTTGATCAATCTCCCTCGTTCTCCTCGCAAGACGCGCCACCCTAAAGGCTTGCAGATGCTGTCGCTGGTTCCGCTGCTGTCGTGATAACCTACTCTGATTTGTGCTATTGGTTTTCTGTAGTAGGTCAGCAACTGCTCCATTAGTAGATCGGTCTTGCAGGGTCCTTTGTATCAGCCGATCAACGAAGTCCTTTGCTGTCGTTGGTGAGATAGTAAGACCTCCTGCTCCCCTTCTCCCACCTACCTTGTTATGACCATCTCCTCCAAAAAAGACGTCTCTGAATATCGGATGATAGTTGTCGTCAAAGAGGACAACGTGCGCGTTGAGGGATGCTTCTTCTGTGCTCCTCCAGGATGTAGTGTGGTTGGCACGGAATAAACAGGTGTTGGAGTCTTCGGTGGCAGTGACGAGTCCTCGCTGCACAGCCGCGATAAATGCAACGACAGGAGAGAAAAGTAGGGAGAACATTTTGGCCATGTTGTTTCTTGTAATACTAATTACTTGTGAAAATCTATCGTCTTCGTAAAAAGTACTTACGTAGTCTCAATCTCAAAAGAGCTCGTCCGCTTCGAAATAGTAAACATCGCCATCCATCCTTGATTGCCATCGACACGCGAACAGTTTCTTCGAACAAATCAGGACCAACTACCGACAGCACTGTAAAGCTTTAGGATTAGGATTAGGATTAGGATTAGGATTGGGTCCGCCGTCCACAGTTTTACCTGCCTTCTCGAGCGGATTCACGTAGCCGTAGAGGGACTACTATCACTACGTTTATCATGTGTGCAATCTTATTCTCCTCCTCTGATTTTTTTCATGCTTGCACATTCGAAAAAACGAGCAGTTGCTCCGTCGAGCGATATAAAGCCATATTTTCGGTCTTTGGATGCAGTCATAGGAATTCGTCTTGTTCACCTCATCGAACCAAACTCCAATACAATAGCTTACATCTTGTTCCTCCCCAATCAAATATAGAAAAGTGCTGTCACCTTCAGGACACGAATCCTATTTTTCATGTTTATCATCATATCACCCACCCCTCTTGTGAAAATGATGTCTTCATACGACTCATTCATTGGCATAATAACCTCAAATCAAGTCCAAAAATATGCCTGTGTATTAAATCTAGCCTACCATTCATCCTAGGTTCCAACAACCATGTTGGACCTTGAATCCTCTAGGATATTCTGTTCCACAAAAAGATGCTCGGAGGTTCGACAATACTGGTACCTAGAACTTATTATAGAAACTTTAAATAGAAAAGTATAGAGGCGGCCACACAGTATCGGAGGTTCTAAAAAACAAGCATCATCAAATCACTATGGGTTGTTCCTACATGATTCATCTTAGGTGTTGTCAATTTTGATGTTCTGTACGTTTACTCAGAAATGATGTCTTTGGTGTTGTAACTCTAGTATGTCGTGCTGTTAATACCTCCTCTAAAAATGTCTAGTTTGAGCTTCTTCGTTTTAGTTATGGTTCTTAACATTCCTTCGGGGTACAACACATATAGTGCTTTTGAATCCTTTGTCTGATAGTTCAGTTGATTTCATCACATCTTACGCAATAGATCATGCACTCCTCATTTCATTTTTCAATTCCACTTGTCCCAGTAGTAATCCAAAACGACAAAAGAATTCGATAATGACTGAGCATAGATATCTAACGCCTTAGTTGCTCTGCAAAGAAAGTTCTCAACGACCGCTTAAAACAACAGTCCCAATCCCAACCCGAATGCAGCTCCAGTCAAGGCTGCCTCGCCGAATCCATAACCGTAAGGCCGTCCATAGTAGCCATACCCATAACCTCCATACGGATAAGGATCGAACAGTGGATCGTAAAAAAACGGATCGCGGTAGTAGCGTGGTCGACGCAGGACTACTCCTGGACGTTGCTGCATGATAACTTGACGACGCCGTCCCTGACTAACCGGCTGCACACGCAAACGCTTCGAGCTTCCCGGAGCGAGTTCCTCTCCCGGCTTCATATTCAGCACATCGCCTTTTTTCATGGTCACAGTGCGCTGAGTACCCTTCTGCTTGTTGAGCAGGACGACTTCGATCGGAGGGAGGTTTTCTTCCACGATCGGCACTTGCTGCTGCTGTGTACCACTTGGAGCACTGGTCTCGATCACCGGAATTTCGGAAGCGGCCATAGAAGTGCGACCAATAACTGGAGTCCCTTGTACCAAAGGAGTGCCATCGGACAGCAAAGTCACTGGGGAAGCCTGAGTTTTGTGGAGAACAAGGGAACAGGTTACAACTCGGATTCTTTCATTCATAACGACGCTTTTCTGTGTTCCACAACAATGGATTCAATTCTTTACTTCTTCATCAAGTACCAAGGGATAGCAGACAAGAAAGTGAGAGCTAAAAAGTGATCTTTCGTAGTACCTGCTGAGGGGCTTCCATAGTCGGATATGCTCCACTAGACTGCGCCATTTTCTTTTGTGTAGATGGATATCCCTCAAAAAGATTGTAAGAAAACTAGGTTATTCTAAGCTCGTCTTTCGAGAAACGTATCAGAAACTGGTCCAAGTTCGAATGTAAGAAAACTAGGTTATTCTAAGCTCGTCTTTCGAAAAACGTATCAGAAACTACTCCAAGTTCGAATGAAAGTTTAAACCGTACTATCAAAAAACAGGCTCAAAATAAACAATTTTTTGCTCTAACACGACTGCAGAGATGATAGGGGAGAGGCGAATGTTAGCTTTTCCTTGAGAATTCGTGCGAAATGATTCGTAACATGGACTGATCCAAGATTCATTTGTGGCTTGGGATCCGTCAATGATCTTTCTTATGACATTGTATGCTGCAAGATCTTTTAGAAGCAATATTGCCATTTCATTGGTTCTTCCGACTAACTTAGTTGGATCTCTTTTTCGACAATTTTTTCCTTTGCTGATCTTACGGACATTCATGTAAATGCATTTCTTTACGAGTATCCGCGCAAAGAAATCCCTACAGTAGTCGCGTTGCGTCCAGCATTCTTCTATCATTCAAGAACTACAAAGGTACATGGGCCTTGTGTTCAAACGTCAGCGTGGACATGATCTTCTTGTTCAATAGTATGTTGATCAAGAACCAAATCAGCAGGTGTATTTAAGCAAAAAGCTTAAAAAATGTTTATGTTTGAGTTTGTGTCTTTGACAATAACAATCACAATGTCCCTCTGACCTAAGCCCCAGGCACCACTGTCGAGGATTTTTCAAAAGCTTCCCTCGTACATGTTTTTCCGTTTAGATAGTAGGCATTTTTGACGACGCCTCGAACAGTAACCAACCCTTTGCCATGTGGGACACCGTTTCGCCATTGGCCTCTATACTGCTTGTTCTCCTGCGTCCAGGATAGAGTGCCGTCACCATGCCGCAAAGAGTCTTGGAATTGACCTTCGTAGAAGTCCCCATTCGCATAATCCCATCTGCCGTAGCCGTGTTGAGCGTTGTCGACGAATTCTCCGACGTAAACACCTTCTTCATCCGTGAGTCGCCCGTGACCGCAGATCTGGATGTTTGGGGTCATGAGTGGAACATGTTGTAGTTTCGGGTGGTGATCTGGATGTAGTTTCGGGTCATGTGTAGTGGATGAGGAGGGTGGAACAGTCTAAGGACGAGGGCGCGGGAAGAGCTAGACAAGCCACAGAACGGGAGAAAGACTCAAATCGTTCTTCCAGTAGGTAGAAAATGGAAATTTATATCTATCAACATCAATACCACATTATCTCTTAACTGCCCTTCATAAGCGGATCCATCGCTCCATTGATATATCCCGTCCCCTTGCTTCACCCCACTGACGTACATGCCTCGGAAGATCGTACTGTCGTCAAACCATATCTCCATTCCTAAGCCGTGCTTTTCTCCGGACGGGGGATGAAGGACAAAAAGATTTCCTGTGATATCTCCAGGTATCACACAAACTAAGTACATACTGAAAGGTGATAGACCATAGCATAGATTGCGCTTAGGATGTCACTCAGACTCAGTTGATGTACAAACTGAAAACTCCAAACAGTTTTGCCGTGCATAAATCCAGTATCCCTTGTATTCTCCAGCTGCATCCTTGAAATGGCCTAGACCATGCGCTCGGTTGTCTGCCCACTGTCCCTCGTAACTTCCTGGTGGCTCTACATACTTGTATCTGCCGTGTCCCTGTTTCACGCCGTCTCGCACTTGCCTGATGACAAAGACATCATGGGGACATGGGATTCTGTCTCTTACTATACGAGTCCTCCTGTAGTCCATCCTCTGGAGAAGGTTATTGTCATGTATGGGCCTCTGATGACACTGTCCGTAGTGCCCGTAGAGACTAATACTGATAACAATTCAGGGCCAGATCTGTAGTCAAATAGCACCGATGAACCCATGGTTCGTACATGACCACCACTATGTTGGCGACCACGATCTTTAGCTGAAGAGTTGCAGCCAATATCTTCCACTCACCGTGCTATTCTTCCCTATCATCTTCATCCGTAGTAGTATTAGTACTATCTTCATAGTACCACTAGCATGCTGATTTTCATCATTGGGGAATTTGTACTTACTCAGACGAGCTGCTCACGTAGAATGAAATCGTAAACAAAAAGCTGCACCAGTAGGGGAGAAAAGTCTCCATCAATTTGTGTTCGTTTGTTATTCTGAAGAAGCATGTCTTTTCATTTTCTGCACAGAATTTACTACTCATTTAAAGCTATTTACGACGGTAAAAAATTTATCAATACCCTTCATACATGGTCCCATTCGGATTCCTCTTCGCTGTATGCTTCAGATCTCCAGCATGCATCCTGCTTGAGGGAGAAGACGGCGTCGCCGCATCGAGCTCTTTCACATACTTAGTGTACTCGAATCTGTCTGCAGGGGTTAGAGTTCAGCCAATTGAGTTTGAGAGTGACTGATTTTCTCTCTTGACTGGAACTGGAAGTAGATGAATTGCAAAAGCAAATGTTGTATAACAGAACATCATAACTCCAACCCCGCTTCAATCTCTTTTATCCGCACCGCAATCGTCCCAATGGTGTCAACGTTTTGCTCGGTTGCCTCTGCAGCGTCCCTTGAGCACACATTTTGACAACACACGTTGTTGCCCATTTTTGTTTTGCCTTGATTCTCGTCGTGGTTGAGATTTGCGGTTATTCATTGAGGGAATGTACTTTTCGATCTAGTATGTAAAACTAGGAAAAAGCTTTGATGCGCTTACTACGTTTTCACATGTAAAAGCTCATGTATCTGTTGCTTGGGAAAGGGCACGTCCTCTGCTGAACTGAAAACAAGCTTAATTAGTACTGAAATCTGTTAGATAAGAGCGGAGAGAACAGTGGTGGAAGAAATCTGAAAAGAAGGGGGACAACATTCAGGATTAGACCATAATGGCAACAGAGCTCATAGCCTTTCATCAAACAGATTGCCCTTGTGTCAATCGCAACATAAAAAACCACATGACGATGGAAGAACCGACCAAGAATTCTCTCTCCAGACCGAAATCGGGATTCCTCTCGTCAGTACCCCTCCAGTCAACATAAACCTTGATCTTCTTTACCAGCACCTCTAAGACTCAAACCAACGTAACAACTGTGATGCCCGTTCCTTCATCATCTGCCTGGCTTGAAGCAGATTCTGCGTAAAATGTGGGTAGAAGCAGACGAAGCATCTCGTCCACAACGGATGTTAAAAATGCGGTATCTCATGCTGCGAGGTTGATGTATTCTCGAAAAGTAGACCATATCTGTATTCCCAACAAAAGGTTAAAGTGTTTCTATGACAACATTGTAGCGTCAATCATCAGATTTTGCACCACATGACTTCGACAAATATGATCGACCAATAGAGCCTGAATCCCTTTGATTTCATGTCCCCAACGTCAGGCTCTATTGGTCAATAGAGCCTGAAGCCCTATTCGTTCAGTAGGTATTTCATCAAAAAGACAAAGTCGTATTTTACCAAGGAATGCAGTTACATATTTGCCTTTCCATCACGTCTGTCAGGAGACTACATATTGAAAATGTACCACCTGCTAGAAGGGGGTATGACGGAAATGACTCTGTTGTGAAATGACGTTGGGGGTATGTGAACAAATATAATTGACCAATAGAGCCTGAAGCCCTTTGATGCAACGCTAGATCTCATGTCTGCAGGTCGGACAAACCTTGTTCACCGCAAGCCACTGGTCTATGCACTTCGTATGAAAAAAGTGCAAGCAAGGTAGTGTCCGGACTTCCACTTCCTCTGGGCAGGGGCCTTCACTCTCATCGAAGAAATCCTCCATGCAAATCCGACACGCGCGGTTATCCTCGTTTTCAATCTTGTCCGTTTTTCTTAGCATTCGTTTAGGCAACGCGGCTATTTCCTCCTGGGAAGCTTCTTGAGTCCGGGTTTCCTCATGGCTCTGAAACGCGGTCAAAATACTGTGCAAAGGCATCAAGCGCTGCTGAGAATCACCACTCTCGGACGAGGAGGATATCTGTTTTGCAAAAACGCATACTAGTTGGGTCGAGAAGAACACGTTTTCTGAACACGTTCTTGAGAACACGACAGATTCAAAAAGTTATAGAATGTCTTTGCAGACGTCAATAAGGAACAATCAGTAGTATGTTAGTAGTGACAGCGAAGTAAGAACATCAAAAGGGAAAGTGCAGCGCTTGCAGACGTCAATAATTACAGTGAATTGCCAGTAATGAAAAGATTACCGCCACCATCGGTCCGCCTCGCACTTTCGCCTCTCTCGGATCTACAGGTACCCCTGCTTCAGGTAAAGCGGATATCACACGCCCACGCGCGACTTTGTGGTAGTCTACGACGAGGATTTCACCACAGACACATAGGACTAGTTCCGTGTCCTCTTTCCGGTAGCGCAGAGGAGGTTAAAGAAGCTGAGTACTTATCTGTAATATAAAATCTGTTAGTAGTTTGATGTAGGGTTTTAGGGTTTAGGGAAGATAGATTGAAGAAGCTGAGTCTATTCTTACAGAAGCCTCTTTTTTGTCTGTAGGTTAATGGAGAGGAGACTAAAGAAGCCTGTAGTCCTATGATGAAACACTCGTAGTTGTAATTCAATTTTCCAAACCGTTCTTCATAACTCTGTTTACATCGAGTGCAGGTGATGTACTTCGCAGCCTTCTTGTTTAGCAACGATACAACGTCGACGCCACTTATATCTTCCGCCTCTTCGTGCTTCGATAGGAGTAATTAGAGGGATGCATATTTCACAGGACAAAATTGCCGCAAATGCAGTATAAACAAATGATGCTAGACCCAACTACTTCTGACCACTGCAGCTTCACGACCTTATTAATACGGGTGGAGCCAAGCTAACTAGGAAAAAAAGGTAAGGTTAGGTAAAGGGTATACAAGTACAGAATTATAAATAGTAATTCTTTTCGTAATATTCTACCACAGCTTGCGTTTGCGCTTCTTTGTATTTCCGCGAGCGCTCTCCCCGAAGTCCTGCAAGCTGTTGCGCCACGGTTTGAGGTCCACTGCTGCTGCTGCTGCTAGCACTTGCTTGTAGTTGATTTTTCTTCACAACATTCGCCACACTCTCTTTGAACCGCTTAAAGCCATCAGCTGTATGTCTCCTCAACAAGGTCAAATCCCTTTCAGCCTCGTCTCTCGGCCGTAGCCAAACCAAAGCATCACCCTCTACAAGCCGAAAGCCCACACGCTTTAGCAGAGAATTGATCGGGTCATCGTTACTCGAAGAACTACTGCCAGAAGAGCGATTCCGATTATGTCGGCCAGGAACAGGACCGCTGGTGCTACTGCTACTCGGTGACGCTGAAGACGATGGCTCCTCCAGTGTCATCGTCAAGCTTGCTAGCAATTCTAGTTTTCCACGCAAAGCTGCGTTGCCAGGTCGTACCCTACGAAACTTCTCGTTTTCGGAGCCGGGTTTTAAAGCATTCTCGATAAGTTTCTCAAGCGTCCCGAGACCGTCACATATCTCAGTCTCTGCATCAGCAGCGTCCGCTGCTGCTGTGGACGCACTTTGTAAGATGGTTTGCATCATTTTGTTTTGGGTTGAGTCTTAGGTACGCGATAATGGGTAAGCACAGTGGTTCCTAGTACCTGGTACTTGATCTTCAAGAAAAACCAAAGAATCTACTCACGCTAGATGGCTCACTGCTGTGGAAACGATAGCCGTGCTCAGCTAAAGACAAGTAGAAGACTTTTCCAGTCTAAATCCTCCAGGCAGTCAACAAAAGCAACATTGCTTTCATTTCCTTTTTTTCATCCTTTTTCAAAAAGCAAAATCCGCTGCTTTGTCCTAGTCCATTTCTCGCTTTTTGAACTCCTGTCGCGTCAAATAGACAAGCGTGCATTTGTTGGGTAGTCGTTTTCAACAGTTCAAATGAATCTAAATTTACAAAGAAAGGAGTCAATCTCAAGCATTCGCTGGAGCGTCGCAAAATCAATCGAAATTCAAGATATTCCCACATTCTTTTCTGTCAAAATTTGCGGTGTACGATAACATTTTTGATCAATTTGAGAAAGCATTACGCAAGCTGCTAGCAGCGCGAATCAATGCGTGGTAGAGAAAGAAATAACAATCCCCAATAACAGTTCTTGAGCTGTGTCTTATCCCCTCGGGGCCCTGGTCTTCATTATTTCGCCCCAGTCTGAATGAGTCCCTTCAATTCCCCTGCGTTGTTGGCTTTCATCGCTGCCCTACAGGCCTGAACTGTCTTGGATTTAGCTGCACCACACCGCAGTCGACCAGCATTTTGGAGCGTTTGGTTCACTTTTTTCAAATGAGTGAGCAATTCCTGATAGTTGCTTGCCCGTTTCGTATGCTCCGCGATCATATCCCCATTTGTGTGCTGTAATATCTGATATGCGCGTCGCAACTTCTTCATATCTGGTAAGTGAGGAGGATGTGAAGGCATGCATGCTACTGTCCCTGTTATCACCGTTCATGGTGACCGTAGAGACGTGCTCTGACAGGCGAAGAGGATAATGCTTGAATATAGTAACTCATAGACGTCCCAAGAGAGCACAGGAACGTGTGAGATTGGTCATTTTGTCACAACATCAAAGCCTAAGCCGTCTTTTTCAAAACAGACTAGCATAATAAGACGAAGAAACTGTAACAACCACAAGTAGGGATGCAATACCTGCCAATATCCTATAATCTTCCGCTTTCACCACTAATGCTTTCACGAGGTTCGAACTGTCCGCTATCTCAGCTGTCAATCGAAGCCGCGTGTTATTGTGGCCTTGAATGTGCTGCAGAACCGTGTCGAGTTCCTGCAACTCCTGAGGGAAACTCGCTACAGCGTCGAGCTCCTTCACGCCTAAGTGGTTAGCCAAGTCCTCTATTATTTCCGCCGCCAGCTCAAGATCGTCGCTGTGCAGCAGAAATTGTACACCATTTCTTCCAGGTGTGTCGGAGGTTTCTAGTAGCAAAGCGGTCTGTTTTCTCAGAGAGACGAACTGGGAGTTGAGGTGCTTCCCTGGCTCGGGTGTTAGAGCTAGTCTCAGGTGACAACAGAACCTCAAAGGACCACTACAAGAGCGTGAAAAGTGCCTTCTTCAGGAAGTGGTAGGACGAGGACCGCCCGAAGGAGGAAAGAGAGCCCGCTGAGAAAGAATTAAGGCTCACCCTAGTAATCCATCGTCTGCCGCATCCCAGCATCATAATTTTTTGTTTCATGGGATAAACCTAGGGTTTAGAGGTAAAAACTAACCGGTTGTTTTTTTACTAAAAGTAGGACAAAAAAAACTGTAGTAAAACCATAATTTCGGTTGCTGCACGTTGATGAAGTTTTTCGTCAACCACTGCCAGATCCGTTGCTGAGATTGCTGGGTCAGCACAATTTTCACGTTCCCCAGAGGCTTGCGCAATTTCCCCTCTGTCACGTGGTGAAACATCGAAAACTTTGGCAAGGTAAACTTCTGCTCAAAATTAGACCTTGCAGAAATCCATCTTGGTGAGCATCTTGGTGCCCGCTTTCCCTTCAAAACGGGAACAAGATGCTGCGAAAGATGGATTTCCTCAAGCCTTAACAAAAGTGTGGTATTGTTCACTTGTAGCGCTCGTCCCGACGTAGGACTGCACCTTCAGCGTCACTTCTGCATTCTTGTGCGGGCTTATGGGGACTAGCGCTTCGTTCTTGGCGGGTTGGAAGAAGAAAATCTCAGCCTCGTTCTGCTCAAACAGGTGCTCCGCATAGATCACTACGGATCGGATGACACTGTAATTGGGATTAGAGGCGGAGAGATCTGACTCGAACTGGCAGAAAAATACGCTAACCACACTTTCTTGCGACGAGGATTCTTCAATTATAACTCAGTCCAGTCAACATAATAGACGTCGCCAGTCGCAATTTCAGTCCCTCAGGTGAGGTCTGGAGCGTCAGACTCAACGAGGTGTCTGTAGGTATCAACCCTTGGTTGCCGCCACCACTCTGCTTCATTTGTCGCATCTGATCCTCTACACTCTTCAGCTCGGTTGGTTAGAAAATGATGAGTTGTTGGGACGAGATGTGCTAATATGTAAACCACATTGCTTATTAATAAGACAAGTAGTAGAAAAGACGAATTGAAGGACTACATGAGCTGGAAAGGAGTCAAATGACGCAACACGCATTTCCTTCTGACGGTAGAACACACCCATTGCCACACTAAAATTACACAGCTTTCTCCAATTTGGACCCATACCAACGCCATAACTCTGAAGTGACTGCCTTTCTGCTAGTAGAGTCCGGTAGGCTTCGTTGTCTACTTCGGTTTTCTGAGCAGTCGGATCAGCACCCAAGAATCCCATACTTTTCTGGGAGGTATGAGAAAGGTAAGGGGACAAAATAAAAAGCTACTCTTACTACTCTATCTGAAGAAGATGTTGAAAATCCATGTAGTATCGAGAGTGGAAATGATAGCTAAAAATACGATCTCAAAACAACCCCGTTATCATTCTCCTCACATAAAGTTTCTTCTTATCAATCGGTGCTGCGCCGGGAGTACCTGCCTCAGGCAGAAAACCGTGGACATCGCCACTGTTCGTCAGCGCAATGATGTTTGGTGGAGACCCGTCCTGTCTATATCGACCAGAAATTAGAGCAGGAGAATAAAACCTTTCTTGATCATGGGAACAATTCTTCCAGGGAATAATCAAGGGAAATGACAATGAGAGAAGAAGTGGCCCTTGTATTACTTCAGGTAGAGAACCAAATCTAAGTAATCCAAGCACACGGAGCACCAACCAAATCTACTCCACGCACACGACGTTCGTCTCATAAAATAACAACTCCCGCAAGATTCGCTGCGCTCAGCGTTTCTTTGTACATCAAATCTCCGGTCATTTGATTCCGAACTTCTACCTTCCCGTTGCTCCACCCTATAACCACATGCTTCGTTCCACCTGCTACTTGGCTTAGAGAGTTAGGAATTTAGGAGAGTTAGGAGTAAAAACTTCAACTTGTAAACTCCATGAAGATGAAAGCTTGCCATAACTCCAACAACTTCAATGAGCGTGGCTGATGCTTAGCCGCCATTCTCCACAATCTGGTGGCCCAGTTGTCTGACCGCTGTGTCAGCTTGTACACTCCTACTGCACCGCTTTTGAATTAGGGGAGGGGACAAGAGTCGAAAACAACGAACAAGAGGTTAGAAGTTATAGTTAGAAGAGTCATTCAAAAGCAGGTAGCCTATCACACAAGTTCAAACTAAGACCAGCCGTAATTCAAAGCGTAGGCGAAGAGGTTGTTAGAGATGCATTCTAGATGCGTCACGACATCTACTTCGGTTATCGGACTTCCGACTGAGGTGCAGGAACCTAGAAGGGGCGTGGAAAAACGAAGATGAAATCAAGAAGGCGAATTCCCTAGACAATCAAACTCAAAATATTAAAAGAACCAACAGGAAAACAAGATATACCTCCCCTCAGCGAAAACGCTGCTATTTCATTGTCTTCGGTCGCCACAAGCAGGTCACAAACAGCGTCCTGGCCTTCGGTAAAGGCAAGCGCGGACACTGTATCACCGACTACTGACCAGAAAATTAAAGCTTAAAGCAACTCACACCTTGCCTGCATTTCTGCAAATCCTAAGACGGAAACAGTGAGAGATGACTTGTGGAAATGAATGCATTATACATTGAGCCTTAAGAAAAGTTCCGTCCCCTCTGCATCGTAGCCTTGCAACGAACAATGTCCACCGACCAAACACAATCGCCCAAACGGCTCTCTGCGACCGTACCGAAGTCTCGTACAACCATCGGATATCTCCTTCACGAAAAGTTCCGCGTTCTCCTCGATGTCGTACCTGTGCTCCTGTTTGATTGGAATAGATTGACGAATAGTAAGCTTTTCACTAGTGTGAGTGTGATTACAAAATATAAGGGAGATCAGTTGCCCGTCGTGGTCCCTGATTGTAAGTGCGAGAGAATGAAGAGGGCGTCGAGGGCTAAGATAGACGTTCTCTCACGCTGTAACAATACGCCATCACGTTGCTCGGCGTGCCCACCATAATGATATCCCGGTCCACATTTTTCTCGGACAAGGCGCCAACCGCTATATCCGTAATCTTCTTGTTGATGTTCAGAAATTGAACGCTGTGTGTGGGTTAAGTGGAGTATTGAATTCTTCAAAGGGAGGTACAACTAAATATATTTCTACAAATGTCATGTCATATGTCTCCAATCATCTGACCTGCCAAATCAACTTTGAGACCAGACCCAAGGGTACTGAATTTATTTCTACAGTAAAAACACTACTACTCCACATGTGATGATGACAAGTCGCCTTCCATTTTCTGTTGAGAAATCGATGGCGAAAGATTTACTTTTTCTTTAAGAAGTACTCATCTCCCGGCTTCTGGCCTGCTTGCGGCTGATGGATCAACAATCTTTTAGAGGTGTGGCTAACTATCAAACCTCAAAGATCAACAGTCTTTTAGACCAAAAAGTCTCTTAGACCACTCCACCTGTGTCTCAAAGTGTCAAGTGTAGTGACTTGTTTTGCGATGGACTTCTGCAAGGTTTAACCTTGCTTACGAGAAGGTGAGTAGAATTTTCAATATATTTTGTCTTGTAGTAGTCGTTGTCCACGTGCATTCACGATGGTGTGGAACTAGCCATTCATAGTCAGACCTACAAAAGCAAAAGGAGTCAGAAATCAGCAGCTACTTACATAGTTCTTAACTTTCCCCGCTGATGTAGCAGCCGCCAGGTAAGTTGCCCCATCGTTGGATGTTCCTAGTGCGATCAGACCGTCAAAGACCTGACTCCTAAGGGAGAACTGGAACGTTGATGTCAACATTGTTGGCACAATGTCAACGAAGACAAAATGTTGAGGACCTGTCACTACTAGTAGATGTTGAGGACCTGTCACTACTAGTACATGTTCTTCAAGAGTGTCGCTTTACAGCTACAGAATGAAAAAACTTCTGCTTCTTCCAAGGATCGCTTTACAGCTACAGAATGAAATAACTTCTGCTTCTTCCAACGTCTCTTGGGTCAGATGTCCGTGTATCGGCCACGTTCAGACAGGACAACTGCACTCCTTGGCTCAGACTTTTCGTTGCGATTGGCAGAGATTTCCTTTTCTCCTCTCGTTTGGCAGTAGCTGCCCTACTAGGCATTTTGTCCTGCGTATGCGGGATAGTGGAGAAGCAGTCCTCTCCTCATGAAGAGGCGACAAGTCGATAGAGGATTCATGCCCTGCTGCCGACTATCCTCAAAGGAACTCAATTGTCAAACTGAATCGTTTTTTTTTTGCATTTTAGTTTTTGAGTTGATTTTCCGCCCTTTTTGTCTTACTGTAACATCGCTCTCTTTTTATGGTAGTAAAACTGCAAACGCGGTTGCAGTGACGTCGTCATTCGCTCACTGCGTCTCAATTTTTTCTGACTGGGCCTCTCCATCATCATCATCATCTTCATCATCATCATCATCATCATCTTCATCATCATCTTCCTCATCATCATACCTCCCATCCATCCTCTCCTCATCTCCAACAGTTCTCCTCAACTGTCGGCGCTTCATTTTCTCTCCACGATTTTGGGAACACGAATACCAGGTGTTCCAGTTCTAGCTGGATTCGCTACAACAAAGAGAAAACTCTCCGTCATTGTCTAATCATAATTGTACCAAACGTGTTACTTCCCAAGGTTTGTGACGTTCAAAGAAAGTGTACATTGTTATGGTATGTGCGTTGTTTTGTGTGAGTGTGTTTGTCGAAGAAATATGTTTATGTTCTTGCCTAATAAAAAGTCAAAATGCTGTCAATGTTACATACAATGCTGTTACAATGCTGTTTGAATTTTTGATAGTCTTCTAGCATGACCTTCCCTACATCAATCATCTTCATCGAACTACAAGATCTTTCTTTGAACTACAAGAACAGAGATTACAACTATATACGTAAACTACGGACGTCACCAAAACTTTTCTATACCAGTATCCTCTTAAGGAGAATGTATTCGTCATCCAATCGACAACATTAGGCCCTTTGGCAAATTTCTCGTGCTACAAATTTAGACAGGTGCAGAAGACAAAGAAGAGACCGAATTTTTCCATAGATAGGTGTTATGAAAAAAAAAACCTCGATATTAGAGTCTAGTTACTAAGGAGCCTGTAGCTAAACTAAACCGAAAAGCGAAGTAAGGAGTCAGCACAAGCCTTAAGCAAGAAAACTGCTTCACGATTCAGGTTTCCCGTTATGAGCAGGAGCTGCCTTTTCCTGAGGGACACAGCCACAAGACTTCTCATCAGTACCAGCGGCAGGAGCACCAGCAGCAGGAGCACCAGCAGCAGGAGCACCAGCAGCAGGAGCAGCAGCTACGCGTTCCTGGGGAACACAGCCACAAGACTTCTCATCAGTATCAGCGGCAGGAGCACCACCACTAGCACGAGCCTTTTTTTCAGTGCGAACTTGAGTAAAAGACGCTCCCCTCAAGTACGGAGTATCAGCAGGGCGCGTGCAAGAAGACGCATCGGTTTCTTTTAGAGATGTTGTTCGAGAAGCATTGAAGAAGAAGTGAGTATAGAAGAAACTGTGCAGTGGGTACCTACTGTAATTCCAGTGGAGCCCAGCCAACTCGAAAACAAGAAATAGAAAATCAATCAAGTACAAGCGGTAATACTTATACTATAATCTGACTGGAGGGATTAACTTGGGATAGTGACCTATTAGAACTCCATATTTTTACATCTGCGTCATAAGTTCACGCACAAAACGCTTTGTTTTGCCTCCACCATTTCCATCAGAGACAAAGAAACCACGAAGAAAAACGTACGAAAGGGCATTTGAGGTGCGAGGTTTGTGAGTTAGAGTCTTCAAAGTGATGTGTGCTTGATCAATTGTTCACAGAGATCTACTTCTGTCCATAACTCAACATGCTCAACATCTTTCCAATCCGACGCCACACTTCGGTAAATGCGGAGGTAGCCTTCGCGGACTCTGGTAGCCGTAGACTTCTTTCTGGTACTGTAACTGTTGATTTCAGATTTCAAGGGGTCTCACTCCAGCTACGACTTTTTTTTTTGTATCCTGGGGCTACTGAAGGAGCGGCCTCAGCTTTATCCAGTTCGCAAACCGGCGGCAGGTGAAACGGCAACTCAGTCTCACTCGGGGTCGCGAGCTGAAGCGGAGGCGCTGCCGAGATAAGGTCCACTGATTCTCTTGACAACAAAAAGTAGTGCATCTACTTGACCACGTCGACTTTCTTATAGTGGATATGGATGCGAGCTCACGATATTTTTAGCGCGGAACAGAAGTTACTGCGTCCACTGTGCTGATATGGTTCTTCCTGTTCCTTCTCGTTCGAGGCGAAAATCTTGTGCGTGTTCCTCTAGACTCTCCTAGAGATCATCTTCTGTTTGGTCGTAGAGGTGGCTGTAGTTGTAGTTCGTCTCCTTGTTTATGGTTACGTGCTTGCAGCGAGATCTAACTAATATTCTATTTGGTGAGTGATCTTATACCTTCACACTTGTTTACGGTTACGTTACGGTCAGCACGTGTTCTTGTGTCAATACGATGTCAAAGATTCTTGTACTAATTTTTCAATCTCTACTATCGTTGAGGGAAGTTTTTGGTTGAATGAAAGAAGTTGTGAGACATGAGATTCTTGTGTAGGTAGAAGGTCGGGCATGTGGAGAATGGTTAACACCAAGTCATGGCAAGCGTCAGAGGTATAGAGATTCAATTCGTGGGTGATTCTACAGGCTGCTGATTCAAGTTGGACTCGTCCTTGTCTCTCAAATAGTATCAGCTTACAACCGATGATGTCAGCTTTTAAAACTCTAACAGAGTGTGTTTCACTCGTAGTGTAATAGAGTTTGTTTCCTCGCTGAATGACCGCAGGAACCGATCATCTGGCTTGATCATCTAGCTCGTACGGTTGCTTAGAACACAACGCAACGAAGGTTGACGTTTTCTAAGTAGTTCCTAGTCGTGCTAGTACGTTTAGAACCAGCTCTGAACCTAATCTGTTTCGTTTTCCCAATATTGAGTCCAATTCGATAAATACATACATTTTCTCATTCAATATCTCTGTAATGATCTTTGTCATTTTCCCCCAGTGACTCTTCTGGTTCTTTTCTTATTGGAGTCTTCAGTGCTGCTGCTGTTATAACGTTTCATTGTCAAGAATGTGTGTACAGGTAATGGCTTCCAAATCTATGTCGCTGTGCAGAGCAAATGGATAGATAATAGCGCTATTTTGACACATACAATAGTGTTGCATGCTATTGTCCCTGTTATCACCGTTCATGGTGACCGTAGTTCCATACAATAGTGTTCTTACATATACAATTGCGTTAATACAATGTTGGCGCATAACTAGCTCTGTTGTCTAATATATACTGAATGGTGTCAATGTTACCTATTTACCATGTTCTCTCTAGTTCTATACCAGTATCTCATTCGGGAAAATGTCTCTCACTTCTGAGCCTCCCGCTCCTCTACCGTCACCCGTATTCGTCAGCAATTCTAACAATACAATACAGTTAATCTCGCACTTTTTTTTTTTGTATCGCGAGCGAGTTCCGTGAAAAACCCGCACAAAGTTCAGTGCAGACTGCCTTAAAACAGCCTGGAAAGAGCTACCATCCGACTTCTTGGCGCCACTAGCTGCTGCTCCCTCTTGCGAGCTGATATGAAAAGGCTGAGTTAAATAACCTGAGGGATTCATTAACAAGATTGGTTGCGCCCCTAACTAGAGCTAGAATGCTTGTTCGGGATGTCTTAAAAATGGCTCTATCAGCAAGAAAGAAGAATCTTGCTCATGACTATATGATGGCTGACAACTATGCAGTGAGTGGAGCAGCTTATAATGCATTTTTTATTCGATCATCTTCCTAAAGGAGAATTAGTATCAACAGGAGTGAGTAGCCTCATCAAGATTCATACAGTAATCTTAAGTCATTTTTATGCAATAAATATTAGATCTTACAAAAGTAACTCATAATATTAGCTAGTCAAAAATTGTCCTAGCTAGAAGTACGACTAGTTGATAGTGACCACGAGTGACATTAAAACTTCTTGTCCACCCAGCATAAGTGAGCATGGAGTCAGCAGCGTTCTTTTTTCCTCACACCGAATCGCACGACGGGACCATCTTCTTCTTACCACTCACCCTTCCCGCGATGTTCTTACTTAGATGCAGAACTAAGAGGAATCCATCTCCAGCAGCATCCTGGGTCTCCTTTTCCCTTTAAAAACGGGACCAAGATGCCAGTGAAGATGGATTTCTTGTAGCCTTAATAGATGTCAACAACAACATGTACGTGCTTCAATCTAAATCGATCTTGGCCCCACCCATAATTCATCCAGTCCCAAAAAAGATTCATCTTTTTCTAATCTATTAATCAAATTTTGAGAAACCAGATGCACGCTAGTAATCGGAGATAATGTTTTTAGCCCTTTTTCTAAACATCAATCTTTCTTCACGGACTGGTTCAAGTTTCGTCATGGTGCTGCTGTCCAAGTCCATGTTAGTGCTACTAGCCTACTGGCGGGATAAAACAGTTCCAACAATGTGCCACTAAAGTGACGCCAGTCTTAATACTCGATGAATATCAATCTAATAAATTTAGATTTCCATACTAGCTTCATTTTCGTCGCCGTCCTTAACATTTGCTCTTTTCTGGTGCTTGATGTAATTTGTAGCTTCGTTGCAAAGACCGACCAGGTCCGCCAACTTCATTTCATGGCATTGCCCCTATGCGTCTGACCTTTAGCACTATCATCACCAGCAGAATCACGAGTAGTATCACCAGGAGCACCAGCATTGTTATTCTCAGCACCCAGCTCCTCATATTTTCCTCAGGCGTAGCCGCATCCGTTTCCTTATACTTCCCATCGCTCACCAAGCAGCATGCATTACTTTGCGCCTTTTTCTTGCTGTGTTAGAAACAAACAATAACAATCTACATATGAAACAAACACAGGAAGAAGTTGCATACGCTTCATTTACTTCTTTTCGATTACAATTTTCTTTTAATCATAATGTTCTGTTCTTACATATCTATTTCTCGCGGTTTTTTTCCCCGACTACACGATCTTCTTGCCCTTGTATAGACCCTGCCGTCGGGCACTTACACACTTATACTTAGTCATTTTATTCATTTTCTTGACGGCAGGGTCTCTCTAAAATGCCGGAACACAGAACCACGTATGAGTACCCGAACTTACCAGATCCTTGAATCATATTCCAGAAACAAACATACAAGTTGCAACTTCTTCCTGTCGAGACATATGGAATATCCACAGGAAGAAGTTGCAACTTGTATGGTATGGCCATGTAGAAGCGCTATTCAGAAGGAGTCACGGCCATGGTCATGCACTTCAGGTCTAACTCTCCCTGGTGAGTTCTGAAGTAAATCTTGCACAGAGCAACGGAGACCACCCCATGGTAAGCATTTTACACAGCGAGCAGTGCGGATTAAGACAATCGCAGAAGGAGGATTAAGACAATCTCTTCTTTTCTTTTATTCAGTTCGCGCATGCGATGAATCAGAAAGCTTAATCGAAGTCCCACTGTTTGGGATCCTTGTCCTTGGTCCACGAGTACGCGTGACCGGGTTCCACGCATTCGCTAGCAACGAAGACGCCTTCCTTAGAGCTACCGCATTGGCACCCTTGGGAACATGTTGATGCTTGGCGTCTTTTCCCCTTACAAAAAAAAACCGCCAAGGTGGGTTGGTGAGGTTCGTAACCAAGGATACTTTTATGAAGCTTCATAATAGCCTTAACTTCATCTTAGATTGGGCGACGGCTCACTCGTGGATCTTCACTCTTGGGAGAGAACCCAGAATGCCTCTTCGTGTCGAAAATGGGCTATGTCAGCAGTGAGAGAAGAATCTCATTCCTGCAAAGATTGTGACCATTATCTATTTTTTTACTAGGGAATCAATTAGCGTCAACCTCAACTACAGGAAGAGTGCTCTAAATGTAGAAGTACTAAGCAAATAGTCGCAGTAGGCATAGCGGTACTCTACTTCACTCAAGGTATATGAAATACGGTTGTAGCTGTTTTGTCGCAGCAGAACAGTAGATAGTTGATGGTGAACAATGAGGACATTGAGCCTCGTAGTCCCAGCATAACTTTCGAGTTCAGCGGGGGTCATCTTCGCGTATACCAATTCGCACTTGGGGACCATTTTTTGTTCCACACGGAATACATCTCGGTCCAACCGATTCGGCTTATTGTTAGATTTAGATATTTTTATAAAAATGCAGTAGCCCTGATGGAGGTGTCAGATCTTGGGGTGTAACGGATTCATGTTCATCCACCTTAACAGTTCTGGTTTGCATCTGGTGCTTGATATTCGTAGCTCCGTTGCAAAGGGTGACCAGCTCCGCCAACTGCATTTTATCGCAATACCCATCTGTCTTCTCCTCGGACGTACTATGAATATGAAGAGTATAATAATATTGCATCAAGATCTGTTGTTTGTAGGGCGGATCGGAGAATGAACAAATAGAAATACTGTTAAATACGATGAACACCTGAAAAATGTTAACTTGTACTTCTGATTGAAAAGGTACTCTCTCTCAGAGTCTCGCACTATGTTGTAGTTGCATCCGAAAGTCGTTTCAGCCATAATTATCTGCCTCTTCTTGACTGAGAACTTGAGTAAAAGATGACGCCCCCCTCAAGTACGGAGCATGAGCAGGGCGCGCAAGTGCAGAAGGTGTAGCGGTTTGTTTCGATGACATTGTTAGAGAAACAATGAAGAAGAAGTGAGTATAGAAGACACTGCCAAGTAGGTACCTACTGTAATTCCAGTGGAGCCCACCCAACTCGAAAATGAGAAATGGAAAATCAATCAAGTTAGTACTTACTATAATTTGCCTGGAGGGACCAACTTAGGATGAAAATGAGGGAAAAATGACCTATTAGAACTCCATAATGCGTCATAAGTTCACATCTCCTGGAGAATCGGAACTCTTACGCAAAAAGGTTTGTTTTGCCTCCACCATTTCCATCAGAGACAAAGAAATCACGAAGAAAAACGTACGAATAGGCGTTGCCATCCTCGTTCTTCCATGAGAAGCCAAGTTTGTGACTTAGAGTCTTCAAAATTATGTGTGTTTGATCAATTGTAGAAAACATCAGACCGTGTAAATGTGATTCATTTGTTTCTTTGTAGTAAGCTGGGCCACAGAGCTGACTCTTCCCATACTCTCGTCCAGAGTGACTTGTTCGTCTTGAGACCTACAAGGGGAAAAAGGACTCAGGGATGGGCTTAAGGATGCTTAATCTTCTGTCCATAACTCAACGTACTCAACATCTGTCCAAACGAAGAACACCTCAACAATAGAAGTGCAGGTAGCTTTCTTATAGAGGATGTGGATGCAGCGGTCTCACGTGGTTCTAATTGGGGAACAGAAGTTACTGCGGTAATAGTTCCTCCTGTTCCAGTTCCTTGTCGTTCGCGTGTTCCTTGATGGTTTGAATCTATTCGGCAATCTGCTTAAGATTTCCCTGGCGACTTCTCCCCGCTCCCTCGAGTTGTCCTTATTCTTGCGTATGAGTGTTCCTTAATCTTGCTGACGACCTTCGAGTGTTCCCTAATCTTAATGTTTACGATTGCGTTACGGTTACGTGTTCTTGTTTGTACAATCAAAGATTCTTGTAAATACGATGTCAAGTAGGATTTTCCTTGTGGTATGTTCTTCTAGCAGAACTCCTAGTCATGTGATAATGGTTCTGGTGTGGGTAGAAGCACTATGGACCCTATAATCCTATGGGGATCCTAGTATGGGATTACGGAATTCTTGCACTGCATTCTCACCGACAACTACTCGTCTACAACAACTTCTCTCAAGTAGCTGTAGAGCCTTAACCGATGATGTCGATGTCAGCTCTTCGAACTAGAACAGAATCAGTGTGTCTCACTCGTGCTTCCACAGAGTTTCATTTCTCGATCAGCGACCACTCGAACCGATCATCTGGCTCGTACGGTTGTTTAGAACACAGCCGCACAAGGAACGTTAACGTTTTCTAAGTACTGGTCCTAGTCGTGCTAGTACGTTTAGACCGTTAGAACACGGCACAACATCCTCTAGTCCTAGTCAGTGTCCTAGTCAGTCTCAGAGCCTTCCCGTAACTGTTAGTGTCGTGCTAGTGGGCATGAAAACTGGTCTCTGAAGCACCCCAAGCTGCTCCATCCTGGGCGAGGAAGATTTCAAGAGTAAAAGAGCACTTGGCATCAACTTTACGCGGTTGTATGACAGCAGTCTGTTGTCTGCAAGGCAATGGTGGGTTCACACTAGTCGTGGGAGGCAGGCCTTCAACCGAAGTTTTTGGGTGGAACAAGGTGGTTGAGTACTAATCTCAAGGGGACGAGTGTTACTCCTGTAAGGTAGCTCTGGTAGAGCTGCTGTGATATGTCGTTTGCTGCTAGTCAAATTTTTTCCTTTTCATTATCCACTATGAAACGAAGCGTTGTTTAGTATGACCATCGTGTTGTTTTTTCCATCATGTTCCATCCGACTCGGGTAGTTAATATTCGCAATTTCCACTCTAGTAATTTCCAGTCCTTAGGTATATTATTTTGCAGTCATAACAGAAAGAAAAGAGGTTCTTTAACCTTGATGATTTGTCAACGTTTTCTTGAATAAGATGAACGAGAAATACAACTTTGCAATTCACTGGAAATAAGCAACATGATAAGCAGACCAATAAATCAGATTATAAGTACTATCTAGTATAAGTTTTGTACTATCAAGTAGCGGCCTGTTGATTCTTCCTTCGTGCGTAAAGAGATCAATCGTCTTCCTCCTCCTCCATCTGGTCGGAGATGCTTACGAGATACTCCTTCAATTCCGCCTGATTGCTCTCGATTTGACGCTTAATCTCCATCATTCGCGCACCTTTGCGCTGAGGGATTAGAAGACCTTCAATCACCAATGTCGGAGATGACTTCTACGAGACGGCGAGAGAGAGAGAGTGATACTGATGAAACTTCTTGAAACAAGAAAGGGTCTTCAAAGGAGTCTTCATTTATTATCTATTGTGAAAACGGGGAAAATGCATCATCCTAGGAGTGAACTAAGCACAGCCTCAGCCCGACTGAGAATATCTAAATGTCTAAATCATAAAAGCAAATGTTTCTGCTTCGCGTCGAAGAAGGAGAATAGCCACCCTGACATCTGCGCTTGCATTTGGTCGTCTTTGGTCTGGATCGCCAGTAAGTGGCTATCTGAAAACGCCGCTAATGCTTGTGTCATACCTTCACGATCGGGGGGATGAAAGAGGAGAGGGGCAACTAGATTACTTAGTTTTGTCGTGCTCAAACTGATGATCCCTCGCTTTGATTGTTCTACCAATTGATTGATTGATGCAATTGATTGATTGATTGATGTACCTATTCGTGAGGTATAGGGGCTACCTGTGTGCATGGGGGAGAGGGTTTTATCTGCCACATAAGACAACAATTGCTGTCTCCTCGCATCCTCTCCGTGATCCATCATCTCCGGCTGACTCGCAGCTGCCTCCATCTCCGTGGATGCGCCAAGCATCAAGTCGTTCTTGAACGTATTCTCAGTCTCCTCGAAAGTTAGATCAATCTTTTGTACAGGGGACATCTTGTTTTTGTCACCAATCATCTTCTATATCATTTTTTACATTTTAAGTATTTCCCATGATCTTTTATATCATTTACATTTTAAGTAAATTTAGAACATACAGCATCTCTCAGCAACTCCTGTTTTCAAGCTCAAGTAACTGATGAAAACAGCTGATTGATTGATTGATTGATTGATTGATGTGCCTGGCATGAGGTCGATTATGTGATGTATTATGAAAACATAACTAAAAAACGTTCTTTTTGTGTTAGGCACGAGCAGCAGTTGACGTTTTTAGCCGTAAGAAAAACTGAAAGAACTCCTTCGCCGCATTCGCCATCACCTTTATTAGCTCGCCCATTTGTGACTCGAACGACACGATGTAGTCGTCCACGCTAGCCAGTAGGTCCATTTCTAAGTCCATCAAATCGTGATCCGCTTCTTCTAGCTCCGTTGAGAGGCGCTTGAGTACTGTGAGATAGATTCAGCTGCAATACAATACAATACAATTAATCTCGCTTTTTTTTTTTTGTATCGCACAGCGTTCAGTGCAGGAGACTGCCTTCAGGGCGTCATAATCATAGTTTCAAAATTTATTACAGTAAACACCATTTATGAAGCTGATTGGAACGATGAACCTGCATGAATAGAAAAGAGGCACTTATCATCTGTCCATTAGACACTTTCAGCTTCAGTTGAAGGATATGTCTTGAAGGATCTTTACTTATTGCCTTTTGAAGAGGAAATAACAGAAGCAGAAGGTAAAAAACAAGTGACAGTAGGCAAAAACCAAGTGACAAAAGGAACAACCAATAGTTATAATTCATTGTAAATTTAGCTTATAAGGATCCTGACGCGCTTGTCTGTCCATTAAAGTTGGTCGAGCATACCTAACTAGAAAAAACAAAAACCGAAAAAAGAAAAGTCAGGCATTATAAAGAATCAACATGTCCTCTAGGTCATGTCCTCTACAGGTAGTACTTTCAGCCGCTTCATCCGTCAAGATTCCGCCAACAATTTGTTCCTTGACTTTCTGGAGGCCGACTTTCTTACTACGAAGAAACTTCTTGAACAGCTCTGTAGATTCGGCTTCGGAGGCCAGATACGTTTGCTCAATCTGCTTTTCGAATACCTGTGATGTGGTAGGCATTATGATGTTGACTCATTCCTTTGGCTTTGGATTTGGAGATTTCAGAAAAAGTTTTCTTTTTTTTTTGTATCCTGGGGCTACTGAAAGAGCGGCCTCAGCTTTATCCAGTTCGCAAACCGGCGGCAGGCGGAACCTAGTGTTCCTCTATCGCGCTATACTCTACGAACCCGCCGATTCTAAAGTGATCAAGAAACTAGGAGGTTGATGGAATTTCTGGCCACCCACTGGGGCGAGATTCGTTTCACAAACAGCAGACATGAAGAGATTGCATTTTCCTGCTGCTACCGCGGGTTCACAAACAGTGCTTCCTAGACGGTCCCACCTTTTCACCACAGTCACAGCTCGCTACTTGTCATCTCATGATACTCAAATGTGACACATGTAGGTACTTACCTTGACTTTCTTCAGTCTCTCTTCATTCTTCTCCTGGACAGAGGCGTAGAGCGTCTTCAGGAGCTCTGCCAATTTCTCCCTGTATTCTTCCTTCAGAGGCGTCAGGCAGTGCAAGGCACCTAGATGCTCCGACATATCAGCGGGGAAGAGATCGTCGTACAAGTTGTTCTGTTGAGAGGAGAATGGTTGGAGACGTTGGGAACAATGAGGAAGGACTACGTCGCGAGAGACATACATGGTACTAGAGTGACGTCTCTTACAACATGGTACAACTAGTACAACACAAAATTTTACAGCTTAAGTAGTACTAAAGTAGAGCAATCTTCATTTTCTCGAGTAAACTTGTGTCAAAACTACACGACGACATCGTATTCCCGAGCAAGAACTTCACTTCGAAATGATTGCTACTACCGTAGTGTCCAAGAAGCTTTGTCTCAGCTTTTCCTCGTGGACTTTCTTCTCCGCCTCAGCCTTCTGCTGCAGAGCCTCTTCAGCCTCCTGCTCCTTCATTTCTGTCAGCTCGTCTAACTGATAGCTCTCCTGGATCTGCGCAACTTGCTTCTTGTCGATCAACATGTAGTCAAGGTAGACTAGGTGCCGTGTTAGAAGAGTAGTAAAAGTACATAAATCTATGTTAGAGTCCTAAGTATCTATTCTTGAGGTGCCGTGCTAGAAGAGAAAAAGTATCTATTCTTGAGGTGCCGTGTTAGAAGAGTATTAAAAGTACTTAAACAACAAGTGTAAGCTTCATTAATAGCCCTATGCTTGAAGTGGATGCACAGGTTGAGTTGCGTCTTGTGGAGGAGCTATTTGAGGTTGAAACTGCTAGTCGCGCATCTGCAATCATACAAGGACAGTACAGGAGTTTTCACTATCATACTCCGCCAAAGTTCATAACTGCAAATACGCCAAGACGTGTTGTTGATATGAGTCCGCCTCGCAAATCTTATTCCCCTCCAAACACACACATCGCAGATTGCCGAAGCGTCGAAGATAGTTGACCTTGATTGCGGGTTGATCGTTGTATGTCTTTGAAACCAATAGTCCTAGTACTACAAATCTACACTTTATAGCGGAAGTACTAGAAGTAAGCAGAAGTACCTGCTTCAAGTCCGATATCCTGTTCCTGCCCAGACTCAGAACATTGAGCCTCTTGCAATTGTCCAGCCCTGAGATTTCCTCGATATGGTTGTTGTACAAGGAAACATCCTCCAAATTCACCAAATTCTCCAAGCCCTGAATCTCCCGTATGTTGTTAAAACTCAGATCTGTGGGAGGGTCCGGTTGATTCAGTCAAGGTCATGGTTCATTTACAATTTTTGAGACAGGAGACTCAGAGGACGAAAGAAATTTGAAGTACGTAGTAACAAAAATCCAAGTGCAAGATTGATTGTACAAAATCATCACTTGCAGCAATCATCGATCTTCTCCTAAAAAGCAATTATCAAGTACCTAGCCACGTCAAATTGACTAAATGATCCAGCGAGTCAATCCTGTCTATGATATTGTTGTCCAGCCTCAGCGTTTTGAGGTTGTCAAAATTGTTCAGATTCGCTATCTCTGCTATGTTCCGGTACGAAAGGCGGAGGGGGGGTTAGAAGATGATACGGTAAGTAAGTATTCGTTCTGTACCTGTATGAAGGAGAAGTAATTATCGCAAGAAAACGATCTCATTCACCTTAGAAGAATTCAAGAAACTTATTCTCCCTAAGAGTTAGAGTTAGGGAACTATCTTGTATCCTCGCAAGAAAACGAAAATAAATTTGAAATCATAAGATTCCACTTTCGGAAAATTTATTGGCTCTACGAGGTTATTCTCGGCGCTCCCTTCGCATCCTTCCTGCAAGGCAGCCAGGTCGATAACCGCCGGTTCGACCACCAGCTTGCTCTTCCTCTCTGAGGGAGAGAGCGGCATCTTCTTGGGTTTTGTTGCACTTATGTTGTGAAAACGAAAAGGTTGTGATAACTCGATGAACCTGCTCAGAAGATGCTAAAGCGTAAACGTCGTTCCTTACCGTTATCTCTTCGTCCTGCATGGGATTATGCTCTTGCCGGTGTCGTTTTTTTGAATTTTTCCAGCGTCCTACGAGACGATCCGCGTCGCGAAACGGAAAAGTATCGAAGTCACGAAGTCGCGGGACTTAAGTCCCACGCTTACCGCGAGAAGGCCACCGGCCGCGGTCTTGCCTCCGCAGAGGCCACGACATAGTCTTATTCTCTATACAAGCTTGCTTCAAATGTGGTTTGCCGTTTTCACGTCAGATAGCTGTTTGTGGTACTTTCTACTCTTAAAACTACACAATTTTTAGTTTCAAGGAAGCCACGCTCCACATGCTTTCTTTTTGGTTATCTGCGCATGCTCTCTTCAAGGCTAACTGGATTCTCTCTCTAGAAAGATTTTAACAAACTCTTTTCGGCCATTTTTTCTGCTTTCAACTCACTTTTTTCAATTCGTCTTCGAATTGCTCTGCTTTTAGACTATCACGCAAACCTGGTTTCGGCTAGTGATCTAGCGCTTTTTCTTGCAAGAGACCGTGCTCATTGCTGCGTTCGTTCATTTCATTGTATGTAAGGGGGAGTCGTAAGTCAGTTGTCGTGGGTCAAAAAGAGTCGCAAGTAGGAGCGCGAGAAAACGCGCAGTTCATTTCTTTTCATTAGGTGTAGCTCATCAATAAATGTAGAGATTTGTCGACCACAAGTTCTCCGGTATCTGCCAACCCAGTCAAGACACACAAAAACTGTCTTCCATATTTATTCCTTCTACTTTTTTGCGTGGCTGCTAGGCCTACCGCAGTAGATTGCATCCGTGCTCGCCGTAGGTCAATCTTAGGCCTTATTCATATACGCATCTAATTCGCCATCCAGGCGTTTCTCCATTACGTCCTCACCCATGTATTCGGCCAACTCCCTATCCAAATCCTCTGCTTTTGCCTCCTTTTTAGGCTCTTTCTTGGCTTTCTTTCCTCTACCTGTTTGTCATCGTGAGTAGGGATAATTTGAGACACTGTGATGCTTCTACGTACCATACGAATTCACGTCTTTCCACGGCATTGCTCTTTCAAAGGTACAAATCATAGCGATACTGCAGTGCACGACGATAAAAGTATACAATTGTTCTTACCCTTTCCTTTCTTCGTCGGCTTCTTCGTTTCTGAGGTTTTTGCATCGGTTTTTGAAACTATCGTGCTTCCCCACCCTCTCTTTCCAGCACCTTTGTCTGACTTTCGGGCACCTGAATCAAAGATCAGTAATAAGATGGACCTAGGACTTTCTAAGATCAGTATTTCGAAGGAGTAAGAATGTAGAGAGGACTTCGGTCAAGTCTCTGACGAGAAGAAGACCTTCAATAATCATAACTGATTGATTTCAACACATAAGTAAGTGACACCGCGAACTTCAATAATCATAACTCATTGATTTCAACACATAATAAGTGAGTGACACCGCCATCATCTCAAAGGAGCTTCTGCAAAATCGATGCAAAGCAATTAGTACCTTTGCCGCCCTTGCTGCTCTTGCGTCGAACTCCCGCCATTTTTTGTCGTCGTGTCAGATAAAATCTAAATTACTACGATGATGCTAGAAGGAATCACGCTCGCTAGTACCCTAATTACTCTTCAAGACTTGTTGCTCTTCTCTTCGCGTATTCTCACTGCTCAAAAGATCGTGAATCTGGAACAATACTGATGGGCATTGTATCTTCTAATAAAGCTCGAACAGGAGCAGGAGCATCCACAAGGCGAGCAGATCTTTCCACCTTTGCACCTCATAGTGATGTTGATCGGCACAGCGCTGCTGCAGCCACGAGGATAGGATAGGAGTGGGCTCACTTGTGACGGAGTGAGCGTATAGGCTAGATATGCCATCAAATGAGCCGAAGCATGCCTGAGCTGCATGTGGTGACCGATACGTTCATGAACCCCTAATTTCGCACAGCATCAGCAGAATATCGAAGAAATGGAAATAACCACATTCCATACAAGAAGTTCAAGTACGCACAGCATCAGCAGAATATCGAAGACATTGGAAATAACCACATTCCATCATTAGCGGGAATAGTGATCGGTTTTCACAGCTCACCACGATTTCAAGATCACTTCACGACAATACCATCATGTAAAATGTGCGAGAATGGCCCACGACTACTACGGACTTTGGTTGTATCCTCAAATAACACAAACCAGAGATTTGTACAAGAATGATCTATGTATAATAAACTTGCTTTTCTTTATTACTTCATTCCCCTTCCCATAACGACATCGAAAACTTGAGTATACATTATCGAGATCTGACCTCTGTTTTTTGCACGTACATCTATGTTGATTCCTTTTTCAATGGTTCAATCCAAATGATTTCTATACAGAATTTCTTACAAAACGTGGATACAACAATCTTCGGAGCTACTTTTCTAGTATTGAATGGTTGTTTGCTATGATCTATCTTCTTAACATGGTACGAGTTTGGAAAATGGCTGACTCTTGGAGAAACAAACAATTGCGGCCCGTTTATGAAAGCTAGTAAATTTCGATACAACCACTGCAGTGCGCGGAAGCTAAAGCCTATCTGCCTCGATGCTGCGAGGTGTCAAAATATACAGAATTTTCATGTTCAACATCTAAATAATTAGAACAATCTGCTGCTTACTCCGCTCTCCCAGGCGACCCCAAAATTCCCACATTAACGCGGCGCTCCAGAGAGTATTTCATATCCGGCTTCGTGATTTCCTTGGGATGCAACGCGCTGGTTTGGTAGAGATGATGGCAGGTGGTTGTCTTGTGACTCGCGTTGTAGGGGGTATTAGAGGTTCGCAAAGAAAAAGTAGGAATGCATGCATTGTTGGAAGGGCTACACGCTAGAGGTAAAAGCGAACCGGTTGCTTTATTTAGTGCTTTGAGCGCCGTAGGAATACATGTAATTTGTGTAAGGAAGTGATCAATTACCTTTCGCGGCTAGGTGGTCCTAAGTAACATAAACATTACGGTCCTACTCCTAGGTAACGTTACCTCTAGCTAATGCACAATATTCAAACAACCCTTCCATAAATCTATCCCCAAGAACTACAGCACTCTGTTTCATCGGTTTCGGATCTGGGCATTGATCTGCGTCGCGAGTGTAGGATAAAAAACGTCCCTTTCGCATGTTCTCCTCCAACGTTGCACGACCCGCTCTGGCCATCTGTTCTTGGAACTTCGCCAGCTCCTCATTACTCGCCTTGTAATTGGCTATGATCAAGTTCTTGTTTTGGATTGCATTTTGTGCGGCAGATGTTGAAGATGGATTGTTCAACGCAACTTGCTGTAGTTGGGTATGTTTATTTTCACCAAGAGCTACATGAAAGGTCGAAAAAAACGGGTTTTTGTAGCTCGATAGACGTTTGCAACTATCTCTTGTGTTGTATTCTACCGCGGCACCTGCTGGAGGAAGATTCAAGTTAATAGTAGTTGCTGGACGTCTGCTTCCGTCAGGGGAAGAAAATCTTGCAGCCTCCAGGCGCGGAGAAAAATCCACAACAGAACCAAGCCGCTCAGGCATAGAACCAAAATGGACCTGTCTGTTCGCTGATCCGGACGAAGGAACGAACGAAGGAGCTGCTGAACCACTGTTCTGTGGTTGACCTTGAGGCGGCAAGGAAATCAGTTTCCTGTCTGTCTCCGACAAAAAGATTAGTAGAGCTGTTGTAAAGGATCTTCACATGCAAAGATTATATTTAACAAAAATCTTTAGTTAGTAGTACTATCCTTGCAACACGTAACGTAGAAATAACCAGAACGAACTACTCTTCCTCCAAACAACTACACCTAACATCTTCATAAAAGCATCGGTGTCTTCGGCAGCATCGTGCCCACTTGTAGTTGTGACGTCCTCGTTCGCATCTTAATCGGAGACGCCCTGCTAGAAGAAGGAGGTGGAGACACCTTGGGGAACAAGGCCTGACGTGCTGCGTCTTGATCTGTCGCGTAGCGTCCAGCAAAATATTGCTCTCGTTCAACGTTGGGTTCTTCGTATTAGCGGGTGCAACGCATCTTATCTGCAAACCTTCTGTGGAAGTAATGTCTTCTTCCACTGCTCCTAAGACTTCGTATTCACGAAACAAACTGCTCTTTCTTTACTTAGTTGACCTTGAAAGTTGGCCTTTCATCATATAGATTTTGTTGGAAGGGCTACACGCTAGAGGTAAAAACGAACCGGTTGTTTTCTGAAACGGACCTTGAGAATTGGCCTTTCAACATATATTAGAATTTTAAAATTCAAAAACCATAACGGGTCACAACCTCCTCGTCATGCCTGTGACTGTCGATTGGGTGATGGATGATTGACGCCACACCCCGACTATCCATAGTCAGACCTGCATGGGGGACTTCACGATGCACCGGTGGCCGATACATTGGTCGTGTACCTGTCATGAACGACGCTGGACGTGGAGATTGATGATTCAGGTTCCCGAACGTGGCAGTAGCCTTTTCCTCATCCTTCTGAGGAAAGAAACAGCGGACACCCTGAGCAACTTCTAGGTCGTCGAGTGGAGGTGCGTAGTTGCGTTCTTCGGGAGAGAGGTTGTCGTAGTTGCCTTGTTTTGGTTAGAGGCAGTACTAAGAGAGGCAGTTGTACTAAGACAGCGTTAAATTGATGTAAGCACATACATCGTTGCATAATTCGGAGTTTCTTGAATTCAAGGATGCTCAAGTAGACAACTGCACTATCTAAGCTAAAAGATGAATGTGCAATAGCAATACTGTAATCAATGTGTAGTAAGCAAAAGGCCATAGGTAAACGAGGCTCGACTATGTCTATGGCGTCCAGGCTGTTCATGATCGAAACGGTTCCACTCAGATTCCCTACGATGACGCGCCGACCCGTGGCCGTGCAACACCTCATCAGTATGCGTTCCAATGCCTCCCACATTAGAGCTTGCGGAAATCCATTCTGGCGAGCACATCCGTAGTACCCGTTTCCCTTTAGAAACGGGACGAAGATGGCATCTGACGTATGTGTAAAAGAAAGTGCTTCCTTTACCGCAAGTATTCATTCATTCATTTACCTAGCAAGAGGTCACTCGCAGGACTTAATTGTTGCACTTCCTTTTTTCTATTTTTTCCCCTTCTTTCAGCACTTCTCTTTGTGTCTTCTGTATAAGTCAATCCTTTTTGTTGTATAAAATTTCCTCAAGTCTTAACCACAGTACTGTGCTTCACTCGGCGATGTACTACCGGATTGGAGTGGCCTTGGGGACGTTGTGAGGAGGTTTTAGCGTTTGTCCCGGGTTCCGCATCATCCACTCCCCAAGGCATATCAAACGTTCCTTTGGCTGAGTCCATGACTCTCGTACCGTAAAACGCCTTCTGAAAGTTGGCGGATCGATGAGGCGCCTTCTGAGGCTCGTCCTCCAAAATGACCGACGCGTTGGCAATCGAATGCTTCAGCCGAGAGTTGCGAGTACTTTGCATGTACCGAGGCGCCTGAGCCATTCGTAGCTGGCAGGGTTGAGACTTCTGAGATGTGGCTTTGCTGGTGGTCGTGGGAACAGCAGGTGATTAGAGGATCAGAACGAAGAATCTTGATGTATTGATGCCTCACAATGTAAGTAGATCACAAGATGTTCTTGTACTAGTTGTTGGGAATCATAATGCTTTCACTTCATTCTCACAGTACTAGAGACTTCATGTTATACAACAAGCCCATTTCATAATCAACCTCCTTGTCACCGTTTCCTCGCGGAGACGCAAGCCATACTTCAGACCCAACTTTTCCAGTCACCAGGGCCGAGTTCAAGCGCCCAGGCGATAAACTGCGGGAAATAAAACGGGGCTGAAGTAGTCGTGTTAAGTAAGTTGTTTCGGTGGAAAGTGACTAAACTCAGATTCATAGGAGCCAAGATTGAAGTGCTGGTCAGATCGCATAATACACCTGCTTTAGAAATTAAAAAAATGCAAATCAAAATACTACCCTTTCCAATCCAGCTCCATCATTCGCAGTACTTGACGATGGACCTGTCATTGCTCCCTTCAAAATTTGATGCGTTCCATAGTACTCTGGCCACGATGGTGCGACTGTGACTTCTTTGACTGCCTCTGTGCGTCTGGGCCACAAACGTTCTCCTGTTTTGTCTGGAGAAGAATTTTGCTTCTGGATATTAGAACTTGAAAACTTCTTATAAATATCCTTAAGCAATTATCTTCTTATTCTTTTGTATCCACATCACCCTCCTTGTCCTTCATAATGAATTTCTCCGCTTCTTTCCCTTCTTCATTCAGATGCTTTATGCGCAAAGCTCTGTCACTGGATCGTGGCGAAGTCGGTGATCGAAGTAAGCCAGCAACATTCTGTCCTCCATAGATAGCGGCGTGACGTTCTCGCTCTGCTGGTGCTGGTCGAGTGCGTACATCACCAGCGTCCAAACGAGGAGATAAAAGAGCGGAAATACTGTCGTCGTGGGTTGTTCAGGGTACTTAGTAGCGACATTTTTGAGTGACGAATGATGATGATAGGTTGTTTTACGCGATCCAGTCGTATTCCGGGAACCATTCTTACATCAGTTGTACAACGAACTGCTATTACATCATCAAGATTTTACTTACTGCCAAAAGATCAATAGCTTTGTAGTACTTCCTAGAATCGAAGTTATTCCCCTTATTGCGCCCACCTCTTCCCTTGTTTCCGAAGATAGCGTCACTTGAGGTAATCGGTTTGTTCACTTTCTCAAAAAGCGTCTCTTCACGCCCTGTCCGTTCTTCGCGACCTGTCCACTTACCCCTATTGATCTTGTCCGACACCGCTTTTCCTGCACGTTGGACACGAGCAGCATGCAAAACCCTTGTTTGGCTTGGTGCACCAGCTTGGTTCTGAGGTCCGCCTCGAGGGCTGCGATGACTTGGTTTGCCCTGTTCGACGCTGGGAACAGAAGTGCCCATGGCGACTGCAATGATTAGAAGAGATATAGCAATCGATGTGGGAGAAAGATTTGATTGTGGAGTCAGAGAGATTTCTGGCCATGCATGGCACTGCAGAAGGAATGACTGACACAAGAACGGAAAAACAAGTTTTACTTTATTTATCAATTTCTATTCATAAGTCTCTTTCGCATTGTTGTTGATGAATCAAGTCCCACACACCAGTGCTGTCGCGATGTTTATCCCTTACTTCTTCGTTTGCGCCACGAAAGGTACCGCCACTACGCATGCCTGCCTGGGCACCAGCAGGATGGGCTTCCACTTTCACTACTGGCATATTGTTCTGGTGCATAGTACTAGATTTCGCCGCAGTAGAAGTGGCAGTGATGGTGGTTGTCAGAGTTGCGTCTTCACGAGCCGTACTGGAACTCTGGACAACTGTCGTTGTCGACGTCGGCTGCGTAGGTCCAACACTACCAAAAATTTTGGTGTGAGTACACGGCTCTTCTGCTTGCCTTCTCAGAGGACGTACTCGTTCACGCGTGGTCTCGGGTCCCTCCCAACGAAAAGTCCCGGGCGAGCAATGTCGCCGCTGTTCGTTGACCAAAGCATAGGATCTTAACTCGGGTCCCGGAGAACGACCACGTGGCGGCACATTCTGTACCTTCTCACCCTCACCGAGGTACAGATAATGGGCCATTTTGTATTTCTTTGTTGAGGTGTTAAATTGTCGCTTCACGTCTCTGATGATATTTTCATTTGCGTCATTCTTTTACTAGACACCTAAGTGAGATGTTCGAACCAAAAGAAGTCACTCGTTCTATTTTAGCGAAGAAACACAATAAAGCTAGATAGACCCACAAGTGAATGCTACATTAAGCTAGAAGAGAACAACTGCAAGGCAAATAATTAAAGCGGAGAGGTAGGGGCAAGCTCTAGCGACCGATAGTACTTCGGAGATACAACTGACACGCTGTGGATAACAGACCCAGATGAAGATACCGATACACATGCGTACACACTGCTGAGTGGTGTTCACACCGATGGAGATTGTTCGGGTGTGACCGTAGAGACACACACACACCCAACCAAGATCGTTTCCATTGATTGTGTCTCACAATCGCTAAGAGTCCTCAGTACCGACGATGACATACATCTAGGATCTTTCAGCATCCTCAATGAAAACTGCCTGCTGCGCTCCAACATTATGCTCCTCGTCGTAGTGCGAGTATGTCTTCCACGAGCAGCCATAGGGCTGACATCAAAGTATGGGGAGAAACCAATGCCAGTAGTTCTATTTTGGGGATCAATCAAGAACATGAAGGCATTTCATTTCGGGGATAGACACTGCTTTCACGTCATTTGGTGAAGAAAAGTGAGCCCCAATGTAAACACTTTCGTGGCCAAGCTCATCAACCGGAATGGGATTTTTCTGCCCCAGGAATCTAGCCTACTCCAAAACGCTGCGAGTTGGTGCAATAGAGAGGAATGTGTGAGAACTCTGCTCTATGAGGCAGAAATCGAAAAAGTCAAGAACTGTCAGGGCTCTTCAGGACTACAAGGGCTATTTAAACGCCGGGACCGTCACTCCTTGTTCTTGTTCTTGATTCTTAGCCCTCCTCCTCCCATTCCGAATCGGTCCAATTGCTCAACTTATAACCAGCTCCATTGTCCTCGGTCTGAGATTGGTGCGCAGGAGTAGCATTATCCATTAGATCAGAGTCATCATCTTCCTCAGCAACTTCTCCCACACTCGAACAGGCTTCCTCCTCATTCAGTACAGCGTGACTAGTTAGTACATCACATCCTCTAGTAGTACTAATGCAGCTACTTTCAGTCTCATTTTCACTGTCAGCGAAACTGTCACTGTCTTCCTCGGGGTCGTCGGTGAGGTCTCCAGCGTACGTCTGGTCATCTTGATTCCCAGGGTCAACATTCTCACCGTCGCGAGGATTTTGAGCATCCTCTTCATCAGTCTCATTCACGTCAACAGCATCAGAAAAGTTGTTCATATCAGGGCTGTGGTCAGTATCAGAAAGACCCCCCCTCTGACTATCAGCTTGAGCGGCTTCCTCGCTCTCAGCATCGGCGGGGGCGGCTTCTTCGTCAGTTTCGTCGGCATTCTCGGATTGCTCAGAAGCGGCATCGACAGGCTTCTCCAACTGCTCAGCGTCGTTGCGCGATCGTTGTATACAGTGACTAGCAATATTAACTTCGTCGAAACTAACTGACAAGCCGGTCCTTGTTCGCTGGCCACGCCCCATTATGGACTTTCGTTGCGCTGAGTTCCTCTGCTGAAAGTCCTCAACTAGTTGTAGGCCGAGCACGGGTAGCACTCGACGAAGACGCAGACAGCGGCGATCGACCTGCCTCCGCAGCTCATCTTAGAAGGTGCAAGCACATATTTGACGAGTAAAACCGCAATGAGATGCAGTGCAACCACCTTTACTTTCTAGCTACGACCCTGTACATGAGTAATAACGAAAAACTTTTATAGCAAATCAATGCCCGAAGAAATTACTTATGTGAAGGCGATCATAATGATGCGTCCCCCAGTAAGTACGGCCATCCAGCAGAAACATTGACATGCACTCAGGGAATTCACCTGAAGAGGACATCACGCGTTTTATAATTTTCAGTATGCAGTTTCTTAATTTTCAGTAACTACTTGCTTCTCGTCCCTTATCCGCCAGATATAGTCGCTGCTTCGGCTTAATCGATCATAACCCATTCGCAAATCGGCGTCGGCGTCTGTGTCGTCACTAGTATCCTCGTCATCAATCGAGTCACGCGACCTGTCACTGCTGCTGTCGTCGCTGCTGTTAGCCTTGGTGGAACTGCTAGTAATCATGATCACGTCGGCAATCAGGCGCGGCGGGGCAAATTGAGCGCCACCATCGTCTGCCTGTCGTAGCGAGACGCCCTCGTCTGGCTTGTGGATACTACTAGAAGAAGAAACGCCTCCGGCTCCTATAGGGCTACGGATGGTTTCGCTGTCCTCTAACAAAGTTCTTGACCCCGTAACTCTACGTTTGTCTGGCCCTGCATTGCAGCTACCGCTAAAAGAGGATGGGTCGTCTGCTTTTTGTTGTCGTGCGGGTGCTTTTTCATTCCGCTGCCCCCGCTCGTCGGGCAGTGCAGCCTCCAGTCTGGCGAGGCTCTCCTCTTTCTCTCTTAAAGTTTCCGCTTTTTCCGCAAGGGCTTCTTCATGCTGTGCCAAGTCTTGTCTTTGCCTCTCCTGTTCTGCTGCGATAGCTGCTTGCTCTATGGTCAGAATTAGAGGAACTGCATCAGTACTAGGATAGAGTAGGATCGAATAGGCAAGGATACGACTCAGATACTTAGAACGCCCTGCAGGCCTATTATATTAGTGCGATCATTTTTTTCCTACCCATTCCCATTCTAGTACGTATGCAACAAGACAGACTGGCGCTCAGGTAGTGCATATAAAAAAAGACAGACTGGCGCTCAGGTAGTACATATAAAAAAAGACAGACTGGCGCTCAAGTAGTGCATATAAAAGAAATCGAAATCCTCCATAAAGTCTCTTCCAATTTTTGCTCTCTCTGCGCCAAATGCTCCTCCCTCATGAGAAGCTGCTCCTCACGCCTGACTAGCTTGACACTTTCCTGCGTCACCCTCATCTTTTCTTGGACCAGTTGACGCCTCTCTTCTCTCATTCTGGCCTTCTCTTCTGCCAGTCTAGCTTTCTCCTCTGTCATTCTAGCCTTCTCAGCCTGAGAAACATTGAGACTGTCTGCTGAGACGTCCGCTGCTTCATTCGGCACCACAGCGGCTTTCGTCTGAGTGTGTGGTCTTTCAGAAGCTCCTACGTGAGGGGCACCATGTCGAGCTACGTCAATCCCGTTCGTTCGCTGGCTTCGTTTTGGATGATCGTCGGAGAAGGAGGCGCAGCTCGTTCTTTTAGTCCTTTGCCCTCCGCTTAATCCTGATGGCCCCTGATCGTAGTCCTTCTGTAGTTGCAAAGAACTTGAGCTGCGCTGTGTCTGTGTCTTCGTTCGTCTCTCCCTATACAGCGCGTTTTCCTGCAGAAGTATGCTAGAAGTGGAAGCTGTAGAAGAAGGACTGATGTCTATTTTCCTACTCCTCGCATCCGCCGGTATTGGAAGTGTCAAGTTAAGCGAGTCGTCCTGTTCAACAATTTTCATTCTTGTCGTGACGTTTGGGTTTGCATCATCTCGAACTCGAGTAGGAGCATTGACATTCCTACTATGCTGGGGATCTGCTGCTCGAGGGGTAGTAATAGAAGAAGAGTGGTTAGCTTTCACCCGAGAGGAGCCTCCGGCTGCAGAAGTGTAGTAGTTGCCAACATCTTGATCTTCTCGCATGATGCCAGAAGAAATACTTGACGCAGCATCATCAGGTGGAAGGTTAACGTAATTCCTCGCACTACTAGAGGGGAGGTTATTGTAAGTACTTGACGACGAAGATGCTGCACGTGAAAGTGGTCGCGGCTCTACCGCTTGGGGACGTAGCTGCGCCTCTCTTGTCTGTTCTCGGGAGTCCATGGCGGTATTTGTCGTCCTAGTACTACGACGTTGCAGCACTGGCGCGTCTTGCTTCCGCTCACCAGAAGCTACTACATTAGTGCCCCTTCTCCCAGCACCATTTTGATGCCCTGGATTAGAAGCTGCGTTTTCATTCCCGTTCGAGGACACAGGCCAGCCGAAGGGCGCAAAACGATCATCCCGCACAGTGCTAGAGACTGAACCCACACTAGCTGACGCACGTGCCATATTCCTTGCCTCCTGTTCTTGAAAAAGCCCTGGTCTATTCCTATCGTCCCGCTGAACACCATGGCCTGACCCGTTCCGATACCTGCCATCCCTTTCGGGCACACGTGGTCTATCCCTAGTGCGATCCATCAGCGGAGGCGCTGGCGCCAAATCATAGAACTCGCCACATACTATCTCAGTCCGGGCAGTAGCAAAGGGCTTTTGCCGGTTATCGAAAGTGCTCAGCTGTCTCTGCACAAACCGAAGAGCCATGGCGTCAGTTCGACGCTCGCTCTCTGCGAGACCAGATTAGAAAGAAACACACCACAGGAAGGATTGATGCGGATACTACGATGTGCTTCGTTACTGAAGATACCTGTAGGACTACGAGCGCAGCTTTAGTTATCCTATGCACTTACTCCATTCCACGGCAGAGTGTGTCTCTACTGGCTGGCATACCAGCAGCTAGACCGTAGTTACTAGTTCTGTAGGAGTGCTTTAGTTCCTAGTTCTACGAGCACAAACAGTATCGGCCATAAGCGGCCTCAGTATTCAGTGGAGACGCGTCCAGTGAGTCGATCGGCGATCCTCTGCCTCGATAGCCGCCCCTTCCATTAGAGATTTTCTTTTGGAGCTGTGGCCTATCAATCTTTCTATAATAGCACCCGACACTTACATCCAAGTCACTTTGTTTTCTTCTTCAAATAGTAAATCATACATTTCCTACTTGTCCAGTACATGTCCTCGGGCACAAAACTCAGGATAGATATGAAGTTCTTGCGTCGACCCTTCAAAGCAGAAGATAGGACGTATAAATACTACTCCTTGCGCCAATCTCCTTAATGCTCGGCGGCTGTTTCGCTCCTTGTGGAAGAGCGATATCTCTATCATTGAAGCTCTTTAGGTCCCACAAACAGTAATTTTTCGGCACATTGACACCAAGCACTAACTCTTCGGCACAAGAAAGGTGGATTTCTTCTTTGTGGTCTCCACGGTTTCCTTTCCAGCCACCTAGAATATAAGCAAAAAGGGGCCCCGCTGCCGCAAGCAAATACTGTCCCTTGCTGTGGTGCGACACGAGACATTAGATGATAGAGGATCGCAGAAGATCGATGTATTGATTGAAAGGAGGAGATTTTCCCATAATCTGAATCCAATCGAGTTTCTTTAATAAAAACACGTAAAAATCATTGAAAGTTTTTGTCTTCTGCTCATGAGTGCGACTACCACTAGTAAGTACTCAAAGAACTTATAAGGTCACAAGTCCATAACTTTTCTTGTGTTTCATGCTATTGGGAGTGTGCGCGCCGTTGATATTCGTCGTTTCGGGCTATGATTGAGGTTGCCGGGAATAACAAGTTCGTTGGAATAAAATGGGTTCTCGGGTCATGAAGGTGAAATCATATTTGTATGGACTATTTAGTTGTAGCACAGCCTCTAATAGAAAGTGGAGCAAAATACATCAACAGGAACGCCGCAAAAAGCACAGTGCTGAAAAGCCATAAGCACAGGACGCACTTCAATCTCAGACCATTGTATCCGGGTTTCTTAGGGTCGTCGTGTAGTTCGTAAAACTGTGGGTTGCGCCACAACTCCTCCTGAAACACTGTACATTCTCCCCAGAACCAACGCGGTATCTTCCTGGCAAACCGATCCACCGGTCTGCAAGTCCGAGGGTCGAAACCGTCAGCGTCCATTTTGAATTGTTCTTTTAGGATAGGACAGGATGCCTTTGATGCTTAGTAAATTAGCACTGTGGCCATTTTCTTCATTCATTCATTCATTCATTTCTTAGATAGTAACTCAATGGGGGGGAAAGTGTAGTTGTTCTCCTTAGTCAGTTAAATCATTATGTTTCATCGTGACTACCTGGTCCACGATTTGTTGTAATTACCGGCGGTATTGTTCATGAGTGTCGCTGCCTTATCAAACGCAATATGCAAGACGTGAGAATTACCAAATTAAAACAGACTCATTATCATTTACGATCATCGTCGTGGTCCCTTGTTAATCCTTTTGCGCATCAATGCTGTCACGCTTGTCAGAAGTTCTTAGTATCTCATAAAATACTGGCTGTAAACAACAATGGCACACGACCAGACGTGCATACGTCCAAAATTACTGGCCAAAATTACTGGAGCGCTTCCTTTTGGCTCTACATCTTACGGCAGAAACTGATAGAGACATCAGTGCCAAAGGCATGTATGTCGTGCAGAGGCTACAACATGCTCTTCAGTGCAATAGCGCTTTAAGGTTTTAGAAATTTGTTTCGGTTACTACCTGACAGTCCAGAAGAACACCGAACGAACACTTTCACTTCACCTGAAAGGCGACTGCTGCACAGCAGGCGACAGCCCAGCGTAGTGCAGAGCATCGCAGACTTAATAAGTGTAAGTGAACTAGACACTCAAAACATGCGATTTATCCCTCTAGTAATGAGCTCCATCTGGATCTTGTCGGCGTCTTCTTGTTTTGTTACTAAAACTTTTCTCTTCGTCATTATGCCATGTTGTTGTGCCTCAATTGCGGTTCCATTTTGTACATCAATACTTCTACTGCCTTTCCCTTGTCCCCGCTGCGAGGCGGATTTTTTAATGTTGTCCTTTTTCTTTCTCCCAGCAAGTGAGCCCTGACCATCTGGCAAAGAAATTATGCAACTAGACGCTCTCCTCCAAATATTCCCAAAAGTGTTCGACACCATCTTCGGCATCGATAACAGCTTACTTCTCAGGGAACTCCCGAAATTGAATGGAATCCCTTTGATGGACCGCTGAATACTGTGCACGATATCCGGACAGGGTTTAGAGAGGATTTCATCAGTGTTAGACCAAGGGCCTCGATTTTTATTCTGTTCGGAAAAAGGTGCTACAAGTGTATCTTAGATGGATATCATGCGGAACACAATTGTATCTGAGTTCATATCTTTGCATGACGATGATACTGTTGACTTTGACTTCGACTTGCTTACTCAAAAAAAATTTCCCTGCCATATGAAACAAAAACACCCGCCTCCAACGCACAAATGCCCTCGCAGTCTCTAGACTCCGGCAAACGGGCGGTTGTCGAAAGGTAGGGTCCCAGATGCACGAGCCAGAAGATGTCTCAAAAATATACGCATGGAGAGGACAAACCACAAAGGTGGACACGCCCACACGGGTTCTTGTCGTAGTTGTTGTAGTGGCTGTTGTGGGAAAACGAGCAGAGGTGGCTGTAGTACTCAACTCTATGTCCTTCGTGTTTTTTTTGTTTGTTCTTGGCGACTGGGGATCTACTTCCTGTTCTCGTAAACTTGAGTCTTCCACGATCAAAGCTTCATCCGATAAAAGAGCTACTCCCTTGTGCCAGAGTTGGCCTGCACGTGCCACGATGCCGGTTTTTTCCTCTGACACTAAAACTCCTGGCACAGCGGTTGGACGAGGATTCGGAGACGAGTTATTTGACTCAGGTGGAGAAGCTTCAACAGCAGTATTGGTCGATGGTGATGGAACGTCGTTGACATCAGAAGACGGAGTTTCGGCAGTCGCTTTCCCCTGTTCTGTCCCCACAGGTGGTAAAATTTCGAGCTTTATTACCTTCTTTTGTTCTGCATTCGATTTTTGAACTTCCTCTTCTCCTGCAACAGCGTATCCTCCTACCGGCAACACCACACATGGCAATACATCAGCGTCGTAGTCGTTCTTATGGTCTTCTTGTGACTTTCTGCTCGTAGTAGACGTGCTGTCCCTACTACACCTTCGTCTCTGCGTTCTCACTACCAATTCTTCTATGTCTCCCTCTGACATGTCTGCCCCTGCGTGTGGGCACCAACGCTGAGCGACAAGCAACTTGTCAGATAGGAGGTCTTCCCGGTGCCTCCAGATCGTGAAATCGACTTCGGAGGAGGCGTCGATGGAGGAGTTAGAAGAGTAAGATGAATTATGCGATGTGGGAAGATGTGAAGAAGAGTATGTTATTCACAAAGTGTGAGTTTAAAGCAGAAAGACGACATATTTACAAAGTGAGTTTAAAGCAGAAGGACGACATGTGGATCAAGTAAGAGCAAGCATCTTCTCATCTACCATAACAACCAATCCCACACCCGCCAATACGTAATCGACCCACATCCAGAATAACGCGTTTTTAGAGCCAAGGTTTACATTCAGCACCTCCCAATCCACGTTCCGCTTGTGAGGTTGGAAATCCTTCTCGTGGCCCACTAAACTCACACATCGTCGTAGTGCACGATATGTGACCAGCAGTGCTAGTGTGGTCGCCGCAGTGACGGAGATCGTTTCTTTCCGAAGCGAGAGGCGGGACGTCGACATGTTGTTGTCTTGACAAAATCAAAATCTACTGGATACCCAGTGAAACAAAATTGAATTCCTCTATGCCATGGCTTTGCCTGCGACTGCAAAAAGCGGGCCAAACTTCCTATTCCTACCTCCACGTGGAAAGACATTTTTGTTCCAGCGCATTTTCTCGCACTTCTAACCGCTCCATGCCATAGTGGAGCAGCCTTATTCATGATACACTTAACACCGGACGCTGTATCGTATGTCTGACGCAAAAGCGGCGCAGAAGAACTCGTCGGTTTCTTACAACCTCCACGCGATGAGTGAGTGTGAGATGCATGTTTACTAGGAACTCAAGTATGACATGAGTATTTTCATCTGGGCTCCCTACGTTCGATACGCGGCGAACCTTCATATCTCTGCGTACAAGAAAATAGTAAACAAGCGCGAAAGCGCCTCCGTGTTCAAGGTGCTCCTGCTCTCAAGAAAATTCGAATTATGACAGAAAATCAATGGTTCTGGTCTTCCTCTTAAAAAATGATTTACGTGCAGCTGCTGCGCATCATCAGTTGTACCAACATTCATTGATTCTGCGCATCATCAGTTGTACCAACATTCATTGATTCTGCGCATCACCAGTTGTACCAACATTCATTGACTCTGCGCATCACCAGTTGTACCAACATTCATTGATTCTGCGCATCACCAGTTGTACCAACATTCATTGATTCTTTAGCTTTACCCGAAACATAAGCTCACAAGAAAACTGTTACAAATACTAGAAAACAAGATGATCTTCCTCACCAAAACCATGCATCCTTAGTTAAGGTTGTCAAAAGCAGCTGCGTTTATGTCATGTCATGGTGCCTCTTGTGTAGCTATACGTGTCTACTTATGAGGCCATCAAGTGACGCAGTACCTCCTAAGGAGAGCCATGCCACAGGATATTTCTGAAATTCTGTCGTCATATTGAAAATCTGTCGTCACATTCAAACAAAATTCAAACTGAAAGTCTTCAGTTACAAAAACACTCAATTTGCAACAGAGTGTGCCGTAGAAGCGCAGAACACGAAAACTCGACTACTAGAACCAGCACTAAACGAGTTCGTGAATGATGAGCAAAACAATCCATCACCTAGATGATCTTCCAAAGACCGCGACAAAATCCATCAGCTAAACCCAGCCAACACGTATATCTCTGTCGTGCCGACGTTTGTTCTACCCATCTGCTTATCATGATCCTCGGCAGCTTCCTGTACTATGATCTCTTCTGGCGAAACAACCGCTGTTCCAGTCCCTCCCTCTCCTGCGCGTTCCTTCAAGGCGGAGACCAATTGGCGCATGGCAGCGAGGAGGATTTAGAAGAGTGAGAGGAAGGACGGTCATCCTCATCTTAGAAGCAAGGTAGTACGTAGAATTAAGCAGAAGATAAAAGCCCTGGCTGACCTACTTAGAGTAGAAGAACAAAAAATGTACTACAATATTTAAGCACATGAGACCATTTTTAAGCTTGAGTTACTAACTATATTATTAACCACATGAGACCATTAAGCTTGAGTTACTAACTATATTATTAAGCACATGAGACCATTAAGCTTGAGTTACTAACTATATTATTAACCACAACATGAGACCATTAAGCACTTTCATAATTTCTGTCATCTTCGTCGTCACAATCGAGTATGCATTTGCTCACTTCTCCGTCATATCGAAACCCCACCCGGAGAGCAAAGCGTGGAAGGATCTTCTGCTCAAGATACTCGCGATCTGCAGTGGAGCGCTCACGGTACGCCAAAATCAACGCTTGCGGTCGTCGGCGTCCAGCATTCATCTGTGGCCCTCCTGGCAACATTGAGAAAGCAGTAGTAGAATGGTGCTGTGCTGCTGTTGGAACCTTGCTAGTTGATGTAGTACACTGTAGTTGTCGTGCTCCTGCTGTTGGACAACTCGTGCTGGTTAAATAATTTGATGATATATCAACCGCCCTAATGCTGTTGTTCGCCGCTGGAGGACTTTTGTTCGTCCCTCCTCCGAAAAAGGCCTCCAGCACTTGTATCAGCGGATCCTGCTCTTCGACGTACACTATATCTGCACCTAGCACGAAATCGTAGCCACGCAGGTTATGCGGTAACGGGTAACAATCCTCAGTACAGCTTGCCCAATCTAGTGGTCTGGCCTCTACTAGGGTCTGGAAATCTTCGCCACTGCAGCTTGCGTCGTCTCGTATACTACTACACGAACTACTGGCGGTGGAACCACCGACTTGCAAGTTCAGCGATCCACTACTAGCAGCAGCTCTATTCTTGGAGTTCGCTCTCGAGCCACTACTAGCAGCTTCCTTGGTCGGCGGATTGAAACGACCATCACCGCCATGAAGGTGGCCGACTACGACGGCTCCTTCGCGACGAGTACTTACTACGGTAGAGCATGACGCACTTGCTGTTCCTCCTTCTTGCTGTTTCGCTGCATCTGGCTGGACGACTTCTGCTGTTGCTTGTCCTTCTGCTTTCACCTCTTCTGCTATCTTGTTCTCCCCAAGGTCCTTTCCCTTTTTATCCTCACTAGGATCGAAATTCAATTCGAGTTGCTTCTGCATCAGAGGCACTAGATCAGCATAATCCGTCAACGTCACTAGTCGTGGCTGCAAATACCGCGTGACAACGAGGGAAGGGAGTCCGACGCCAGCACCTAATTCTACGTAGTCTGCTTGTGCGGGGAAAAGGTCTGAATTCTCTCTCAACCACTGGGCTAACAATGAACCGGAAGGCCAGAGGGAGCCACCTGAAAAGATGTTGGAGATCGATGCTATGGAGTTAACCTCTAGCTGTTGTAGTGGAAGATATTGTTGTAGAAATGACATTTGTCTTCAGGGGATTGCTGTACAATGCCTCTATATTTGTGGTAGAGCAGACTTAACTAGGATGAAAACAAAAACTATGCATCTAAATTAGGAAAAACAAAAACTATTCTTGTACAATGCATCTACATTAGAAACTGAAAACCAAATACCTATCCTAAACTGTGGCCACGCCTCTAATTCGAAACCCAGAATCTTCTTCCTCTCCACCATACCGCAATACCCTGGAAGCGTACCGACTGCACCTGAAAGTGTGGGAAATGGGCAATAGCTATTTTTTGCTTTAGCGATCTAGTAGTAGATCTACCTGCTCCATTAAGTGGACCACGCTTGTTTTTTTAATATATTAATAGAAACAGCGCCCTCTCCTGGTGGCTTATAAGTACAGGTTGCTACGAGTAAGTAGACGATCTTCGCTTAGTATGTTGAGGAGAGAGATCACCATCGCCTCCTCCCTCCGCAATTGCTCCCTTAACCTGAGTAGTGTCAACAGTGAGCTTTCTCAAACTCTGCATCTTCTTCTGATCCGCACTCATAGTCGCCTCCTCTAGCTCCGTTGCATCGAAGTTATTCCCTGACAAGCGCCTTCGTCGTTTCTTTTGTCGCATCAACGTTGGATAGAGGGCAGACGCTAGAGAAAGGATGATGCCGAGTAAGAACAGAACGACCCACCAAGCTTCTTCGAACTTCTTCCATTCTTGCCAGTAAAATTGCCCCAGCAACACCTGGAAAAGCAAGCTGAAGGCGATATTCACTGGAACGACAGTCGTGGCGTCGCCGTACCTGTGCGAGGATGAGATTGGGCGGGGAAAGTTGAGTAAATATTCGTACTCATAATGAGCGGACTAAAGCCGACACAGATTAGTCGCGGCACAGGAGGAGACAACTGAATCAATTGTGGTGGTGCAGACCTTCTACAGAGCATGAACAGACACTAGCAAGCAAAAATCACGTAAGAAAATAGAAAATGTTCAGTGCATTAATCCCATGTTCAGCTCCCGCACCATCCACACTCCTGTTCCCAACGCCAGGATGAAGAAGATGTAAAACGGATAATCCGCCAAATGATCCGTCCGCCCGTTCGACATGATGTCTATCGCAACCAGAGACACACATCTGCAAAACGTCACGGTCAAGCCGCTGAAAACGCCCGACAAAAACGTATGCCCTATGACTACACCCTCCACGGACTCCAGAACTTTTCCAGCATCGTTCTCTTTCTCCGAGAGAGTTTTCGCAACCTCTTGCTTCTTTCTTCCAACCACTATCACCGTTCCTACAATGCAGAGGACGATGACGCACGCAGTGTAAAGAAACACTCCCTCGAATAGGTAGTCAAAAAACAGGTTGTCCAGCTCATCGTGGTGATCCCCGCTAGGAGGATCGACGACAGGTGCGCCAGAGACCACGAGACCAGCTCCAATCGCAATGAATACCATCCCATGGACATCATATTTCGTTATCTGTAGTCGGTCGTGTGTAGTCTAAGTAGTTGCATGTGCTGAAGCATGGGGTACTACTGCTTAGTTGAAGAATATTATGCAAGAGTCTGAGGCTGCATTTCTTGAAAATATACATGAGAGGAGCACCTTCATGAAACTCAGAATAAAGAAGAATCAAAACGATCCAAGCTTCAAGTCTAAATGTGCTACCTGTTCTTTCAATATCGTCCGCGCAAAAACGCTATTAGCGACAAGCGTAGTCGGCAATAATGGCGCCAACGCACTTTGTGCCGCGAACATAAATGCTAATGCGGTGAGCACTTGTGCACTCATGTAGACAAAGAGTCCCCACATCCACCGTTTGCTATAGTAGTATGGCGCACCACAACCGTCATCGTCGTCTAAATGTGCTCGTTTCTGCAGGCAAAGGCCGAGAGCAGTGCCGGTGTTGCCCGGAGAATGAAAGAAGAAGTGTCTTTAAGTTTATAAAAATGATGTAGCCCGTTGCATCTTCCTGAATGGACACGGAGGATGTAGTGCCTCATCTGTATTAGACTAAAAGACGCCACAGCTCACTTTTGTGAGGTTACTCCCCTGAAGATTATATGCGAAACAAGTCCACCCACCTGCTCCATAAAATAGATGGCAAACGATGCCGAAGATGAAGAGGCCGATCGTTCGCCCCTCATCTTCGGCACCGGAGGCCGTCGACATTCTTCTCAATTGCAAACGCAGCTCTATCCTGCTATTCCCTCGTCATTTCCGAAAGATAAGCCACTTAAACGCGGCAACAGTCACGGCTCGCTGGGCAGGGGCGCATGCAGTCAGTGCGTGCTATACGCAGTTGGTGGAGCGTCGTTCCGAATGGGTCATGGGCATGGATTCGATGGGAAAACACGACTCAAAAAATAAACCAAAATGAATTCAGCGTGTAATCATGCAATGAATTGAATTCAGCTACGAGCGCTGTACAGCGTTTGCTTCAGAGAATGCATTTCTCGTATTTTCTATCCTGCAGCAGAAAAAAAAAGATGATATTTAGATTTTCTTTTCGTCCTTTTCATCTAAGTGTGATTTTGACACTCCGTCACTTTCGTTTTTCTGCGCTCGACCTAAGGCACTCGCACAGGACACTGCAGGCATCTCCATCTCGCTCAATTGCACACGCTCAGCAAAAGACAAGTGAGTTGAAATTACAGATGTGAAAGTGATATGGCTCGGACGATGATCAAGCACAGATAGTATCTTCTCTTCATTACTAGCGGAGAATCACAGACGCTGATGCTTTTCACGACACAAACAATGTCGAAACGCCATAAGGGTAAAAAGCTCCTTGCAGGGTTTTTCCTCCGGCTTGCGAGAATCTGGGATCGTCCAGTGGGCTATTTGTTCTGCGTTCAAGAGGTATTGCAACTACTTTCAGGCATGAGATGAGGATGAGACGCGAACTCAAAGCCAGCTATATTTGCCGAAGAGCCACCAGGAGACGCCTTGCCTCTATCTGTACATTGAGCTGAGCATCTTCTCAATTGCAACTCATCGATGATGTAAACAACTACCTAGCGCCTCGTCATCCACATCGTATAACATCGGGAGGCCTCCATGATACCGCACTGCATATTTCTTCTCGGGTGTTTTTGATCCGCATAAGGCCCCAAGGCAAGAAAAGCACGACGTCGACATGATTGGATGCAAAGCGTTACGTAAAGAAAGGCTTATGAAGGATGACTCAATCATTTATCTTAAATGTACTAAAAGGAACGACGTCGACATCATTGAAGGTCTTTTCTTCTCGGCTGTTTTTGATCCATTGATTGATTGATTGATTGATGTGCCTGGCAAGAGGTCAATGTTGTTGGAAGAAACATAGGGTTCTTGACACATAATATAAGCAAGAAAAGCTCCTTTTTCTCGGGTGTTCTTGATCCAAGAAAAGCACGACTTCGACATGGTTCAAGGTTTTTTATGAAAGGCTTAGATGTAGTAGTTGTATGTGTGTACTAAGTGGGAAAAACGTCGTCAAACCTTGAACCTGGGAAAAACGTCGTCAAACCTTGTGAAGCGATCAAACGGAACCAAGGATCGATCATCGCGTCATGTTGAATGCAGGAAAAGCTGAACTGCGGTAAATCGATGGATCTTGCCGCCACAACGACAGCATCCTTCACCGAACATCAGCAACCCGCGGTGCGCTGCGCTTTCAAATTTCCCTGAACCAAGCCCATCTAGTAAGTATTTCATTGAAACTTGCAATATGTAGGTGCAGATGCATGTAAAGTGGGAAATATTTCTCTGCGTTCATAAAAAGTATGTCCTGAGACACAAGGGATGCACAGTAGTATGACCAAGACCAAAGCAGCACATACGTTTTGTACAACGGTAGGCGCAAGAGGACAAGATGACTAAGGCGCAAGAGGAAAAAGCCCGCTGACAGCCACATAACGAATAATAAAAGAAAAAACAACTTATCATGCAAGAGAAGGTTCATTTCGTCGAGTATTATATTTTTTTCACAGGGGTATCGATGCATTTGTTCATTTTGGTTTAAGATACGGTCGAAAAAAACAATTGAAGCAATTTCAACTTTCTGTTTTTGCATGATTACTAATCAAATCACTTCTTCAGGTCTTTTGCGTCTTTGTAAACAGGCGTTTCTTGCTGCATTGAGTGTTGTTCATGCTCATCAATTCTACATAGCTTGGAATTTCATTTCGTCCCACCAGAGGGTGGAGCACGTTTACTCGTTACGACATTTACATGCACATGCACATGATGATGCTCATGCTTTCCATAGAGACGTTTAGCTTCTTCTGGCCTTCTTTCAGCAGGTCGTTCCGTCGTTTGAAAATCCCTGTATCGTATCGCCCGAAAATAGCCTTTCTTCGGCACGTACGGTGGCACGTGGATGGAGTCGACAACAACAGTGGGCTTTTCTCTAATATGATTTTCTTCAGTGTGGTCTCCTTCATCTACTGCACGTGGGGTTGTACTATTTGACCCTGGTTGTTTGCCTACCTCCCAACCAGCCGAACTACGCGTCCTTGAACACGAGGATGATGCACTGACACTCCTCTTTTTTTGTTGAAGTTGATCATTTTCTCCAATACAAGCTGATCGGTTTTTCGTCATGTCTATGCTGCATCGCATGTCCTCGTCTTCACGAACCACAGAAACAACAGTAGCACGTCCTCTAGAAGGGGAAGGATCCTGCATGACTACAGTCGCGCGAGCATCTCTGACACCTGACGCACCATGATGGCCACCTGGCGCCTGGAGCTCCGCACCAGAAGGGCTCGATGCTAGACCCGGCGAAGATGCTCCTGACGACTTCTCCTGCGCCAACATTCTCGTGGTAGCTCTGCCGGATGATGTATGAAAGGTGAAGAGAAACAAACTGCGAGTCATGTTGAAAGATCAGCTTTTATCTGATCGAAGAGCACGTAGCTGATCATTCTTTCAATGAAAAGAACTGTCATAAGACGGTTGACTCGAGGAAGCTTGCTGTGTTTTCGACCCCAGCAGAAACAAACCTTTCGTTGGCCGCGTGCGAAAACCAGCTGCTTTTGGTCTTGGATTCTTAGGTCGTGGTGGTGCATGAAATTTTGGAGTCTTGTGGTTATTCATCGTACTAATATTGGCAGAAGTCGCAGTATCGCGTTGTTCCTCCAGACGTGGCGTGGTCGCGACTGACCTCCCTGCAGCGTCTCTGGGTGTCGGTGCTGCTGACGTCGGAGCGGAGTGAAGGGCCCGCAAAGCATGACCATTTCGAATCGCATCAGCGCCTTCAGACCGTGCTATCCCGGATACAGCGTTACTAGGACTAGTGAACGACGATACAGCATCATTGGAAGTCTCCGCAACAGATGTCGGAATTCCTGCATGCAGGAGATGCGGCGCCTTCTTTATGGTCTTGTTTTTCTCATTACTTGAAGAGGATGATGCACTATAAACGTGGTCAGACGCGGCCCCATTCAAAGTCAGAGCCGGAAACACTAGTTGCCGATAGTGGTGCAAGTGCTGATGGTGATGGATATGCCTGTAGCGGATTTCCACTTCAACGACAGACTCGTCACTAGAAGAAGAACCCGAATATTCTGACTCTCCTAGCCTGTGATCATCCGCATGGTCGCCTTTGTCTATTATCCTCACAGCACCCGCACTTGTGTGTGTGCTAGTGGCTACAATATCAGAGCGCTGCTCTGAATTCATAGTATAAGAAGTCTTGTCCTCCAGGCTACTAGCGGAAGAAGTAGCGTGTTTCACACTCCTTTCCTCCTCAGCAGCTGTTCCACGGCCTTGCTCTCTTCTCCTCTGCCTACGCCTGAATGTTCGTTCTTCACCTAGCAAGCGCTGGATTTGCGCATCAATTATCCTTTGACGTGTACGCTCTAGTGCCTCTCTTTGCGCATGAAGGAATCTCTCGGTCTCCAGACGCTGTCTGGCCACTTCCTCCTGGATAAAGGCGGCTAGACTTAGTCGTGCAGCAGGCCCTGCAGTATTATTACTTGTCGGAGGACTAGGCTCTCCTGTTGCATTGCGAGGATCTACGACAATGCTCGTATTTGATTGATCACCTCCAGCACCTTCAGAGCGATCTACTCCAAGCTGCTCAACAGCAGATGAGTAGTGATAAACCCTCGTCGAAGAAGATGTTGCATTCAGATGCTGCATGTCTCTGCGCACCCAAGGAGGCATCTCATCGTCGTTATCTACTTCTTGTAGTAGCGTAGGCAATTTCGAATCAAAGGAGGGAACTTTAGAGGTAGCTTTTTGGTGTTCGCTTCCCCCGTTTGTTGTGCCTCTCTCCCATAAGAGCGGCAAAACAAGCGGCAACGTGAACGCCTCTAGCCTATCCTTAAGAACTCTTTCAAAGCCAATAGGCTTGTCTGATGAAGCATCATCTTCTGCTGCCTCAGCTGCGCCAAAGGAGACTCCTCCTGAGCGACTCTTCCCCCTAGAAGTACTGTTATTCTCCTCGTCGCTCTCAACTTTGAATGCTACACCACTGCTACTTCTACAACCCGTACTACTTCCCCCATCGTGGTTTTGCTCATTATCATGCCCACGATCATCAAGCGATTTTCCAGCACTTCCAGCATCTATTGTTCTCAACTCTTCGCTTTCGATGCCTCCCAAGCTGTGTCGTAACACGTCAGCATCACGTACGAACCCAGTTTTCTTACGCCGCAACGTTTTCTTCTTCTCTGAAAGTTCTGGTGGTCCACCTTCGGTAGAAGTAGTCAAAGCCACTCGAGCATGCGGAGTCGAAGTAGCTATTCTTGAAGCTGCTGCTTTATCGAAGTCCTCACACTCCTGCCTCATTATAGGTCGAGAAGAAATACTTTCACGACTAGCATCTATTTTTACGAGATCTTCCTCATCATCGTTGAGCATCATGTCGGATAGACCACCGTGAATGAAGACCGTTCCCTTGCGCTCAGACAAACGCTTGCCTACTTCGCTCTCCCGTTTACCTAGTACAGTTGCTTCTTCTTCAGCACTAGCATGGATAGACACCGTTCGTTTCCCTTCCGTCTTGGTACCTTCTCCGACACCACCAGAGTGAATAAACACCGTTCCCTTTCGTTGGGATAAACGTTTGCCCAATTCGCTCTGCCGCTTGGCTACCGTGGCCTCTTCTTCGCTACCAACGTGAATAGAAACTTGGCGTTTACCCACCGTGGCCTCTTCTTCGCTACCAGCGTGAATAAACACCGTTCCCTTTCGTTGGGATAAACGTTTGCCTGATTCGCTCTGCCGCTTGCCTACCGTGGCCTCGTCTTCGCTACCAACGTGAATAGAAACTTGGCGTTTACCCACCGCGGCCTCTTCTTCGCTACCAGAGAGCATAAACACTGTGCCTTTTCGTTGGGATAAACGTTTGCTTAGTTCGCTCTGGCGCTTGCCTGCTACAATGGCTGCTTCTTCGCCACTAGCGTCGTCTTCGTCTTNAATTGTCTACGACCACCTCCGACGATCCAACCACGACAGATACCACCTCGACGTATTAGGTTTCACGAAAAGCACCGATGACAATGTTCATGTAACCGATGCTCACGCTGCCATACATACAACCGTGACCGAAGACTAGAATCAATGCGTAGGAAGTGCTAAAGTCCCAAAAGGAAGCATACGGGTTTATAATTTCGAAATAGTAACACAACCTACCTAAGAAAGATAATCCAAAAGAGGGGGCTATAGCAAGGTAGGTTACTCTCCTACTTTGTGGAAAACGAGGACGATGTTATTTGTAGTTCCGCGGTTAAATTATCTATTTAGAGTATATTGCTACTCTTTATCTTATTTACAAAGCTGCTCCTCGCCTAGAGTATGCAAGCTTTTGCAGTACAAGCTCCCTTGCCTGCTGTAATCGAGAGAGGTGCTTAGTATGTGTTTGAAACGTTCGCGAATGATTTTATTGGGGTTGTCTGTCGGATCTTCAATGTAGCTAATGTACGCACAACTTACTCTCAAAACTGCTCCTCATCTAGAGTATGCAAGCTTTGGCAGCACAAGTGCTCTTGCCTGCTATGCGTGTGGGGGATGTTCTACCAATTTGATAAAGAAGCTTTAAACTAAGCTTCGCTACTCGTGTGTATAATTTTGCTTCTATTGCCTAAGCTACTGTAACAGGAGGGGGGCACTTGTTAGATATAAACTCTCACTACTAGTAATATTTGCATTTTCACTTATTACTCTTCAAAAAACGAGGGGCCTGCATTTGTCCAAAACTCCTCACTAGCTATGCATTGGTGAAAATTGTCATCAAGAAATAGCCCAGTTGAACTTCAGTTGTATTACCACGCTTCATCTATTCAATATCAATGCTAAAAGTATCTCATCTTCAATCTTCACAACATTTTTCTCTTTGAACAATCCTACCTAGTTCCCTCTCAAAGGCGCCGCAGCCTTATTCCGTGTAGCCAATGCACTCTGAATCGTTACAGGCTGTGCTCGTCGACTAGCGTCGTCTATTGTCTTTAATGCTACTGTTTTCATAGCCACCCGCGTCTCCACATCATCACTACCACCGGCGCCGGCGGTGGAAGTATGGTGCGCTGTAGCGTTGGCGGTGTTGTGGGTACCTAGAAAGTATTATATGGTGATCGCTCTAGAGGTTTTTTGTTGCCTTGTGAGAAAAGCAAGGAATGATGGTGGTTGTACAAGGAAATAACACAGTAGATGACCTCCACCCGGAGCTGCCCCGCAATGTACGAAAAGATACAGATGACCAACATGAGTTGTACCACCCCCTCCCGAGAACAACCGACAGTTGTTCTTCAAAAAGGTCGGATCGTTCAACAACCTCGCTTGTTCATGGTAATGACGCGTGTTGTTCGTCCTACCACGGTTGGTCACAAATTGATTCCTCACCTCCGCGATGAACTGAGGAACTGTGTGGGTTTGCAGTCTCGAGAAAAACTGCTCCAACTTCAATCGCCGTGCGTCTTCTCTGGAGCTAGAATCGGCGGAGTCGGACGAGGATTTGGTAGTCCTCGTTGGGTCCTTTTTAGAGAAGATCCTCAGAAGTAAAAGGGATCTTGTTCAGGTGTGGGTCCTTAGAGAAGATCCTCAGAAGTAAAAGGGATCACGATGTGAGGTGTCTAAGGGATCTTGTAGTTCAGGTGTGTCTTTTTATGCAACCATCCTCAATCTTCGAAGGAGTTACGCAAAGACTTATAGACTTTTCTTCTAGAACCACACTTTTCCGTCATCTTCATAACACCCCCATCATCAAACACCGAGATCGCCCCGATATTGCTCGACGCAAAATACGGATCGAAAAACGCAAAACTTTTCTCCATTCGCGCTGCCCACTTCCGCAGACTATCTAAAGCTAAGGACGCATTCTGCGCGAATTGCTGTGCCGACTCGTAATCCTCCGCAATCCTAGCCAAGTCCGCTTCTCTAGCTTCGACTTCATCATAGGTCTCTTTGGCGTTGACTACACACTCAGCACCACTTGCCGAACAAGAACTACCCTGCTTCAACGCCTCCAATTCTTGCTTCTGCTTGTTGAGTTTCCCCTCGAATTCACGACTGGATTGCTGCAGCTCGATGTGGTCGAGGTCGCGTCGGGAGTTAGAAGGGGGAGGATGCTGTACTTCTACTTCTTGAGAATCAACAATCGACAGCACAAGAACGATGAACTTGAATTACAATCATCGGACAAGCCATAGTCAAAAACTTATTCAAAATCTCTTTCACGTCCTGCAAACCCGTCACCTCCCTGATCCTCTGAAATCCGTCTTCTGTTGCCTGACTCCTTTCCACTTGTTCAAACATGATCTTCTGCAGGCAGTTTCCCGCTAGCCTTTCTACGGCCCACATCTTTCTCAGTCTACCCTTGCTCACATTCACTGCTTCGCGTGCAGCCTCATTGGCTACTTCACTGCGCCATTTCGCGAAGTCACTACGCCTTTTAGCTGCTTCCGTGAAGTGGTGGAGCTGTTGTGTCACATCGGCTAACGCGTTGTCCCAACGCTCCTTCTTGTTGCCGGATTCGAGCTTTAGAGAGCATCATATATAATTACAGGAAGGAATTAGACCTCTTGAAGAAACACCTCATGAACATGTAAATTACAGGAAGGAGTTAGACCTTGAAGAAACACATGAACATGTACACATGTAATTTTTGAGATTGAGTTTAAGATCAGCACCGCTAATGCAACGAGGTCGTGAAAAAAGACGAGAAAACGTACAACACTCATTCTCCGTCATAACGCTTGTTGTGTCTGCAACAGACTTGTCGCCAGTTGCCTGCTCTCAGCCAGTTTCCTCGTCTCAGCTAACCTCGAAGCCTCAGTTCTAGCCAGCGTTTGCAACTGACTTTCGTTTTGCCGCAGTCTATCTCTGAGAAAAACTAGTTCACGTTGAGAGCGTTCTAGCATATGCCGGTAAACTTTTTGCGTCAGCAGCAGCTCGCTTGGAAGTTAGAACGCATTGGCGGAATGGAGAGGGTTCTAGTACTTCCAAGAAGACTATAATTATCGAGTTGTGAGCACTCCTCAAAATGAAAGAACATCCAACATTCTAACGTATGTTCAATCTCGTACGCCATAAGCATTCCCCTCACTATTTCCTGCTCCTGCCGCTCCCTCTGCTCCAACCTTCCCATCTGCACCAAGCACTGAAACAGTTCCTCCATCAACTGCTCTTTCACTCGCAGCCGCACCATCGATAGCGCCCTGAGGAGCAGGCGCGCCCTGAGGAGCAGGCAGCTCTGCGAGTTTTATTTTCCCTCTAATGCGTCCCAGTTCTTCCGCTTTAGCATTACCTTCTGCTATCATTTGATCATAGCTGTGCTTGGTCTCCACCAGGATGCCCTGCATCTCGGAGATCAGTCCGTCAGAGGTCTTGCCACGTGCACGCTCCATTTTTTCTTTAGGTAGCTGCTTCTTGACTGTCTGATAGGGTATGAAGTAGTTACTTACTTTATTTAGGATGAATCACATATTCTTAGCTCTTTTGAGTCAATAGCTGGGTGACAAACTAATCAGTACTGTAATTCATTTTGTAATTACCTAGCTGGTACAAGAGGATGATAGTGTCTGAAATACAGTTTGTGGCCACCTTCAAATTTTTCTAACAGAGTACTCTCAGACCTCGGCTTTCCAACTCGCAGATCTTTCCCTCACAGAAGGGACAGATTTCCTGTTCACCTTGTGCTTATTTTGCTGTGTCTTTACTGGCGGAAAAAAGCCTTACACTTTCCTTGAACTGCTGTGGTGAGCCAGGAGACGTCCACCACTGCTGTAGTGGCAGAACGCGGCTCTCCACGTGCGCTCTTGCTTCTTCTTCAAAAGATTCTAGTATATAAAAATGCAAAATCCACCATGAGAAACTACATGAAACCTTAGTTTAGAAGTATGTTGATGATGATATACCCAGTAGATGTTCTATCTACGGGTGTGCATGGGATTGCACATCCATCAGCTGTCATCGTCGAATAAGAATGAAGCAATGTCGTGCATAAAGTCACCGAGTTAATTTTAGTTTGTGAAAGCAAAGAAGTATTCAATTTGGCTCTGAATTCAACACGTCGAAGCATAGTGGATACTTAGTACTTAAGTTCTAGATTTAATTACAGAAGTATTCAACAAGACTGAAATAGTAAGAGTTTTTGGCATGTAACTAAAAGAAAGAAATTAAACTACATTGAAAAAGTACGCAGCTACCTACAACTTTCTGTGCACCCTCGCTGGCCTAATGCTGGAAGACCTTGCAGCAAGAGGGAAATGACCTGGCAATCATGCAAGGCTGTGGCAGTGGTGACGTGACTATGCTCAAAGAGAACTCACAATCTTCATGTTTTGGCACGCGCTTCTTCCCCCAAAATGGCTGGAAAGTAAAAGAAGCATATTTATTACTTCCACGCTCTTGCTTAAGGGTTTTGGACTCCGCTGCTGTACAAAGGAGTTGCTCTCTTTTAAGATGGGAAACGTTATAGATACTGTACTGTTCAACGAATAGGTAATAGGTATGTACTTCAGAAGTCGAATCATGCGGAAATGATCTCTGTAAATTGATTCTAGAACGACCACGTTATACTCCTTGGCCTTGAAAGAGGTGGCAATGCTGAAATGCGATTCTCAGTACTGCAATATCTTCTAATTTTCTGGATCGTTTCGTCATATCGGTAATTGTGGCACGACCATATTTTGTCTTCCGCCAATGCCCGTGGTTGTGTCGAGGGAATACATCAAGCTGTGTTGTGCTTCTTTTGGATAGGACCATGGCGCGTTGTAGCTGTAGCTGCTCCACCGCTTACCAGCCGGAGAGGGACTTGGAGGAAATTCCTCGTTTCCTGGGCTAACTTCGTCTGTGTCACCTGTGAAGTGGATGAGTAGCAGAACTTTCTATAACACCGTAGAGGGACCGGACCGTCCCAAGCACCCAAGCTGAGACGAATGTCTAAGCAGTTGTACCAACTCAAATAATAGTTCAAAGTTGTTCCCCGTGATGTACCCAAGCAGCTGAAACAAATGTCTAAGCAGTTGCACCAACTCAAATGTCTAAAATCAATACCAGCAAAACCCGGCGTCGTCGGCAAAGACAAGTCTGATGTCCCTTCCTCAGCTGCAACAGTGCATAACTCCCGCAGAAGACCCCTTCCCGGTGCTGGCTCTGGAGAGGTATTGGTACTATAATTCTTGCTAGAGTTCGTACTCGTACTAGTTGTGCAACTATGATTACTCCCCATCGTTCCCTGTAGTTCATCTCGCTCCGCACTAGTACAGCCAGAAGAAGACGAAGCGCGTCTTGTTTCAACATGTTGATTCCTCGTAGTTACAGTGGAGGAAGCTCCTGCATTTCCTCTACTCCTAGTAGATCTCTTCTCAACAAGATAAGGACTCTGACTACTTCCAGAAGATGCTGCAGTTCTCTTCGAAGACGATGATGACCTTCTCTGATTACCAGAGGTCTGTTCTGTCTGCAGCTTCTGTAGAAGCCTTTGCTCTGTCAATGAGACGCGGCCTCGTTCGCACACACTTTTAGCCGCTTTGGACAGCTCGCTGATGCGGTTCGCTGGCGGCTCGGTGAGGTAGGTCGAAAGTAGCTGGAAGTAGAGGAAAAGGAAATAATAATTTTAAGTTGTTCCTGTTGGATGTTGTTGTTCCCCTGTTGACTATTACAGCCTCCCCTCTGCAGCTGGTCCAATGGCGTAAGGTTTTGTAATCAGGTAGACCTTATAGACAAAAAAAGAGTTGCCTCCTCTAGAAAAACAGATAAAGTTTTCTTGTAAAATCTAAGTGTGTGAAGATTGAGATCATCTGAGTAAAAATTTTCGATTACGATACACCCTCTGCGACTGAAGACCTATCTAGGTAATTCAAATTTACGACTACGATACACCCTACTAGGGCACTGTTTCAATATAGTACCTCAAGCAACTCTATTTCGGTTGCACGCTGAGCGAACTGATTGGAAGCGTGGAAAACTAGCTGTTGTATTTCAGCATGATATTGCCGCAGCTTGTGTTCCCATGTCCGCGGACATTAGAAGTTCGAAGGAAAAGTAACCGATTATCAAAGATGCTTGAAACACAATGAGATTGACGTTTGGTGTTCTATTCATAATTTTCTTCCTTCAGTTTCTGAATTTTTGCCGATACAGTCGCAATATGCGTCTTATAACTACTACCACGTCTAAGTTGCGACAAGACAGCGTCTCGTGATCGGGTTGTTTCTGCCTCATTAGTTCCGCGTAACCGTTCTAGCAGTGCTAATACTGAGCCACGCGCTGATGAGAGTTCGAGCTCTTTGCTTTTTGGTGGTGGCAGTTTTTTCTGGTGCAGTTTCGCTGCCTTTGTTGCACATGATTTTTCTGCCGGGCATTCACTGGGGCTACTCCTCAACTCAATCGTAGTCGGCGCTGTCGCAGCAACGGCCGCTGGTGTTACGGCAGCAGAGGGAGAGCTACTCGCCTTTTCATCCACAGCAAAAGTTCCGGCACTTGACTTTTTCGCCGCAGTTACGGTTGGAGTTTTGCTTGCAGTGGTAGTTTTGCTTGCTGTGCAGATGACAGGAGCAGCATCACGACTCGTAAGAAGATCTATTCTCAGGCCTTGTTCCTTCAAGAAGACATCCTCACTTTCTTGTGCCTTCTTGTCCCCAGCATCATCCTGTACTTCTGGCGAGACCTCTTGGAAAAGCTGTTTCCTTGACGGGCAATCTGATGATTGTTGGAATGCTCTGCTGCTATGTTGAAGCAATTGTTCTTCGCTCAGACTATTCCGACAGAAGCCCGCCATCTCGAAGAAGTCATCAGCCGATTGTTGCAACGAGGCAGCAGGGATGAGAGGGATGGGCGACAGTTCTAAGTCTAAGGAGCCACTGGTTGGGTTCATGTGGTCGTTGGGGCAGCCATTTGTTGTGTTTCTAGCATTCAGGTTGTTGGTACAGGATGAAGACGTAGTTGACCTGGGAAGGAGAGGTGAACTCTTCTTATTTTCAGCTTCTCTGTTTTTGGCGGAGGCGGAAGCAGAGGCTGCGGAGGACCTTCCTGGCACTGCTAGGCAAGACTTACTAGTCTTTTTCCTGCTGCACTCATCATTAATACTAGTAGCTGATGCTTGCGTAGCCAGGGGTGCTGATAATATTGTCCTTGTCGACGTAGCCACATGATGTAGTCTAGAAGTTGTGGATGTACTAGTATTTCCAACTTGTTCTTCATGATTTTCTCGTATTAGAAGAGGCGAGCTGCAATCTTCCCGTGCTAGTGGTGGTGATGACAATAGAGGTTCGTCTTCTTCATCCCGCTGCAACGTTGCACTCGCTGTCCTCATCATGAGGTCATCATGACGCTCGTCGACCAAATTCGTCGACGCCACAGCTGGCGGCTGCCGCAAAACGCGACGACGTGGAACGAAGGCTGCCTTCGAATCTGTAGGGCTTTTTTCAGGTTTGCGAGGACGCGGCGGTGACGAATCAAACGGTGATCGCGGCTTGATGTTCTTGGCACCACCAGCAGAAATCGCCTCTTCTCCTTTGTAAAGCGGACCCCCGTACGAGTCAGGGCATTGTAGCAACGTGGGCAACATGTTTCTTTCTTGGCTCTTCACTTGGAAGATTTTTCAGGATGTACACTTAGAGTTGTTACTTCGGAAAATGAAACATTGATCTGGAGTCCAAGTCTACTAGTATCTCTCTCGCTTCTTTCATCTCTCTTGTTCGCTTTCGTTTGTACGTTTTGATTAGGCTCTGGACAAGTCACCTCTTACTCTTTTTGTATGCGGCTGAAGCAGCCGAATGCTTTGTGAATTCTCAGGTTCAGTGAGGACATGTCAAACACGACAACAGAACGACCAGCATCTCCTTCAGGAGGAGTGACCTTGACCTTTCATGAGAAAGAAACACTACAACATCATCATCATCATCATCATTGCGTCTCCCTTGATCGTACAGAATCAACATTGACTAGTATAGTCAGTCTGGTTACTTATTGGTTCACTGATTGATATGCCTGACAAGAGGTTGGTGTGGGAGAGCTATTTGTTCTTCTGTTTCTTCTTCTTCGTCATCTCTCCCTTTCCGTCTTTGCATTTTTTCTCATGTCTTCGAATGAGGTCAATCACTCCTTTTCTGTTTCACATGTCCTGTTGTTGGAAGCGGGATCCAAAGGGTATTTCCATGTAGTTTGCTTTTTATGGGGAGGAAGTGGGGAAGTGTCCCATATTTCGGGACATGTGCGGGGACCTGTCATCCTTTGATCCAAGTTCTTACATCTACTACTTACATTCAGCCGGTAGTGAGCTCATCAGTGGGCTCAGTTCTTATATCTACTACTTACATTCAGCCGGTAGTGAGCTCATCAGTGGGCTCAGCCTACTTGCCTTCGTCAGACCTCTAAGGCCACAAACTTCCTCTCAGCACGTAGAGCTTTGATTTCACCTGATAGTGGTGGTGGCGGTGGTTGGAGTGCTGGTAGGAAAAGAATATCATCTGCAAGGATCATAGATATTCATATTCTTATCCGAAAATACAAGACCACGACTGTAATTTTGAAAATCAAAATTAACAAAAATTCATCAGGTACCTCCCACTTTGCTCAACTCTGCGATATTGCTAAGCCTGCCCTCTCCGGGTCGCAATTCTCGTCGTGTTTTTTCCATTAATGTCGGGTTTAAACGAGGTGGACTGGTGGGAAGATTAGTTGGAGAATCAATCAACCAAATCCACGGACAAAAATGAAACAAAGATCGTGATTGATACATCCAAGGATAGATAGGGCCTATTTCTACCCCGTACTATAAATCTTGAGTCCATCTTTCAAAGAAACTAAAGAAGTAGTTGTTGCACCTATTCGCCCTGAGCCTTTCACTGGGCCCTCTGCCCACTTGCATGTACATGTCGTGATAGCCTAAAACTCGTTTCTTGCAGGCACCTGGGTCTAATCTTCCCGTCTCAATCTGCTCAATCGAATTCAGATCTTGAACGTGTCGGGACTGCGGGGTGAGAGGTGTGAAAGGAAAAAAAGGTTTAGATGTCTAGTCGGGGAGGGGACGTACCAAATAGTAGAGCCACTAGTGCTGATGTCAATACCATGCATGATTTAATACCATTCACTCATTCATTCATTTACCTGTTCTTGCGGTATCTTTTGACGCGAACTACTGGAACTACTAGAACGAGAATACCTTCATCAAATTAGCATCCTGGCCAAATTGCCGTGACCCGAAAAGCGCCTGTTCTCTCATTATCCCTAATCGAAACTCGAGGCCCTCGCGTTTGCCTGGAAGTAGTTAGGGTTTAGGGTTTAGGGTTTAGCTCACCTGCGACAAGGTAAGCGTATAGGCATGATGCGCCATCAATGTGAGTGGAAAAAGAACCGAAACATGCGCTGATTGAATGATAATAAAGGAAAGCATCTTCAACAACATGAACATTCTTCTCCAAAAATAAATCTTAAATACCTGGTTTAACTGCTTTCACTGCTATATCCGGATCGTAATCTCGAGCATGCCTATCAACCTGAGCCACGACATCCGGATTTGTGGCGTCGTAGTATACTGGAAGTTGGATCATTGCCTCTTTAGAGAGGTGACAAATTCAATGTGTAGTACAAAGTCAATGTTCGTCATAAAAAGTAGACTCCGACCCATTTAAGACGAAGTAAGATACTTACTCTAGCAATGGTCCTGGTGCGTTGTAAATGATACCTACTTGTTGGTCTTAAGATACTTACTCTAGCAATGGTCCTGGTGCGTTGTAAATGATACCTACTTGTTGGTCTTAAGATACTTACTCTAGCAATGGTCCTGGTGCGTTGTAAATGATACCTACTTGTTGGTCTTAAGATACTTACTCTAGTATTGGTCCTGGTGCGTTGTAAATGACCTACAACTTGTTGAAGTCATTTTGTAATACCTACACGACTACAAATAGGGGGGCTACTCACTCTCTCTCTCTATCGGTACAGTGACGAAACATTCACTTGCTGTCATCTAACAAGTGTACAACTCCTACTACTAAGTGGACAACTACTACTACTAAGTGTACAACTTGCAGTACAAGCTACAGCTACTCTCTCTATCAGTAGTTAGTAGTAACAGGCACACTTGTTCTTGCCATAAGTTTCCTTTGCGTTTGTACGACCCCAGAAGAAGAAGGCGACAAGATCCGCGGAATGGACGAAGTGGGACCTCCCCAAGCGGCAAGCCCCAGGGAAGAGGCGGGGACGTAATTCCAAATAGGGAAAGTCCGCCCCTCCTACGTTGGGCCGCGGCGAGGGGCAACCCTATTACTTAACCCTCCGCATTTTACTGCGACAGAGTAGGCCGCTCTTTTTCTTACGTCATCCAGTGCGTCTTCGTCAACCCTTTAACGACACAGGGTGGGTAGTCCTAGAATTAAGCCCACTCCTCTATACCACCAGCCGGCACCTCGTCGGTCTTCACTAACTCACTTACAGACGACCAATACGCCGCGACGTTAGTGATTCGCCTCGTCATAGAGCGACTATTCTCCGAGAGGGGGCGCAGCAATCGGCGTGATGAGTAGGGGCGCGAGGACAGAACTGCAAGTATGGCAAAGAGCGAAGCTGTGGAATCACAGAAAGCGCGAAACCCAAATCGGGAATTAGTCGCTCTTTGATGAGGGGGCAAAGGGCCCGGCTTGGGGGTTAGTCGCTCGCGTGTGACGGCAGAGGCCGGCGTGATGAGTAGGGGCGCGAGGCCAGCAGTGCAAGGATGGCAAGGAGCGAAGTTGTGGAATCAGAAAAAGCGCGAAACCCAACACGGGAATTCGTCGCCCTTTGATGAGGAGGCAAAGGACCCGGATCGGGAACTAGTCGCTCGCGTGTGGGTGCAGCAGTCGGCGTGATGAGTAGGGGCGCGAGGTCAGAGGTTTAGGTATGGCAAGGGGCAGAGCGCTGGAATCAGAGCAAGCGCGAAACCCAAGCCAGGAATTCGTCGCTCTTTGATGAGGGGGAGAAAGACCCAGATCGGGAGCTAAGCGCTCGCGTGTGGGTGCAGCAGTCGGCGCGATGAGTAGGGGCGCAGGGACAGCGATGCGAGCGCGTGCGAATGTTTGTGAATGGAGCAAACTTTTCCAAAGTGTGAGCGGGTGAAAAAACGAGTCGGCAAACCTCCAGGCGCTTACTTGTTGGCACACAGTTACTGTCTCCCTTTTCTTCTATGGGTGGAGATTTGGCGCTGGTATAGAATCCATCTGCGCCTTTTATCCAAGAAGGCAGCACTTGGCTTGCTCGCGTTTAACTTTAAAGCTGGAAACTTGACGACTTCGAGTCTGGGGCTAATTTAGCTACTAACTAAATACGTGGCGCCCGCAGCGCATGCAGTGGCAAGGTATAGACGCTCGGGATTGTTGCTGCCACTTACGTCGCAAGTAAGTGGGAAAAGGCTGAAGCTCAGCAGCGCTGACCCCACCAGCGCGGCAATCCATATTAAAAGCTTTGCGCTAGTAGGCCGCCAGGGACGAGAGGGCAGCGCGTGACCATCTCGCCCCCCGCCCCCCTTGTACAAGGTTAAATGTTTGCGCGACTGTGAACCCAAATAACGCGCCTGCGCCGAAGAGTGCGCCCCCGGACTATGCCCAACCATGTAACCTTGTACAAGGGGGGCGGGGGCGCGGGGCACAAGGGGGGCGGGGGGATGCTCCTGACAGGCGGCCGCGTAACTGAAGGACTAGCCCGCGCCCCGTCGTCCCTGGCGGCCTTCGGCCGCCAGCGGGACGATGCGCCAGACAGGGCGTCTTGCCAAGCTTCTGCGGCCTTCCCTTAAGACGTTCGCGATTAAGGGTACCTCCTTGGCCTTCTTCGTGTTCGTGTGCTACCTATGCCGGGCGCACTTCTGAGAGCTACAGGCGCACAGGCTTAGCCTTTCCCGTTAGTGGTGTTCCAGACTCTTAAAAAGGAGGGCGGGCCCGTGTCTGATGGTGTCGCCTGTCGTCTCATTCGGTTTGTATCGGTAGCCGGAGGGATTGCAGAGGAGACGGGCACGCCGAGCGAGCGGCGAAACCGAGAAGGGAATGGCGGAAGCATCTGAACAGAGCCCGGAGAGACGGAGGCGAAACCGATAAGGGAATGGAAAAAGGAGAGAGACGAACTGGCCCCGCGGTCTAGGGACTGGCGTGCCAAACTGTGAAAAAAAGTGGCAAAATATCGAAAACGGCCCAGAAGTGCCACTGTCCCTTAACGGTTTCGCTTAAGAGTTTCGCGAGGATCCACTCGAAACCGATACCCGCATGAAAGTCGAAACCATTAAGGGAGGACATTTCGCGAATTCGAAACGGCTAAGGGACTCGCAAAACGGTCAACAACTTGGCAGGTTTTTTGCGAAAGCTTTCGCGGCTTTTTCGTCGTCATAGGCTTTGGGCTTTTTCCTATTTGCGACAAAAAAGGCCGCAGCGTGCCGCAGAGAATGGCGCAAGGTTTCATCGAAGCGCCGCCACGTGGAGACCGATAAGGCCTCCCGTTTGTGGCCTATCTTTTGGAAGAATGTGAGGAAGCAAAACCGACAAGGAGAGCCGGGAAAACATTGCGGCGATTTTTGTCGGAGACGCTGCGGCGTTCTTTTTCTTTTTCGTCTTCTTTTTGTGAATATTCAAGAGTATTCGAATACTTTGCGAACATTTGCGAACATTTGAGAATATTTGGAGAATGTTTGGGAATGTTTGCCGAATATTTGCCGAATATTTGCGAGCATTTCTCTAAGTGCGGGAATAGTTTTCGTGTGGATATTTTGAAATAAGACGAAAAACTGCGCACGCAGTTCATACCGTGCGGATATCGAGCTTCGTAAGGGGCTCCGGGCATGCTCATGCAGTATTTCTTTTTTTTAATGAGGAGCGTCCCCACATCAGCTCGCCGAGATAGCCCCATGAGAAGAACTCATCGCGGAACTGCGTGAGCATGTCCGGAGCCCCTCACGCAGTTCGATTCCCGCATGGTATGAACTGCGTGCGCAGTCTTTTGTCTTATTTCAAAATATTCACACAAAAACTATTCCCGCACTCAAAAACCCTTGCCCGGCGTTTAAAATTCTGGCCCTGCATAGGGAAAACCGCGCACAGCCTCCCAGGCTTTCCGAGGAGCTTGGAGGAGGCTCACCAATGAGCCTCGACCGGGCTGCCGCAAATGTGTCGGGGCGACTCCAGAGGGGCCCGCGGTCCCGAAGGAGTCCCTCGCCCGTTCTGGTTTTCTCTCTGTTCTGGCGGAAGTTTGGAGCCGTCTCGAAGTGTCTCCAAAATGACAGACGGACACGCCCCAGATGGGTCAAATTTGGACAATTTCGACCCCTCCCCGGCAAGGCCCTCAGCGGCTTCATTTCGTTGAGGGGAGACGCCATCCTTCCCTGCTTAACGAAATCGAAACCAACTTCGGCCGCGTGTGGATTCTAGTCGCCAGAGCTCCCCGACCCCGGGCGGGCTCCTGGGCTTGAAGCAGTCTAGCGCCCCGCTGGAGCGTTCTGAAAGACAAAGACGGGCAGCGCACTGCACTCGCCTCATAACCCACCGCCAGCCACCGCGCGGCGCCCTCGAATCTCGGGAGCGAACCAAGCACGAAGAAGACCGAGGCGGACACACTGCGCACGCAGTCCAGTGCAGCCCGCCACCAGCCACCGCCGCGCACCCTCGAATCTCCTGGAAGAGAGGGAAACGAGTGGGGAACAGAAGAGAAGACAAAGGCAACACAGGCGGGACCGCGTTGACCGTGTCAGCATTGAAGGACCACGCGCAGCCAAAGCCGCAGCACCCATCGCCATACCATGCCCCGCCCAAGTCCCTCCCTTTGCCTCTCTTGTTCTTCTCCCCGCTTCGTTCTCGCTCCTCGGGATTCGAGGGCGCGCTGCGGTGGCTGCTGGCCGCGGGCTCCCTGCGGTTTAGAAAACACAAGAAAAAGAAGAGAGAAGAGCCGAGAAGACGCACGCGCAGCGCGTCGCAGCCTGCCCGGCTCCGGCCCCAGACTCAGCCTGCCCGGCTCCGGCCCCAGACTCAGCGCAAGCGGCAGGCCTGGCCCGGGTTTCGAGCATGCTGCGGGCTTCGGCCTCGCTTCGGGCTCCGGGCGTGCTTTGGGCGCGTCTGTTTGGTTTGAAGGCCGGGCGGGCTCCCGTCGGGTTTGGTCGGTTTGCGTTTGGGTTTGGTTTAGGCAAGCGCCTGGGCCGAGGCCTGGCGAGCTGGGCCCGGTGTGGGTTTGGTCTACGTTTTGCCTGGGTTTGGTTGGAATAAGTTCGGCCCACGGCTAAGCCTGGCCCGGGTCTGGGTTCGGTTTGGCCTGAGCCTGCTTCGGGTTTGTTCCCGGTTTGGGTTCGGGTTTGGGTTTGGTTTGGGTCTGGTTTGGGTTTGGTTTGGTTTGGGTTTGGTTTGGGTTTGGTTTGGGTTTGGTTTGGGTTTGGTTTGGGTTTGGGTCTGTGTTTCAGTTTGGCTCGTGTTTGCTTTGGGTTTAACAGGTTTGAGCTTGGTTCGAGTTTGGCTCGGGTCTGGTTTGGGGGGGGGGCTCGGATCAAACAGAGACAAGGAGCAAGGGCAACCCTATGCAGCTTCTGGCGACTTTGTAACTTGAAAGCAGCAGCCTGGGACTTGTTTGGGTTTGGGTTTGGGTCTGGTTTGGGTTTGGTTTGGTTTGTGTTCCTTTCAGTTTGGTTCGTGTTTCTTTCGGTTTGGTTCGTGTTTGGTTTGGGTTTGGGTTTGGGCTTGGTTGGTTTGGGTTTGGTTTCGGTTTGGTTTGGGTTTGGTTCGAGTTTGGTTTGGGTCTGGTTTGGGAGGGATCGGACCAACATCGAACAGAGATAAGGAGCAAGGGCAACCCTATTCAGCTTCTGGCGACTTTGTAACTTGAAAGCAGCAGCCTGGGACTTGTTGCCGGTGCTGATTAGAAAAAAGGGCAACAACGTCGCAGCTTTTTGATAACTTTTGAACTTGAAATCCGCACCCTGTGGATTTTTTACCAGTGCGGACTGGAAAGAAAAGCAACAACTTAGCAACTTTCTCGCATCTTCTTAACTAGGAACCAGCACCCTGGGGAATTTTTGCCAGTGCGGACCAAGAGAAAAAAGTGATAAATTTGACGATTTTGCATTTTTCTCGTCACCTACTCCAAAACTAAAAAAAGGTGGCGAAGGCAATCCCCACTGATGTGATTTTTTTCGCCGCGCAGCCACCCCCAGCCAAAAAAAAAGGAGTGGGCGTTGCTTTCGCCGCCTTTTTTTTTCTTGCTGGCTGGGGTGGCTGGCCTCTTTCGAAAAATTTACATTTTTGGCAATTTTTGTAGCGATGTGCTTGAAATTTGTGGAGATCGAATCTTCGCCAATTAGAGCCTCTTCGGCTCTGGAAATTCCAAAACTGTTAACAAGTTAAAAAATTTAAAAAAGGGGAAAACAAGCAAACTCGTGAACGCGTGCGCGGTTTCTAGTCGCGCTAGAAGCTTAAACCCCGGGCAAGTGAACACGCTCGCAAATATTTGGTGCATATTCCTAAATATTCTGAAATATTCGCAAAGTATTCAAATGCTCTTAAATATTCACAAAAAGAAGACGAAAAAGAAAAAGAACGCCGCGACGTCTCCGACGAAAATCCCTGCAAGGGTTTCCCGGGTCTCCTTATCGGTTTCGCTTTGTCGTCTTCATTCTTCCAAAAGACTGGCCACGGACGGGAGACCTCGTCGGTCTCCACGTGGCGGCTTTTCGATAAAACGGCGCGCGCCTCCGTCATCCATCTGCTTCCACTTCTTTCATTTCGCGAGATACGCGAGCGAGGTCGCCGCCGTCTTGTGTTCCCCTGGCTTTGCTCGTCTTTGTTCCAGTTTGGTCGGCCTGTGTTCTGCTGGCCTGGCTGCTCTTGTGTTCTGTGTCTTCTCATGCGCTCCCCTCGTGCGCTCTTGTCGTGTGTCTAATCTCTGTGCCGTGGCGCGTCGTCTCTCTGGCGGCCTATGGCCGCCAGGGACGAGGGGGCAGAGGGTTGCCTTGCTGGGCTGTTCGCGCTGGATTGTGCGGCGCAGACCACGCGCCCACCAGCGCCCACCAGCGCAGCGTGGCGCGTCGTCCCTCTGGCGGCCGTAGGCCGCCAGGGACGAGGGCTGCCTTGCTGGGCTGTTCGCGCTGGATTATGCGGCGCACACCCCGCGCCCATCAGCGCCCACCAGCGCAGCGTGGCGCGTCGTCTCTCTCTGGCGGCCGTAGGCCGCCAGGGACGAGGGGGCAGATTGTTGCCTTGCTTGGCTATTCGCGCTGGATTATGCGGCGCAGACCACGCGCCCACCAGCGCCCACCAGCGCAGCGTGGCCCGTCGTCCCTCTGGCGGCCGTAGGGGGCAGCGCGTGACCATCTCGCCCCCCGCCCCCCTTGTACAAGACTAAATGTTTGCGCGACTGTGAACCCAAATAACGAGCCTGCGCCGAAGAGTGCGCCCCCGGACTGTGCCCAACCATGTAACCTTGTACAAGGGGGGCGGGGGCGCGGGGCACAAGGGGGGCGGGGGGATGCTCCTGGCAGGCGGCCGCGTAACTGAAGGACTAGCCCGCGCCCCATCGTCCCTGGCGGCCTTCGGCCGCCAGCGGGACGATGCGCCAGACAGGGCGCCTTGCCAAGCTTCTGCGGCCTTCCCTTAAGATGTTCGCGATTAAAGGTACCTCCTTGGCCTTCTTCGTGTTCGTGTGCTACCTATGCCGGGCGCACTTCTGAGAGCTACAGGCGCACAGGCTTAGCCTTTCCCGTTAATGGTGTTCCAGACTCTTAAAAAGGAGGGCGGGCCCGTGTCTGATGGTGTCGCCTGTCGACTCATTCGGTTTGTATCGGTAGCCGGAGGGATTGCAGAGGAGACGGGCACGCCGAGCGAGCGGCGAAACCGATAAGGGAATGGCGGAAGCATCTGAACAGAGCCCGGAAAGACGGAGGCGAAACCGATAAGGGAATGGAAAAAGGAGAGAAACGAACTGGCCTCGCGATCTAGGGACTGGCGTGCCAAACTGTGGAGAAAAGTGGCAAAATATCGAAAACGGCCCAGAAGTGCCACTGTCCCTCAACGGTTTCGCTTAAGAGTTTCGCGAGGTCACGCAGTTCCGCGATGAGTTTCTTCTCATGGGGCTATCTGGACGAGCTGACGTGAAGACGCTTTCATTAAAAAAAAGAACTTCTTTAAAGTATTCGGGTGAATACTCTGGAATAAGATGAAAAACTGCGCGCGCAGTTCATACTGTGCGGGAATCGAACTGCGTAAGGGGCTCCGGACATGCTCACGCAGTTCCGCGTTGGGTTCTTCTCGTGGGGCTATCTGAGCGAGCTGATGCGAGGACGCTTCTCATTAAACGAGGGAGCTTCTTTAGGGTGTTTCTTTTTTTTAATGAGAATGGGGCCGCGGTGTGGCTGCAGGGGGGCCAGCCCTTGAGATACCGCGCCCCCCTTTTCAGGGGCGGGAGGGTCGGGAATCTAGTGGGGGCTGAAAATGAGCCCCATAGGCTTCCCCGGTGCGCTAAAGAGGGCGATGCAGCCACTACCCTACCAGCCCAATTACGTACCCGCCCACTTACCCGCTCGCCCTCTTACCTACTCGCCGAACTACCTCCTCGCCGAACTACCTCCTCGCCCGCCTGCCTGCTCGCTCACTGACCTAGTAACCTACCTACTTATCTGCCCACGCCGCCGCCCACTCACCCCCTAACCGGGCCACCCCGCTACCCCTCCGCCTTTCCCGCCCTCCTACCTACCTTCGCCAAAAGTCAACCAGGCACTCGGCCCTCCACGAACCCAACGGCCCTCCAGCTTAGGCACCCTGCGACCCGCTTGCATGACCCGGCGCCGCCCGCGCTTAGAAATTCCCGCCCCCCCTCCGCCGGGAAGCCCTGCAACCCGCCCCCCCCGGAAGCAAAACACTTAGAAAAAGGCTACCCCGATACCCTGGAAACAGAAGAGCGCCACTTCCTTTCTGTGAGGAGAAGAAGTTCCCCCTTTTATTCTCGTCTTGTTCATGCATTTGATGCAGGCTGCTTTTGCGCGCATGATATTTTGTGGTTTAAAATGATTATAGCTGACTCCTATTAATCTTGCGATACCTTGACATCGATCATTCATCTTTTCGCCAAACGTGCTCAGCCATTAAGATTCTTCGTTGAAGAGACCGGCGTGTTCTGGGACTCAGCAGACGTGGAATTTCTACCAGATGACAGCAAGCCTTTGATAGTGAGAGCGGTGGTGAGTGGCAGATAAAGCGAGCGCTCATCTATTTCTCGTTCGGTCAGCACTCTTCGTACCTTCATCCGAAATTCCTTGATCTTCTTCAAATGTTTAACATTTTACACCACGGTGCTACCGCTCCTCTGCGAAGTTGTATGATGCTGCGAGATCTTGTGGACGTTGTTCAAATATGATTCGAGGAAATAGGGACTGGTTATATTTCTGTCGCTTCTATTCTACACGCCTAGTCCTGACTACAACGAACGACTACATTTGCCCAATAAATAGTTTCCATTGGACTTGTATTCTTTTCGTGGTCCTCTGTTCTTCCTCACGCTTGAGTCAACTCCTACTAGAACTTCTAGTACGCCTAAAGATGATGAAAAAAAAAGAAACCCATTTCCAATTCTACACCAAGAGTTAGTTCCTGTGTAGTTCTACACTTGCTACACCATTTTCAATTCTACACCAAGAGTTAGTTCCTGTGTAGGTCCTCGACGAAAATAATGGCGACGAAGACTAACGAATCGGGGAATAAATTGTCTGACTATGAGCTTGGCGAGGTGCTTGGACGCGGAAAGCACTGCACGGTTCATGCGGCAAAAACGCGCGAAGGTTACGACCACTAAGTGAGTTTCACTTCAGAAACAAAATCGATTTAGATCATATTTAAGACTAGTACGTAATAGAAAGAAAGTAGAAGCAGATGACGTTGCGAGGCCAACAGTAGGCAATCATGCATGATAGCAGGTAAAAGGAATGATGCTAATTCTTCTTCGACACAGCCCATTCGCTCTAAATCTAGGTCTTCCACCTCCTCTGAGGAGAGAGCTTTGAACAAGCTGAAGCTAGTCACAATTTTTATAAGAAGAGTCGTTTCATCTTGAGTTCTAAGGCCAAAGAGACTATTTATCAGAGTGCTATCCTTCTCTAACAACTCGAGGATCGTGCTTTGAAGCTAGTTCCAAAGAACAAGCTACCACCGGCAAAGGCCGAACGCGTGACTACTGAGATCGTAGTCCATTCTCAGCTTCGGCACAAGGGAATTTTGGACATACACCATGCTTTCGAGGACAAGGACTATCTGGTCATGGTCCTGCAGAAGGGCGAACCTGTTCTGCAGACGGGAAAGAAATTTACTTTACGGTAACTGATTATATATTATACTTCACTGTAACTGAGAAGAGGGAAATTATAGTTGATTGATGATCTTTGTCTTGTTCTGGTTCTTTCTAGTCAAGTGGCCCACCACAATTTATGGGCTTAAGACACAGAGAGATACAGTCTATGGTGACTCATGCAGTTGGCTGATGATGATGATGATGATGATAGATACTAACGAAAAGTATGGACGTGAACTTGTAATTGTATTGTCGTATATGTGACTAATGAAAAGTGTGAGGAGGAAATTCATTCGAACGTTGCTTTGTTGCTACGACGAAGAATTCTTGCCCCTCTCTAATGGCAGAAGCAAAGCTCCGCCTCCTGTTGGCAGAAGTGCTGAAGGCATTGCTATGGCCCTACATCATCTTCAAGTGAGCAAATCTTCTCACAAAGAAGAAACTAGCAATACTATTCGTCACAAACAGTTTATTGACTGTTGTTCTTGAAAAACAGAAAATTCAACTCCTGCTACTGATTACAGACAGTTTGAATATTAAATGTGAGCTGAGCAAGAACTGAATTCTCGTTGAAATTTGAAATGTGACCCGAGCAAGAACTGAATCCTCCACGGAATGAGTTTACTCTCTAATTTTAGAGTATTTGCATGCGTTGAGGTATGTGCATGGCAGCGTGGCAATCGAAAACTTGATTATGGTGGAGAATGCGGTCAAATTAGCGTTAAGAAAATGTTTGTTGAATCTTGTGGTGCCTTTTTATAGCATAGAGTAGATTGAGCTTGACGCACTTAACGCTAACGGAGAGGCAGTTAAGGCACTTTTTAAGGGAGAGACAGCTGAGGCACTTAAGGGAGAGACAGTTGAGGCACCTAAAGGGAGGCGAGTTTGAGGCACTTAGGGGAGAGACAGTTGAGGCACTTGAGGGGAGGCGAGTTTGAGGCACTTTTTAAGGGAGAGACAGTTGAGGCACTTAAGGGGAGGCGAGTTTGAGGCACTTAGCGGAGAGGCAGTTGAGGTACGTAAGGGCAGGCGAGTTTGAGGCACTTAGCTGAGAGGCAGTTAAGGCACTTAAGGGGAGGCGAGTTTGAGGCACTTAGCGGAGAGGCAGTTAAGGCACTTAAGGGGAGGCGAGTTTGAGGTACGTAAGGGGGGGGCGAGTTTGAGGCACTTAGCGGAGAGGCAGTTACGGCACTTAAGGGAAGGCGAGTTTGAGGCACTTAAGGGGAGACGAGTTTGAGGCACTTAAGGGGAGGCGGGTTTGAGGCGCTTAAGGGGCGCGGGCTTGAGGCACTTAACGGAGAAACAGCTGAGGCACTTAACGGAGAAACAGCTGAGGCACTTGACGGAGGAACAGCTGAGGCACTCAGCAGAGATGTAGCTGAGGCACTTAAGGGGCAGGCTTTTGAGGCACTCAAGGGGCCGGCCTTCGAGGCACTTATGGGAGGGGAGTTTGAAACACTTAAAAGAGAGGACTCCGCAGCGCTTAACGGAGCGCAATTTGAAACACTTAACGGAGCGCAACTTGAAACACTTAAGGGAGAGGAATTTGCAGTACTTAAGGGAGAGGAATTTGTGGCACTTAAGAGAGGGGGGAATACAGCACTGAAAAGAAGGGGTTTTGCAGCACTTAACTAACAACATTTTGAAACACTTAAGGAAGAGGAATTTGAAACACTTAACAGACGGGAGTGTCCTACACTTAAGCAGCGGCTATTTGAAACACTTAACGGACGGGAATTTGCAGCACTCACGGAAGGGGAATCAGCAACGGGTACCAGAGCGGGTTTCGCAGCGGATGATGGGGTGTTCGAGAGATGAATAGCAGAGCGGCGTCTTATTTTCCTCTAAAAAGCGACTTTTCCAGCGTGGCTCGATTCCAAGACCCGCGTGATGCAGCACAAGGCACGCTAGCTGCTGCACAAGTAAACATTTTCTCCATTGATAGATTGATCTCAGGAGTGTAGCTACGTATCTTCATTTTTCCTTGATCCACCATCTCCACCCTCTGTTGCATAAGAAAACTTTACAATGACTTACCTCAACATCGACATTTCGCAATTTCTCTTGTCCACCAACTACAGCATCCGAGTCGCGATCTTTATCAATTGGGCAGTTGTGGAGCTTCTTTGTTAATCGAAAACGCGGATCCAGTAGTAACTCGAAATGAATTTCCGAGTTTTATGATGACACAGTGGTACTAGTTTTAGTTTTTCATCATCGAATGGGCATGTAGCAGGGTAGGACAAGAACAAAACCGCAACTCAGGATGACGAGAATCAAACTCAGTTCAACCACCTCTAAGAATGACATTTCTCGACGATGCATCTCTTGTCTGGAACTGATGCAGAGACCTGATAGCACAGCAACTGATGCTTTGGCGCATCCGTTTTTCTTGACTATCGCAAGCATTCCTAGAATCTCCTATGATCCACGGAATGAGGAAATACCAGCAGAGGGAATTGGGGAACAACAGCGTCTTTATGACTGATACAATAACAACTTTTACTTTGTCTTTGGCCGTCAATGGATATTGCAGACGCATGACTACGAAAAATCTTTCTGCTCTAAAGCCTTGCGCAGATCGTCGTGGATGCTCAAAAGAAGAGCAATAGTGCACCAGGCGGTCGAAAACGCGGAACCATTTTCCAAAAACAACAAGTACAAGAACTACTCGTGCCTCAAGAGTTGAGTGGAGTACTACCCTCAGGTGATGATGCAAATTCACCTGTGCGGCCTTCAAGAGCAGACAATATCGCTTCGAGGGCACAGCAGTATGGTAGTGTGGATTTGCCTTCGGTGCTGCAGATGAGTTAAGGGGCAAGGACGTAAAATGATTGAGAAAATAAGGCTAGGAAGTGGCAAGAAGATGATGGGGAAAATTCAAAGATAGGCCTTCGTCCAATAGCACATCTCTAAGAAGAACGACGTACCGGGCCAGGCAGCGACTATGGTGGAGCCACAGTCGTACGGAGTAGTACAACTGCACGCATTCTGCGATCAATGCAACAGTATAATCCGAATAAGTACACGGATGCGGGGAATGAGAAGGCTATGATGAGACAGTGGGAGCTTTGTAGCCAGTATTTTCTCAGTAATGTTGTAGTATCCTCGCTAGGTTGTACGAGTGATTGTTTAATGAATCACAGAGCTGATCCTACTTCTGCTGCAGGTATTTGAATTTGGATGCAATCTTCACGTGTTGTCCTCCATACATCTAAATCAGCGAAGAAAAACGCTGACGCAGAGCATAGACAGAGCGCAGAACGAAACAAACACCTGGCGACAACATCCTCGCATGTCCATAGAAGTAACAGACCTCGCTCACCGGAGACTACAAGTTCAGTCCTTATGGGTTCTTCGGGATCGATGCAGCTTAGTAGCGCACAGATCATAGACCAGGACCAGCATCATGACAATATCGAAGACCACCACCACTTCACAGACGCCGTATCTGAAGCCAGTCAAAGTTCATCATCGGTTCATTTGTGTGATGTTCTAGACAGTTTGCAGCCTTCGGATGGTGGGGATCAAGATGACGTGGGGCCAGTAGAAGAAAAATTTAGGAATGCCGACGAGTGGGACATGATGATCCGACGGGAAAGCTCAGGTACTTCGGACGCAAGACTAGTTTCACACGTTTTTTCAGCAACTTCTGTGGATTTGAGACAAGGGCTATTGCTGCCATCATCTGGTAGTGAGCACACTGCTGTTGGAGGTAGAAGCCAAAGCAGTACTTTCGGTGTCAATTATCCGAAGATGAATCCTGTAGTAAACGCGAGTTTTGTGGACGATCAAGCGTTATTCTTGGCAAACAAATCGGACATTGCAGATTTCTCTCAGATACTAAAATCGCGCGAGGAGGTTGCGGAAGAGGATCACAGGGACAGAAGAAAGGGAAAGGACAACGATTTTCGACAAGACGATCATCAGGTGAACAAGGAACATGATCTGATGCCTGCCTCTAGTTCAAGTTCATCAATGCCAGGAGGAGCAAATGGAAATGCTATGTTGATGCCAGAACAAAAGAGTGTTTTTCCAGATGCGATGAGCCCAGTGACTAACCGAAACGAAGCTGTAGTACCTAATGGGAACAACGAAGCTGCGACATTTTTTACACGAGGAGGGCTCAATGAAAGTGGTTTTTTAACATCAAATCAAGGAGGAGATATTAGTTTGGCCGCTTATCTGCCATCTTCGAACACCAATTCTCTGGCAGGACCACCAGCTGGTGTAGGTGTAGGGCGAGATCATGACTCATCTGCTGGGCCTGGAGGACCTAATCAAAATTCAGTGTTAGATGCTTTATCGAAAGATCTCGTAGGCCGGTCTTCGAAACGCGAAGGTGGTCGTCGCAGATTTTTCGACCAAGATGTTGAGATGCAAGAAGAGAACTCACCCAACTACACTGTTGAGGGCATGAATCATCCAAGTTCTTCATCAGCAAGTTCTGCCTTTGAACACGTAGGAAACGATGTAGCTGTGCGAGATGAAGCTGGCGGCGGTCTTGGTAAGGCTACAACATCAAGGAGGTGCCAGGTGCCTGCTGGTAAAACATCTTCAGACGGTACTAGTCACATAAGAACATCTTCTAGTGATCCAACTGGCACACTGCCGAATTCGGTACTAGTGGATACACGACGCGTGAAGAAGCCTTATGCACACGACTGGGACATTCAAGGACGTAGACATTGTTTTCGGATTTTTGAAACTGGTGAAGTGAAAATCTCTACGACTTCGCACTCCTTTTACATCAGTCCAGGTGGGGTGCGGTGTCGTCTAGAGACAATGAGTGCAGGGGAGAAGAAAAGGGGTGGTGCTGATGGAAGGTAGTCTAATTCTGCTCATGTGAGAGTTTCATGTTCTATCTTTCTGTGCTCTCCATAACCTAACCTCTTTGTAGAATTTTCGCATAGGTGTACTTTCTTGGCTCTTGATATCACCAGCCAATTATGATTTATCTGTGTCGGCATTTATCCACTTCACAAATCACAACCACCATCCAGTGAAGCAACAACCCCTGAAAAGGATAATACCAGTGAAGCAACACCGCCACCATCGAGAGCAACGTCTATTCGCCAGTTTGAGTCCAAAGCGCTTCCTGTAGCATTAAAAAAGTGGTACGAGTTGGCCTTCAACGTAGTAAACTCTCTTCGAGCGGAGACACCCAAGGTCGTACTCCACTATGACGGCTTCCGATGCGAGCTCAGGGACAATGTCCCGATTCCGGATTTCGTCATTTTTTTCAACGCCTTAGCCTTCGAAGGTACAGCTGTACGACGCTGTCGGGTAAAAGATGGCTGCTTGGTGGTCTTGGAAACTGGGCTAGAGGTGGAAGGTGCGTCTGCAGGAGGAGGATTTGGACAGATGGAGGTGGAGGGCCTTGAAGACGAGAGGCACGCCGCGAGGAAACAAATTAGGAAAAGGAATGTTCGAATGGATACATACTAGTTGGTTGGGAAGAATAATGTTCCAATGCCTTTAAGTGCAAGTAGAACACGACTTTAACTTCTGGCTCATCTTCAATATTAAATTTCTTCTTTTATCCTTTTTTCTAATACCCCAACACAAGGACGAGGCACCTCTTTCGAGCTGCCTTTGGATCTGGTGCTCGCAGATGACGGCCAAACCAAACAGGACGAACTAGATCGTCTGTTGCTGCCGTATCAGTGGGAACTGTTATGTTTGTGTTTTTTTTGAATTCCATTTGGTTTTTGCGCGATCATCATTCACAGCATGTGAGTATCCTTTTCAATACTTCCGTCGACAGACCGTGCTTCTAACAGGCGGCGATGTCCGGCGTGTACTATCGGCTTTGCGAAAGGGCCTGTTTGCCGCACTGGAGGAAGAGCGGGACGCAGTGGCGAGAGCGCGTGGTCTACTGGTCGATTTGCGGAGCAGTTGTGAATCTCCGAAAATAAGAGATGCGCTTCCAGGAAGGACGAATACAGAGACAAAAATATTGAGTGAGGTGTACGACTTCGATGCGGCTTACGCAGCATACAAATTGCGGTTGGACAATCTGTTTCCAGTAGTGAAAAGGATGAACGAAACAGCATGAAGGAGCCAACGTGATGAGGGAGCAGGTGCTAAGTCAGATTGACTGCTAGTATCATTGGTCTACCCTAATTTAAAGTCCTTGTTACCTCTCGAATGGGTACACTACTACTACTACTACTATTAGTTGCTTCCGGTAAGGTGTAGGTACAGACAGGTATTTACTTGAGGTATTTCGATACAAGCAGTTTATTTTCCGTTACCTTTAATATAGTTACACAGAAACTGTTTTCGAGGTGTAGGTACGGACACTTGATGTAACAAGTCTTTTTGAGGTATAGCCACAGACAGTTTTTCCGAGGTATAGGTACAAACAATGAAATTTCTGAGGTAAAGGTACAGATAATTTTTGCGTTGGATTTCTTTGGTGACAGTGAGACGCCGTTGCATAAGTCAACATGCTGTCATTTTCGACTTCCAGATTGCGATTATGAGGCGAAAAGAACGCCTATGAAGCAAGTGGTTGACCACTACCATGCGCGTCTAGTATGAAATCACGACTGTGTGATGTGCTTGTTTCGTCTCTTGCAGGAGTTCGTTATAATCTCAAGATCGCCCCCCCTCGATACCCTTGCAACATAGATGATGTTGTATCACTGACAACGAGGTCTCTTCAGCTACGGCGTTGAACAACGTCCGATGAAGTAGAAGAAAGGTCTGTTAGGCGAATGCGTCATGAGTAGTGCATAAACGTAGTGCACAGAGGTGAATTATCGGAGCCTTTCTGTTTTTGGCCTGAAAATGTTGAGATTGCCGTCATAAGGCCAGGTTGCTGTCACAAGTCCCTTTCGAAAAAAAGCATAAGGAGTTTGAGTATACCCAAATTAGGTAGCTTACCTGGTATTAGACTTGGTGGAGAGTTTTTAGTATGTCATCTCGAAGCCTGTAAGTAGATTACTTGGTAGTCTCATAAGTCTTGCGGCCTTCCACAAATACGGTCATCGCAAGAAGCGTTGCCAAGAAAAATCATGTCCACCTCACTGCAGATAGGAATATTTTAGCACTTCTTTTTTAGTAGAGTGCGAGTTAACCGAAGAAGAGCCGTCAAGACGTAGGTCGAACTACAGAGCCGCAGAGCCCCAGAGCATTGGCAAACGCGTCATCGTCTTCCGTTATTTTACGGCTAGTTTATCGCTATCCCGTGTGGAGTATGCTGAGTGGGTTCCCCTTAGAAGTCAAGGGGAAAGTAAGGGGAAAAAGGGCAATCCACTCAACCACGGATAGTGAAGAACTAGCGTTAAGCAATACTCCCAAGTTCTTGAATCATCTGCTCCACAATAGTACCGACATGACGTCATCGAACAAGAGTGAGGTCGAGGTGCGTATCGCTGAGGCCAAGATTTATTGTCCGCCGAAGCTCTTCCAGAACCTCTCCGATGAACAGGGTAACGCAATAGTGTGTCAGCCACTGCGCTTCGGCCCGGAAACTCGGCTGCACATCACTGCACTCATGGGAGGGAAAATGACATTGAAAATTTCAGAAGATGCATATACGGAGAATCCAGCTCTGCAAGCCCTTTTGCCGCAGCTGAACAAAGACCCAAGCATCACTGGCAAGCAGTCTTCCGCGTTGTGTCACAAAGCACTCTTCCTTGCCGAGGTGCGGCCTTTGAAATTACGGAACATCAAACATGCAGGTTGCACATGCTCGTTACGTATTGTAGATTAAGGATCGTAATAAATGGAGTAGATTAGTTGATCATGTAATGGAGTGGTTTTCTTCTAATAGCAGAAGATGCCGTCATTGGTTGGAAATTGTTTTTCCGTGGCTCCGACTTGAAGCCTGAAGTCGACCTCAAATTTCATACAGAAGAGGACGCGCGAAAATGGCAGGGAGGCATTTGGCAGCACAAGAAGGATGTCGAGAACATGAGAGCGCCAGGAGCAGCGCCCTCGAAAATAATTAAGGCCTGTGAGTAACTCCCGTACTAGACATCGTTGTCCCGTGAATTTTCGATGTTGATCGCCCAGGATTCTGAAGAAAGGAGTGGAATATCTTGCCACTGCTGAAACAGTAGTTCTTGGCTCATTTCCTTCATCATCCAGCTCTAAGACACCCAGCTCCAGTAAAAGCAAGAGTTCTTTGCTCGAAACTGGGCCACCGGTGAAACAGAGGAGAATATCACCACCCAAGCCGAAAAGCACATCAGGGTACTCAATATCTCTAAACATTGAATGTCAACATCATTTATTTGATAGTTGAGTGTAAGTAGGGCATTACGCTACACTGATGATACGATGTTTGTAAGCTATAGACATGTCTCCACAGCGCCAAACATTGCAAACAGGTCCTTTACGATTGGAACGGATACTTTGCATAAGCCTCAGCCGAGAGTAAGTCCAGCTCTGGCGAGTATCCCTGCTCCCTCACGACAGTACGGAGCGGCTGGTGCTTACAACACGCCTGTTGTTCCGGACCGGGTATCTGAATGCTTACCTTAATATCTTTCACTGGGGTAGATGTAGAACTAGAATTGTGCTTTTTGTATTGCTTCCTCGCTGTTCATCTTGTCTATTTTGTTGAAAAATCATTAGTTTCAATTTTGTCACAACATAAAGTGCTAGTGGGTAGCGTCGCTAGTACCTGAAGAGACGCAAAGGTCGAAACACGCACTCAGTCCCGAGACCATGCCTTACTAGAGCTGGCCTGTTTGCCTCACGGCTCGCACGGATGAGCCAGCGACTGGGGTAGCGTTGCGCCTACCATTGATAAAGAAGTGTCGGCCGTACCTGCCCGCTGGGGTTGCCCTAGCTGGCTCATCTATATATGATACTGGGACGCACGGCGCCCCGCCTGTGGATGGCCCTGTGGTGGCGCTCGCGCGCTCTTTTCCGCGCAGCTTTTCGGGGGTTCTGGGGGTGGAAGGCGTCCCCTTGCGCCTCTCTGCCTGTTTCCTACAGACCTCCTGGCCCCTGCTGACCCTCGCAGGCTGGAGGCCTCCGGGGGAGAAGGCCGCCGAAGGCGGCCACGGTCTCAAGAGCAGGCAGGCCGATGGCCAAGGACCCGGGGCACACGGCTCAGGGGGTCCAGCCTTGCGCCTTTTCTTTGCCACCTTCGGAGGCCTTCCGCACCCGGCGCACTGCTGCAGCGGCGAAGACTATCCGACGCCTGTAGGGTACGCGCAGGCAGCTGGAAGGGAGCGGAGGAAGCTCCCCGGGCCCCTTCTGAAGTCTTCCGCCCCCCGGCAGCCGCCTTCAAAAGGGGCCCGGGGATCCCCGCCCCTTCGCTAGGGGGAGGGGCGCTCCCCTGAGCCCTGGACCATATCCTTTTTTAAAGTTTAAGCGGATAACTTAACCCCCTTTCCCACACCCGCCATGTCCGCTGGTCATCGGTTAGTTGACTATTTTCCCTTAAGCTATTACTTCACATCCAAGCCAAATACGCATAGCTGATATGAAGCAGCACGATGGCAGTGGAATAGGACCAGCAGCCATACTCGAAAGAAAGATCAGCTACAAGTGGGTCTACAACTACAACTCTAATCTAGTATAAAGTTACCACTTCCACCCCACAGCTATAACCCTTGTCTTCCAGACTCGACTGTACCAGGAGACAGCCGAGAAAAATCATGCGGCTTTGTTCGCGAAGACATTGCAAAAAAATGGGCCAGTTTCCTCCTCGAACTATCGTCGGGACACCTCTTCTGCGGCTCTTTATCTTCGTCATTATGCTGGGAAACGGAAACTCTCATTGTTGCTTATCGGTCTTCGCTATCTACTTTCAGTACAGACTTTCTTCTATTTCTTCTCGATCTTTCACCTAGCTTGAATGTAGAGTACATACTACAAGAAGGCTTTTTAAGAATTTGTTTGTTTGCTACAGCTTCCTTTCATACTTTGGCCCGCCTGCAAGCCTGGGAGGTTGTCACGTACCTGGATTCGTGCCTCCACCATCTTCGGGTTCGACGACTTCCAGCACTAGCAGTTCTACGATTACTGGTGCCGGGGGAATGGTCAACCTCGGTAACACATGCTTCTTCAATGCAGTATTACAGGCAATTCGAAGTGTGGTCCGATTTGTAGACACATTGCGAGCAAATAGACCACGTGGCTTTTTTGATGGGGATGGCTTAATTAGGTTGAATGGAGCAGTAGAACAGGATGGAGGTGGAACTGTTGGACCGATGCCTGGTGGAGGACAAGCACAGGCACACGACTCCTCTGCGGGGGCAACATCTTCAGGATCAACATCTTCAGGACCATCTACTACCACGGCACTACCGTCTGTTCCAGAACTGAAGCCTCTGGTAAATGAAGCTCCTCGACCACTAACAGCGAAGCCTGAGGTGTTCGATTTGAGTTCTCAAATCGATGTGATGTCGCAGGCTGATGACTCCAGCAGAGCTCCCTCACCACGAAAAGGAGACCACAAAGAGGACAACCAAGCCAAGAACGTGGATTCCGTGCCTACGCCGATTCGGAAACGAACAGGTAAAAGTGATAGCCCTGACAACTGGATAGTGCTTGACGAAAGCAGTAGTGGCATGGAAGGAGCAAGCTCGAACGCAGGAGCAGCAGCAGCAGCTAGTGGAACAACAGCTGCTGGCGGTGTTATTGTTGCCACTAGTGCGGCAAGCAGTTCGTCTTCAACAGTGAAGAAGAGGCTTTCTTCATCCAGAGCGGCCACTGCATTTAGTCGGACCTCTGCAGAAGCACCAGGACTACAGAAGCAACAGGAACGTCTACAGGTGTACAGAAGTTCCTCCACAACCACATCCTCCACATCAACCGTGCAAATCTACGAACAATCCGTGAGTGGTCTCTTCGCATCTTTACAAGCGGACTCGAAAGCGGCGAACCCTAGAGAGTTGTTGCAAAGTATAAGTTCGAAAAATCCGATGTTCGGCAATCATATGCAACACGATGCCCACGAATTTTTCCTGGAGTACATCAACCAACTCCACGATGCCCTGCTGCATCGGGTCGAGGTATTCTTGAATATGTTCCGTTGCTTCATGTTCTTCTGCTTCATGTTCTTTTGCTTCATGTCTTTTTGCTTCTGGTTGTAAAACAAGCTGTAGCTGATGTTGGAATAAGTACAAGATAATATTACAACTAGCACCGCCGAGTTATTGTGGAAGTTCAGTTCATTAGTACTACCACGAATCAATTATAAGCACCATTATATCTTGTTCCGAAACCTGTAATAGTGCTTCATCTAGTACAGGTCTTGCCAACCCTTTTGTTCGATTCTGAAATTTCGCTTGGCCTCGAGTGCGCTAGTTGCAAAAGGTGGAGAAGCGAAAATGTGGAGAAGTTTCGAGATTATAGCGTAGACTTTCTACCCATAACCGGAGTTCCTCAGAGTTTGGAAGCCATGTTACAAGCCTATTTTGCGGAGGAAAGTCTAGATTATCGCTGTCCACGGTGTCACGGAGAAGAAGAGGATACCACCACTGCAGAACAGACAAAGAGTTTTGAACAAGATAATGCAGTATGTCCAGCAATAGGAGCTGTAGAACTTGGAACACGGAGTCCTCCACCAGGAGGCCATGTTGCATGTTCGGTGAGCGGTGGCATAGAGATCTATCCCCCAAAAGACGATCGCGAGGATAGTATATCGATAGCAGGAGAGGGGGGCGACCCGTCGTCGAGTGAAGTAGCTTTATGGACATTTGAACTTCTCGCCCACTTCTTACTTTGTTATCGTACGTTTCGATTTTGTTTGCACTAGGCACAACTCAATAAACTCGCGTAGCTTTGAAATAACTCAATCATCTTCTAATCTTCCACTCAAGCAAAGTCGTCGCTTTGAACCCGGGCCAGAAGATGGTGACAGTGCGCAAGGCCATTCGACAACCACCACACGCTCTAGCCTTGCATTTAAAGCGGTTCAAGGCCGATTTTATAGCCAAACGGTTCGTAAAGAGGAGAGAAGAGGTACGCTGGCCACCGGAACTTGACTTGACGCCGTTTTAACATCCTGATTATCTAGCGGAGCAAGAGGAGGAACAGAAGCAGAACGAAGAAAAGAGGAGCAGGGGCAATGTTATGAACATAAGGATGAAAGAGTTGCTGAGTATTGGAGATTAAATATGTCATCACGATGATGTGAATAACTCTTTGTGATGCAAGTTCTAGTCTTGCTAGTTGCACAGGCAGGAAAGCGATTCTAGTGCCAGTTTCGCGTGAGTGCTTTGGTTGAGAAAATTTGAACAATCCTCTAAGTTTCCTGCAGACACGTCGACAGTACTGACGGAAGCGCAAATGGCTAGTATGACCGAAGAGGAGATGCTTGCGTGGGCACTGAAACAAAGCGCTGACCAATCTACGGACGAAATCGATGTTGGTAATCCTGGGGACAAAAAAGCCGATGGTCAAAACGACAGAGCTCTTACAAAAAAAGGTGCTCAGTATCAATTACAGAGTATAGTGGCTCATTCCGGAGATACGCCACATTGTGGGCATTATGTGACCTGGTGCCGTAGATGGGAGACCTCGACGTGGATATGCTACAACGACAGCACAGCGTCAGAGCATGACAACCTGCCATTGTCGGTAAAGACACAAGCCTACATTTTGTTGTATCAGAAGAAAGACATGAAAGAGTAATAAATAATGCCTAGCTAATATGCATATGATTTTTTGGAATGTCTTTTCGTCGTCGTCATGGATGCAAGCATCAGTCGCGATAAGCGGTTGTTCTTGAAATAAGTCTTGTCCTCTTTGATAGTGATCTTGGTCTTGAAATAAGTCTTGTCCTCGTTGATAGTGATCGTGATCCTCTTGAGTATACATGCATCTACACATCTTGCGAATCATAGGTTGACCCTTTTCCATTTGCGCCTTTGCTTGCCTTGACAGCTTGTTTGAATTTCTTGATACGGAATAAAACATTGCGGAAAATTGTTAGTCCATGTTGGGTCGATCCTAGCTTGGGAACAGCCACTGAGGAAGATTCCTTATCTCCTTCTGAGTGACTTCTTAGAACCATATGGACCTTCGCAAAAGACCAAAAGAATGAAATCAAAGAAATGCCTTGAAGTTGAGGCCAAGTAAAAAAATTCCTCATCCTCTGAGAGCCTCTTACATCTTCTCCGGCGGAAGAACGACCAGAATTAGTTCCGCGGAAAAAAAATGACAATCAGTCGTGGTGTTGGAAGACTAACAAGACGAAATATCAATACGTGTTTCATGAATGGTGTGTGTCTGGAGTTAGACATGTAAGCCTGGAAAGAATGAAATGTTGATGCAGTTCATAGAAATTCCATCGTGGCTCTTCTGCTGTGGCGTTACATGTGTCATTCAGTTAGGTGCTGCGCTTGTGAGTTTTTTTTGTTACCTGTGTCTATAATTTTCCCGTGAGTAATAACATCACTCTGGATGTCAATCAATTTCGCTTTTCTTTCTCCCATGATGATTTTGAATTTCCGTCTAAAAAACAGTGCTCAAGCTTGTGTACAGAAGAAGCTGCGATTGTTTTGCTGTCCTTCTAGGCATCTCTTTCTTTGCCTAGTACAATTTTGACATCCTGTGATTTGTGCTGACATCTCTCACTTTCGTTAATTCATACAATTAATACTCCCCGCTGATTCACTGACATCTAGAACAAGAGGTAGTTGATAGTGACAAGTTGAAACTACTACTACTACTACTGCTATTGACTTCTTGGATATTATTTCGTAGATAGTCTGTAAAAATAGATGATCTGAGGGTTCAGGCCAGGTTCATTTTTCCCTGAACCCAATCTGGGCCTGACGTCGAAAGAGGTGCTCGACATCCTATTCCTACTCCGGAGGCGGACACGGATAGTAGTTGCACAACTTGGCACACGGATAGTAGTGGTTCTACAAGACCTCGCACAGCTCCAAGAAGTAGTCTACTAGAAGACCTCGTACAGCCCATCAAAAAAATAATTTTTTGGTTCTTCTTTCATCGAACCCTCCGATGATGCAGTCGGTCCCGGTGACTTTGAGCTGTCCCCTCAAGCTAGGGGAGAGCGGAATTTCCCCTGCTTCCTTCTCCTTCGCCAACTTGCAGATGCAGAGCGACAAATGGCTCTGTGTCCGAGACCCGGAGAAGAACCAGGTGGTCGTCTTCGACATGGCCAACAACTATGCGAAAGACACGAAGCCGATGAAAGCGGAGTTGGCGGTGATGAATCCGTCGAAGAATTGGATTGCGTTGAAAGGTATTTAGTGGTTGTTGAGGGTTTGGAATTTGGTATAGTGTTGAAAACATGGTTGGTTTAGTTCATTTTCTTTCTTATCAGTCTCATAGCGACGCTAGTGAATACAAGAAGACAAACAACTGCGATCAAATTTCAATTTTCAGCGTCTTTTCTTATTCACAGTCTTCACAACACTAGCCAACAGTCTTCACAACTCCCCAATTTGTAGGTAAAAACGAGCAAGGCGGGGACTTCCTTCAGGTTTATAACCTGGACACCAAGGCGAAATTGGGTGTATGGTCAGCGCCGGAGGATGTCACCATGATGGTGTGGCTGAACGATAACGTGTTAGGTTTGGTCTTGGCAAAGACCACGTATCACTGGAAAGTCGAAGGCGGTGAACCAGAGAAGATTATGGATAGAGCTGGTACTATTTGGAATTTTTGATCTTAAGTGTGTTGCACATGACCATGTTGACCATGAGCACTTTCGAAGCTCGATCTATTGCATATATTTTGGTAACGACAGTAGAAAATTCTAACTCTCTCCTTCTGGACGCATGATAAATGTTTTGTTCTGGACGAAAATAGATGCATGTGAAATCCACCTTATATCGCAAACAAAGCTTATTTTCCCACAACATCAATACAGAAAAACTCGCTGAAGCTGGAACTCAGATCGTGTCCTATGCGATGGACCCCAATGGCGCTTGGGCATTGCTTTGCGGTATTGCTACCGAAGATAAGCGAATCATTGACGGTTACATGCAGTTGTACTCGGTAGAAAGAAAGCAGCAGCAGTTGATCCAGGGTCACGGTGGTGTTTTTGGTACGGTTTTGGTGGATGACACCAACGTCCCAGCGACGATCGTGACGTTTGCGAAGAGGGAGAAGGGAAGCCTGACGACGACGTAATGCCTAGAACTTTTAGCGTTGGTCGGTTTCAGCAGCCAACAATGTCCGCGAGAACACTCAGCGGGCCCTAACCTAACCTTGCTTGATCATGAATCCATATCACGATCTACAACTGTAGTTCACTGATTTTCGATACACGAATCAAATCACTTTGACCGATTGTTACCGACCGACTTCATCCCAGGCTGCAGATCAACGAAGTCGGCCAGGACTGGCAGACTGCTGGACGAGGAAAGAAGCATCAAGTATCCAAGGACGTTCAGATGCCTGCTGAGCAGCCCACAGATTTCGCTTTATCGTTGCATATCTCGGAAAAATGGGGTGTCGTGTACATGCTGACAAAGAGCGGTTTCTTGTACACTTTTGACGCGGCGACGGGTGAGATGATTCACCGACAACAGGTGTCGAAATGCCCAGTTCTGAGAACGGCGTATGCGAAGGGAAGTGGTATTTTGATGAATGATGTGCTGATAACAAAATAAAGCAACAGAACATCACGACTTTCATGTCCTTGATCAACAACCAAAAAGAATTATTCAAATTTCCTCCAATTTTTCCCCTAAACAACCCTAAATGCAAACCCTAAACAACAGGTGGCGTCCTCTTCATCAACAAAGAGGGCATGGTTTGCTCAACTGGCGTGTCGGAGCAAAATTTGGTTCCCTACATTTTTTCGTCGCAAATTCCGAACAAGCAAGACATTGGCGTAAAATTGGCCTCTCGATTTGGCCTTGGTGGGGCTGAGGAAATCCTGGGAACGGAATTCAACAGGGCGTTTGCCATGCAACAGTACAAGGATGCAGCTGCGATTTGTGCCAAAGCAAAGGCTTTGAGAACGGAAACGACCATTGAGAAGTTCCGGGTACTCGCTATTACAGAAATTTGTGATGGGGTATCTCTTCTTTCTCCGACAAGTCTGAACTCAAACGACGTTCTATGAATGATTTGCTTCCGACGAGGCAGATGATAATCTTTTCGAATATATAACCTAAGTACTCACTTCCCACCTGTTCCCGCCTCCCAACAGAGCGCTCCCCAACCGGCCGGCCAACCCCTCCCTCTGTTGACCTATTTCTCCACGTTGCTCGACAAAGCTGGAAAGCTAAACAAAAGCGAGAGTGTGCAGTTGTGCCAACTGGTGGTGCAGCAAGGGCGTCATGACTTGATTGAGAAGTGGTTGACCGCGGAGCAGCTGGAATGCAGTGAAGAACTAGGTGACATCATCAAACAACTCCCGCCTCTGGCGCAGCATGCCTTGAAAGTGTATTACAAGGCGAGTGCGCACCAGAAAGTCATCAATACGTTTATGGAATTGGGACAAGTCGATAAGATTATCGAATACGCGAAGAAGGTATAAATATTTACTGTTGGTCGACACGATTTTGTTTGCAATCGAATGTTGATGCGACTTTATTAGGAAGGAAGATAATTAGAGTTGGCGCGATAAAAAAAGTTTTCATTCTTGATAGAGTTCGACCAAAATAACTTGCACTCTTGAATACCATACATAAAAATGAGAAATGCTTCTCCCTTCTTCCGGCTTTCAGGCCAACGCGCAAGCCGACTATTCCGGTCTCATGCGCAACTTGGTAGCCGTAAACCCACAACAAGCGGTAGAATTCGCGAAGTCGCTGTTAAACAACAGCCCACCCCTGACCGATATTCGCGCGATTATCGATACCTTCATGTCCCAGAACAGACTGCAGGAGACAACCAGCGTCATGATCGACTACTTGAAAGACAACAAGCCTGAGCACGCCGCACTCCAAACCGAGCTACTCAAGATGAACTTGCTGCAGGCACCCCAAGCCGCCGAGTTGATCTTTCAGTTGGATACCTTCACGCACTACGACAAACAACAAATCGCGCAGCTGTGTGAGAAAGCAGGCCTGTGGAACCGCGCGTTGCAAGGTTTCACGGATATCAGCGATGTGCGTCGTGTGCTGGCCTATGCGCCGACCATGAATGCGGAATTTTTGGTAAGGAGTTGGATTGTTGGGATTTTGATTTTTTGGTGGAGGCTGGCAAAATGGATTTTTTTGTTCCACTAAAATTTCTTTTACTGAGTCCACTCTCTCTCGCTCTCAACCCGCCCTCCCCAACCAAACATCCGAGGTAAACTACTGCACCAAGCTCCCCGCAGCCACTTGTCTCGAGGTTATGGGCGATCTGATGAAGAACCGCCACCAGAACTTGAATGTTGTGGTTCAAGTCGCGATCAAGTGCCATCAGCAAATTGGTGCCGAAGCGCTGATCGAAATGTTCGAGTCCTTTTCCTCCTTCGAAGGCGTTTTCTACTTTGTTGGCGCGATCTCCTCCCAGATCGGCGAAGGCCATCCGGAAGTCATCTACAAGTACATTCAGGCAGCTTCGCGATTGGGCAATGTGCAGGAAGTAGAGCGAGTGTTGAAGGACAATCCGAAAAGCTACGATCCGGTTAAGGTGAAGGATTTCTTGAAGGGAGAAAAGCTGCCGGATCCAAGGCCTCTCATTTACGTCTGCGATCTTCACGGATTCATCGAGGAACTCGCGACTTACTTGTACTTCAATAGGTTTTATTTAGTAGATCATGTTTGGATTTCATTGCCATCAACTACCAAGATGGGTTTATTTTGAGACCAAAAAATCTCTGCATCATGATGACTGTCGTCAGAACCTCATCAATTCTATGGAGTGTCAAGCTACAACATCTGCTCTGTGCGGGGTATGTTACCGCACGGGGTGGCTTGACGTTCCTATATCAAAGATCTCCGGAGTTTCTTAACCTCGCCGACTTTCTATGATGGCTGCGGTTGCTTAGCTCTGGGACAATCCTAAAAGATTCAAACAGAAAGACATTTCTTATAGTAATCACTCAAGATGTTGGAACCTTCGTTGCCTGACGTAGTGATGATCTCAACATCTCCTTTTCCCTGAACAGGTACAACAACCAGCTCCTCAAGTACATTGAGGTTTACGTGGTCAAGGTGAACCCCCTGAACACGCCCCTTTTCGTGGGTACTCTGATCGATCTCGACTGCTCTGAGGACTTCATCAAGCAATTGCTTCAGTCTGTTAGATCCGCGTGCCCCGTCGAACCCCTGGTCCAGGAGTGTGAACGCCGCAACAGACTCCGGCTCTTGCAGCCGTGGTTGGAAGCTCGTGTTTCGGAGGGCAATCAGGAAAAAGCGTTGCACAACGCGTTGGCGATGATCTGCATTGAGACTGGTCGAGACCCAGAGAACTTCTTAAAAAACAACCACTTCTACGACAGCCACGTGGTGGGAAAGTTCTGCGAGGAGCGCGACCCGCATTTGGCTTACACAGCATACAAGCGCGCATGGGCGCAGTGCGACGACGAGTTGGTGAATTTATGACGAGTATTCATATCCCCATTGAAAACTGATTCGTAAAAGCATAGCTTTCTTCATTCTTCTTCTCACAAAGTCGCCAAAGCACTTGAATAGAGACTCTCCGAGTAGTGTACTCAGGATCCTTCTCTTATTTTCCTACTTCTTTAAAGACTGACATCGACATCCATAGTTTTCATTCTTCTCCCCACAAATAACCTCTAATCTGCGTAACCAACAAGAACGGCCTTTTCAAGCTGCAAGCCAAGTATCTTGTCGAGCGTAAGTCTGCTGAACTGTGGGGCAAGGTCCTCGACCCGGAAAACGAGTTCCGACGCAAAATGATTGACCAAACCATCTCTTCCGCACTGCCAGAGTCCAGCAACCCAGATGAAGTCTCTGTCACTGTGAAGGCGTTTATTTCCGCCGAATTGCACTCAGAGTTGATCGAGTTGCTGGAAAAAATCGTGTTGCACAGGTCCGAATTCGCCAACGCCAGAAACCTGCAGAATCTGCTGATTTTGACAGCGATTCGAGCGGACCCGTCGCGCGTCATGGACTACATCAACCGACTGACGAGTTACAACGGACCGGAAATCGCGAAAGTTGCGTTGGGACCAGAGTACAAGCTCTACGAGGAAGCGTTCGTCATTTACAAGAAGGTACTACTGTCCGAGTTTTGATTGTACTTGTAGCTCGGCTTCAATCAGCTGGATATTTCCACTGAACAAGGCAGACTCAGATTAAAAATGTTCGTATCGCGAGGAATATAGACCCAGGTCCCAAAAAAAAACATCACCTTGCTACAGGATGAATGAATGAATGTACCCACTCTAGGGGTTAAAACGTTAGTCCCTCTCATGGTGCGAATTCTAATACATCCCTCTACTTCATCCCCGATCCTCAGGCCGACATGCATCCTGAGGCAATGGATGTTCTATTGATTAATATCGAGTCTCTCGATCGTGCCGCTGAGTACGCAGCCCGCGTCAACGAGGGCGCAGTGTGGAGCAAACTCGGTAAAGCGTACCTTGAAGCCGGCTCGACCGCGGAAGCCATCGACAGCTACATCAAAGCCCAAGATGCCAGCGACTACTTAGAGGTCATCGCAGTTGCGTCTCGACAGGGCAACTTCGACCAACTGACGACCTACCTGAAAATGGCGCGTACCAAGCAAAAGGATCAACATTTGGATAGCGAATTGGTCTACTCTTTTGCGAAGACCGACAACTTAGCGGACTTGGAGGAATTCGTATCTGGGACAACGACCGCGAACTGTCAGATGATCGGAGATCGATTATTTGAGGAGGGAAACTATAAAGCAGCCAAACTCTTGTTCCAAACCATTGGAAACAACGCGAAACTGGCTAGTTGCCACTTGAAACTAGAGGAATACACGGCGGCAGTAGAAGCGGCGAAAAAGGCGAATAACCCGAAGGTAGTTTTAGTTATGATTCGAGATTTGTTTGTGCTGGCTCTTTTGACGTCTGAAGTTCCGAAAGGCTACGTGGATACAACTCTCTTCATTCGAACTTTCCCACCATCGAATTCTATTTCCACTCACCACACCAACCAGGTCTGGAAAGAGGTCAACCTCGCGTGCGTCGCTGCGCAAGAGTTCCGGTGTGCCTCTATCGCTGGTATGTCGATCATCGTACACCCCGACCACCTTGAAGAACTCATTGCTCAGTATGAGAAGCACGGTTATTTCGAGGAATTGATCCAGCTTTTGGACCAAGGCCTCAACGCGGAGCGAGCACATGTGGGTATGTTCACCGAACTAGCGATCTTGTACTCGAAGTACAAGCCGGAAAGGCTGATGGATTTCATCAAAATGAACACACAAAAGTGCAACATCCCGAAAGTGATCCGAGCATGCGAGAGGCACAACCATTGGGAAGAAGCGGTAATGCCTTTGATTAGTTGGCTGGTGTCTTTGAAATTTTAGCTTGAGATTGATCCCTAGAAGTTGTACTACCAGAAGATCGGAGTTTTATACTCAGTGCTCCAACTACCACAAGGAGACGCAAATTGATACCTTCCCTACAAACAGGTCCACCTCTACACGCATTACGACGAGTACGACAGCGCTGCCTCCTGCATGATGCAACACTCCCCAGTCGCCTTTTCCCACGACCAATTCCTTTTCGTCATCTACAAGGTCGCCAACACCGAACTCCTCTATCGCGCCATCAGCTTCTACATCGAAGAACAACCTTTGCTTTTGGATGCTCTTCTTAAGCAGATTGAGAGCAAGGTAGACCACGCCAGAGTAGTATCGCAGTTGCGCACTTTGGGCCACTTGCCCTTGATTCAGCCCTATTTGAAGCAAGTGCAAGTCCACAACATCCAAGCAGTGAACGAGGCTTTGAACGACCTGTATTTAGAAGCCGAGGACCACGAGTCGTTGCGAAAGAGCATCGAGGAGCACGAAAACTTAGACCAGTTGGCTTTTGCGGCGAAATTAGAGGGTCATGAGTTGTTGGAGATGCGAAGGATCGCGGCATTGTTGTACAAGAAGAACAAGAAGTACGGAAAAGCTATAGAGCTCTCGAAAAACGACAAGATCTACAAGGATGCGATGGAAACGGCAAGAGACAGTGGAAACCAAGACTTGGCGTTGGAACTGGTATACTAGGATTTGAAGTTATAGTTGGTCTTCAATGTTAGCTGGTCTTCAATCATGTAGTCCTTTTCTTTGGAACACTTGTTGATGCCGTACCTCTTCATACTACACTACACTACACAAACACACAGATCCAGTACTTCATCGAAAGTGGCGACAAGGAGTGCTTCTCCGCTAGTTTGTTCACTTGTTATCAACTTCTAAAGCCGGATATAGTGATGGAACTTGCCTGGAGGAATAAGATGATGGATGCGGCAATGCCATACATGATTCAGGCAATGAAGCAGTACACGACAAGAATCGATGGGCTGGACAAGAAAGTGGAGAAGTTAAGATCTGTTTCGAACTTGTTTCATGTCTTTCTTTGAAGTGAAATAGTTTCTTGAATTCTAAGGCCAATGTGATTGTTTCATGTCTGATTTGGAGACTTTCGAACTTGTTTCACAGATAAGTGAAAGTGGAGAGTTTCGAACTTGTTTCATTTAACATCTGATATCTTTGATTAGAGAAGCTTGAAAAACTGTAGGTAGGTTTTCTGGAGTTACCTAGAACTAGAAGGTGGACTCAGATGTCTTTTCGTGAATCCTTCACTTACGCAATGACTCCTCAACATTTGACCACTGAGTACAAATACTTTTCCCCAACCTCTAATCCCCAACGAGGAGGAAAAAGAGAAGCAGAAGAGTGCCAACAACGACTTTGTAGCAGACTATGGCATGGGCCCTGGCATGCCAGGTATGGGCGGCCCAGCTGGCTTCGGCCACTTAGCCATTGGGAATGCGCCCTTTCAGCCACCAGCAAACGGCATGATGGGCGGCGGCATGGGTGGAGGTATGATGGGAGGAGGCATGGGAGGTAATCCGATGATGATGTAAAGATCATATCTTCGGATTCATTATTCCTTTGTTGGCGTTAGTGTCGACGAAGAGGGAGCCCATTCATTTGTTCTATCACGTCCATTCCTAGGTCCGTTAAACATTGTCGTCATTTGTCGAAATAGCTCGTATGATCTTGTCCTTAGTAGATAGATAGAAGTTCAATAAATGGAGTTTTTAGATGCCGAGCTGGTAAAAACCCCCAATGAGGCCCGCAGTCCAAGACAGACTTATATTTAGTAAATAGCACTGGAGGTTGTTCTCTGCCTAGACAGTGCCAGTAATAGATGTGCTGCCCTTTGTACCCCAAAGATTTGAAGTACTGTATTTTATAGGGGTCGCAATTGTTTCAATTCAAAATCTTCGGCACAACTACGTGTTCACATTTTTTACTTACAATCACATATTCTCTTCGAAGAGGTGCCACCCTGTTGTTCATAAGTAGGGCCAAACTGCCCTAGGCAATGGGGGCACCTTCACACACCTTTCACATGTTAATTCAAAGTGTTCAACTGTGATGGCCCTAATATACTTACGTATTTATCGGATCTCGATCGGCAGCGTCGTGGTTCGTTTTTTTATGATTCCTTTTGTAACGACATTAAGATTTCATACTAGAATGAAGAAAATTTCTATCTCTTAACACAGAAGATCATTGCTTTCATCGTGAAATATAGAAGACAAACATAGAAACATAGATACATCGACGTACTTAATCAGGTACAAAAATTCGTGTTTTTCTGATGAAGAAACAACTATCGAACCTACTTCAAGATGGTCGTGGTGGGCATGATCGATTCGTAGAAAAACCTCGAAGATCCTCATCATAAACTCGAAAGAACCCAGCTCCCTCAGTGACTCATCCTATTGTGTTGTTGTGTAAAGGTGTTGTACTTGAAAAGTCGCCGGCCCACCTGTGAAAGGACGATGAAAGCATCCGCTAGCCCTCTATCGATCAATAATGAAGCCTGCAGTCGTCCTCGACTCGTAGGGATGGGATTTTTGCACGGAATTCGACCGACGTCGTTGTTTCTTCGATGCATTCGCGACTGACAGCATCGAAAAGAAACTCGAGAGCACTTGAAAAATCCAATTCAAACCACAAGAGTGATGAGAATTCTTAGTGACGACTGTCCTTGTTTCCAACAGTGAGTTTATCCTCCAAAGAAAAATGTTCCCTTCCTCTTGGTTTTCAGCTCATAGTCCTCAGGACCGTAGCCCAGAAAGCGATGCCGACAGCAATAGCGAAGAAGAAGAATCGCCGTTTTGGGGAGGATCCGCTTCCAGAGGATCTAGTAGGACTACTACTACCAATAATACGAGGACTGCTTCGAGTTCGAGAGTTGAAGAAGACCACGCAGATTCTTGGCCAATAGCTAGTACCTCTGGGAATTCAAATTCTTCTAGCACAACCAAGGGGACTTGTAGTACTACCTATCATCCCGATCCTGAGCTACGTGACGAAGAGGATTTCGATGTTGACGATGATCCGTACGAAGAAGAAGATGGAGAGCCTTCCAAACGACCACGCCCCCTCAGATCCAAAACTGCGAACAAAATCCCCATCTTGATCCAAAACCCGGATGGCAGCATAGCAGAAGGACGTCCTCCTGGCTACGTAGAGAAAGGGCCTCGTCGCGCAGCTGCAAGGTTGGGGTTTGCTCACAACGGACTCTTGTGGGGAGAGCTGGGGGCCGAAACGTTGGGGTCGGAACTGGGATTCCTCTACCAGAGACACGAGACTCTCTTCCTGGGACTCCTGCTGACGGAGTTTTTCGCGGAGATCGGGTTTTTCATAGTCTACTGGCACAATTGGCCTCAAGCGGTGGAAGAATTGACTGTGGTATAAGTAGACTTTTGTTTATGGACGATGAGATCCAGCTTTTGGATAAGTTAGTAGTAGCCTACGCTCACATTTAGCCTCTTCAATGCAAAAAAAATCAATTCTCTGAAGATCGACAACTTTTCTTCTACGACCGAGCACACCACAAACGAAACAAAAGGTATACGGCCGTTTCCGACGTGAGGGCGTGGAAACCTCATTAATGGTCGCCTTTTGGCTGCGACTTGTTTACACCGTCGGCTACTACGCATTTGCCGCGATTGTAGTAACCACTCGCAAACCAGATGCATTCAAATGCTTTGCCTCCTATTCTCTAGTTGGCATTGTGCTCGAGCTAGGCGTGACTTATCTAAATAAGTTCAACCTCGTGGTGTTTTTTCTCCGACTTTTGTCGTATTTGTATTCGAAGTTTCTGAGGTCGGTGGCACAGCATATGGCAGTTTTGAGAGCTGATGGGACAGTATTTCCTCAGCCGACGTTTTTCGGTCCGAGTATTGGAGATAGACTAGGTACAGACGGCTTGGGTAATGGGCCACAACAGCAGGCAGCAGATGGCGGTCAACAGCAGAGGAGCTCGGCTACTCTGGGAAACAGCAGGCTCCGAGATGTTAAGGCACCAAGGTTGTAGCAAAGTGCTTGCATCAAGATGGATGTGAGAAGAAATCAAGATGTGAATACTGGATTTCTCTGACTCAGTGGTCTACTACTCCTCTTTGATATTAAATGATTCAAGTTCTTACTAGGGAAGTTGCTCCTCTGGACCCCACGTGGCAAATATAGTGGGCTAGGAAGTTCCTCCTTACTGCAACAAGATTCTTTTAGCTTCCTTGACTATTTTGAAAACGAGAAAGAGAGAAGAAAAAAACTCAAGCAGCTTGAGAGGCTCAAAGAGTTGCAA